AAGAAAAAAAACACATTTTATTTGTTCAATCAACTTTACCGATTGCGTTCAATATCTCGAACATTCTATTGCAGCTATTGGTATTGTTGTTGTACTGCGGCCACCGCAGCTACTTATCATACAATTTTTTTTTCTACACGCATTTGCATGTATTACAGCAGTAACGTGAGTGAGTTGATTCGAATGAGATAGAGAGAATCTATCTATTCCTCTCCGCAGAGAGAGGGAGAGAGAAAAAAAAGAAGGTAGCGCAAACAACCACAAACTAACCATTGATAACACGATGAACACGTACGCAGTATTGATTCGGTTTGATTGTGTTTCGATTGAAGTTGGAATCAAAAGAGAGACGAACAGAAGAAAAAAAATGCACAATCACACGCGAGAGAGAGAGATAGAGGAAGCGAGAAAAAATAGTCACGTTTGATGATAAACAGTTGCTTCTTTTTCGTTTTGTTTCATCATCATTTTGGTGTGTGCGCCTGGTTTTCGAGTGCGAAATCGAAATGGAAATGATAACAAAATCCCATCAATTTGTTCCGAAGTAAACAAATCGAAATAAGAGAGAATTTTTTTTCTGATTCTCTTATCTTATTAGTTTCTATTTATAAACCGATTGAAATCCTAATTATGGCTATTTCGTATTTTGCCCATCAATTTTTTTATTTCGCTACCACATATCGCTTCCTATCTTTTATTCTCGTGTGTTTCATCGTCCGCATCGAATTTTTCCCTTTTGTTGCCTTTTACATGGTGTACGCATGGATTAGAGGTGGCTGTCACTTTCGCCGGCAATAGTTCAATGCATTGGGTTAACGAAGAAGTGAAAAAATATCAACAACAAACAAACAAAATAGCACTTTCTCAATTGTGTCGGTAGCCAGAATGCTGTATCGTGGGTCAACTCGATTTGGTGAGTTCATATTACGTACGTCGTCTCAAAACACAAGTCAATCACACCGATTATGTAATCATGAACACAGCGCTCGTTCGTTCGTTCGTTCGTTCGTTCGTTGGCTCTCGGTCGACGCCACCGATTTTGTGTGTGCACCGTGTGTTTATATCTATGCGAACAATTTCACGTCGATTACAGACAACAACAACAGCAATAGCAACAACAACAACAACAGGCTCATACCAAAATGAAATATTCAAAATGGAAATTGGCATATATAAATTAATTGCAAAATGGGCGAGAAAATTGATCGTTTTTTCATCTTCTTCTTCTTCTTCTTCTTCTTCTTCTTCTTCTTCTGCTGCTGCTGCTGTAGCCAGCCGTTGTTTTCACCACTACTGTCGCCGCCGCCGTTGTCGTCGTCGTCGTCATGAATGTGTTATTGTTTGGTATATGTGACAAACGGCGCATAAAATAAGCGCCATGGCTCGCAAAAAAATGTAATTTATTTGTTGATTTAGTTTCGGTTTATTTTGATTCAAATCCAAACACTGGTAACCTTTGTTTATTTTTACATTTGTTGATTGTTTACTATTTGATTTGCATCATTTCACTCTTTCCCTTTCTCCCAGTCTCTCTATCTATCTGGTTGGCTGACGTGATTACTGCGAAAATTATTGAATTGCATCGTATGATCGAGTGTTTTTTTTCTCTTCTGCGCTCTCTCACACAAATTGTCCAATGTCTATCTCAAATTTGGTTTGAGTGTGTCTTTATTTGCAACAAGTTGGTTTCCGGCCAAAATGAATGTGTGTCATTTGAAAATGACATCGGAACATTATGCAAACGAATCGATTGTCCCATAAGATGCAATCGGCTATCAGACTATAACCAACAGCAACAATTGAAAAAAAACAAAATGCCTTGCATCGAAATTATTTAAAATAATCGGTTCGGTTCGAAGCGAGTGCGATTATGTCACGTTGAATGTTTTGGTTTTGAGTCATCGCAACGTTGTATGAGCTTTCGTTGAATATGTATTTGCATGTGCCACAATCAAGTGTGTCGCTGTAACAGTGGAGTATAATATGCTAATGCGTAGTATGCCGTATTGGTCGTGCCTTTTGTACACACCTTTGAAAAAAAAGCTTAATCACGCGACCACAAGCCGAAAAGCTTTATCGAGACTTCAACCAAAGCACAAACTTATGAGCGGAGCTTAATCAACTCTCCCTTTTCATTGGCAGAACGAACAAAAAATGGAGACGCCATTGGAAATTGTGACAATTTCCATTTGATTGTTGCTGCTACACATGGAAAATTTCCAACTTCCAACGTTTTTTCCACTTAAAAGTGCTTATAGCTCTATAAGCACCATAAAAATGAACAACTTTCTGCTTCAATTGTTGGTTCGACAAACGAAAGAGGAATGTGAATGACAATGTAAATATCGGATCGAGTTTTGTTGTGTCGTGCACATTATAGCTACTCTTGACCAACTTTCTGGAAACCCCATTTGAAATGCGAAAAATCAACAAAACTCACGAAATAATTCGAAATACCATTTCAATTTATCGCATTAGCTTATCTCTGTCTTCGTTTAATAATAATTACAATGGACATTTTTATTTGCTCTGACTTACTCCCGACTGTTTTCAATGCTCCTAATTGAAACGAAATATTGACAATTCATTGTTTGTTCATTTCATTTTCTTTTCTACTGCTTTGAACCAAGGTGCCCAGGTAAAAATTCGTATTATTGTGCGATTGATCGCGTTTAATTCAAGATGATTGAATAAGAAGGATAGTATGAATGGAAAGAAATTGGTTAGAAATTAGGCGAAATTTTTCATGAAGCAATTCGCTTTATTTGGAAGTAATGACCAGATCAAGTGATTTGTGGACATGTAATTCACACATTGAATAGGAGTTTTTAAAGCAACCTCAACCAATTACAATTTGCCACCCGCTATGAACTTGAAATGCACGCCTTAATTGTAGTGAGCGCAGCCAAGCGAATCAAAGGTCAGTATCAGTTCGTATTTTGTTGTGACCGCTGGTGCGTCGGATGTGTCCACTTGGGTGGGAAAATTTACTTTGACAAAAGTGAACTGGCTCAATCATAAATTGTTTATTTATCATTGTAACAAACCGCATTGCACTGATGTATATCATTCCGTGATCTTGAATTGTTTACCATTCGGAGTCCTTATTTCGGCGATCGCATTGCTCTATTGAAAATTTAATTTCATTTGAAATAAAATTTTTAATGCGTTCCCGTTTACGATCGGAAGAATTCTAAGCATAAAATATCAATGTAATTTCTTTGTATTTAATTTCTTGTCTACGTGTTTTTTCTCTCTCTGGAAATTGACCTTGTTTTTTATGCATTGAGAATAAATAACACACAAAACGACTCACATACTTCAAAGGCGGCCACAAATAATCTATTTTTATAAATAAGAATTATTTAGAAAAACGGAAGCTTACAGGTCATTTTTTCTCCAAAGTTCACTTCAAGAATATGACATTTCGATGTTTTGTGCCAAAGTTTCCTATTCATTTAAAAAAAAAAAAAATCGAAATAGCATTCCGAATCGTTGAAATGGTTTTTCATTGCCTGTGAGTTCATCGCGTTATTCGGAAGCGTGTCCGATCCAATATTGTATGTGTGTTTTTTTTTGCGTTGCAAAGGGTCTGCGTACAGTTTGTACAATTGGCATTAGTTGGAGCCAAAAAAAAGGATCGAAGTGCACGAACGGTATGCTTAGTGGCCGATGTTGATATTCATTTTAATTGTATTGATTCATTGTTACTACACAGCGGCCTACGTGGTGAATGTTTATATAAAACGCGTCATTTGGACTACACCACAATTTACACTTGAATCTAACTGCTGAATTAAGGCAAAAGCCACCTGAAAATCCTACATACGCATACCCGATCCATATACATTGGTTATATTGTTTATGTTATTTTGTGTGTTATTTATACTGGGGCCATAGAGTCAGTTCACATTGAATGTTTTATGCTTAGATAGAGACTGGGTGAGTGAATGAGTAAGAGAGAGATAGAGAGAGTCGAACGGAAAAAAGGAATTCGTGTCAATGTATGCTGTAAATGGCAGGGAATATTTTAAGGAATTTTTAGAACTACCGTAAAAATAAAAATAAAAGATGATAATGGCAAATTATAGGCAGGGCACACATTTATTTGGAAAATTTGGTATCATCAATGATGAGTGATCGCTACATTCAACATGAGCTTCGTCACAATTTTAAAGAAGGACGCAAATGAGTGAATTCTCCCTTACAATATAAATGCGTAGTTCAATTACTTCAGTAGCGACTTTCGGTGTTCTTTTCTTCCATTGAAACCAACTCACTTTTGGCACTTTTTTTTCCAAATTGATCCTTTTCTCTTTTCTGGAGCACGCATTTTCAATGTACTGTATTGGAATCGGATACAATAATTGAATGTCCGAGAATGAATCGGTATGTTGTTACACTTACTACATACAGATGTTACACTTTAAAAAAATCTTTTTTGTTGTTACACTTTGAAAAAATTCGATTTTGTTGTTTCATTTCAATAAATTTTTTATTTTTGTTTCACTTATATGTGTTGTGAATAGAAGTTGCGTTTTCATTCTCGGACATTCAATTAAACTATCAATGTCATGTGCATCGTATTAAAATTCTACACCGACTGAATTGTGACCTCCAATATACCATAATTTTTTTGTATTTTGTTCATTGAGCATTGCAAATTGTGTTGGACAGCAGTACTGTAACTCTTTTTGGCCAATATATTGTATTTCATCATTTTCGTAAACATCGCTTTGATTTCTTTCCAGCAGATGTAGCACTTTTTGCTCATGTTTATTTTTGCGGTTTCCGTTATCTCGTCAGATTACCTAGGGAAGCTTGGCGTCAATTCAAGTTTTACATTATATCGACGAATTTAATGAAGACGCCTCACAACAATACACAAATAAGCTTTGAATTTTGTTCTATCTTTGGCAGAATTATGTTAAAAGTATAATAGGCATAGGCGTCTCCAATAATAATGATGTCAAATGTTTGAAAGCCTAAATGATTCCAAAAATGAGGTTAAATTCCCTAGGTAATTTGAACGCAGAATGCATAGAATCGATATAATATTGCTTCTGAATAATATTGGTTTTAAATAAGTTTAATTAAACATTTTTAGCATCGTTAGAAGCAAAATGTACAGAAAAAATGTTTGAATTATATGTTAATTTTCAACTACCGGACTTTTCGTTGAGAACTACCGGATTAGAATTTGGAACTACCGGAATCCGGTAGAGCTACCAGTTAAAATATGCCCTGGTAAATGTTTTTTTTTCTCTGTACCTTTGCTGCTATTCCTTAATAAGTTATACATATAATTATGAGACAGTGTTATATAGCGCCCCGAAGCACATTTTCATGTGCTTGTCGGCACAAGTAACTTGGGTTTGTAACGGTATAAAGCTGGCACAGCGATCCGTGCTGGAAACAGTATCCTTTGAATTTTCATGGCACTCACAACTCTTCATCGCTTATAGCTCAAGTTGAGTGTGCGGCATTTGGTTGGTGTGGTATTTAAAAGCGTCGTCCATCGGCTTCATACAAATTTCATTAAGCGATACAATATTATTTGCGTTATTTGGAAAATAGGAGAAAAAAAATGGTTTTTCTTCTTCGCTTTCGGTGAAATCACAGTGTCTTTAGTGCAATCATAAGCGATAGTTACTTTTATGAACAATAGCATATATGTGAAACAAAGTGAAGAGAACAAGAAGAAAACCGAAAAAATACCGCCGACTAACAATTCAACAGAGAATAATACCGAAAATATACAGAGAATGAGAGAAAAAGAGCGAATTGATTTACGGTGACGTTAGCAAAAGCTACAAAAGACTTTGCATGTTTTAGTTGTGAAAAGAACGAAATTCTTGGCTATTTTGTGTTCTTGTTGATTTTTTTCATGATGTGACAGTCGCGCTTTTGGCGATATTTGCTCAAGATATTATTATAGCTCAAGTGCCCTCCCATAATACAATATATGATCAAAAAGGAATAATTATTTGTGAACCGAGTGCGCAATTTCTATTATTTCAAAGTGAATCACTTGCAAATAAAAGAAAACATTTGCCGATGAATTGATTTTTTGTGTTGGATTTTTGTATTTGTGGCATAAAAAGTGTGTTGAAATGCTATATAAAAAGACTGAAGAGTCATAAGTTTTACCAAATCAAGAAAAAGATCGTTTTACAAACAATAGAAAGGGTATGGATCAAAATCAATCAACCTTTATCCAACAATGACCTTCTAACAATTTTATAACCATACATATTGATCATTCACGAACACCATCCATGTTTTTTGTTGTTGCTGTCGTTTCGTTGTATGTTAAAAAAAAAAGCTTCCATTCAATTATCTGGATTCCGAGTCGTTTGTTTTGTTCCATCAGACGATTGACGTTAATCTGAAATAATTAGTAAATAATCCAATTGCTTTGGCGATACAGAATAATGAAGCGAATCATTAATCAATATCATTTAGACGGCAACAGAACAGAAATGAAGAGAGAGAGAGAGAGAGAGAGAAAAAAACAATAGCGTCTGTGCAATCAGCCACCAATCCAAGTACGTGTGAATTGCGGTTGAGGGCAACATTTGCTATGCACATCCTTTGAATGCTTCTCGCAAGCAATTTATATGTTCTGGTTTATTACGTCAGTCGGTTGGGAATTTACATTTTTCCTTTTTTGAAATATCGCATCAAAGGAAACGATACAAGATTCCAGATATTGGATTTCAAAGCAACGAGCTTCGTTTTTCTTCTTAAGTGCTTTTTATAGCCGCCCGTTTATTCGGACCGCCGCTTATTGACCGACCCTCACCACAAAACGAATTGAATGCAACAGCTATTGCTTTGGCGAGCACTATTACTGGTGGGATTTACACAATGGTCTCTCTATGCGGTTCGAGTAAATTCACATTGAATTTTTCAAATTTGCATTCCACATCGTTACAGGCCATTGTTTTTTGGATATTATTTCAATTCAACTCCTGTCCCCTTCCCTCTCCCTTCCCGTCGCTCATAATCCATCATCGATCGAAAACCGAAAAGAAAATAGCAGAAAAATCAATGGGACTGCAGCTTGTGAAAATATTCTTTATTTCTTTCAAGGTGTGTGTGAGTGTGTAGATTGAATGATAAATAAGGGCAATATGACGAGCAACCATTCGTCAAGCAGCGGCAGCAGTTCATCGTCAACAAATCCAGTTCAAGTTGGTGAAGAACGATTAATGGTAAGGAAATATCGTTTAAATTAGCATGTCATACTTGTCAATTTTTCGTATGTGTTTGTGTGTTGTAACACATTTAAAATCAAAATTGAAGTTTGAATGTCATTGGAAACATTGGATTCATTCAATTAGGTTGCTGTTCGTGTTCGACCGCCGATCAATTTGAAGGAAGACAAATGCATTCAAGTATTTTCCAAGAAATCACTCTACTTCGACGATGGCCACAATAAACCCAAGAAATACATGTACGATTATGTATTTGCTGAGGATTCAACACAAGATGAAGTGTACCAGACAACGACATCGCCACTTATTAAAGACGTTCTCAAAGGATATAGTGCGGCCGTATTTGCGTACGGTGCCACCGGTTCAGGTAATAATATATACTAATAATCATAATAAATTAACGAAATTACAAAACGGAAATTTCGCTTTCCACGATCGGAATTTGATTGAAATCGATTTCGGTGTTGAATGTTATTTCTTTTCCTTTTCCGAAGGCAAAACACACACAATGCTCGGGGCAAATCCACGAAAGGTGGCTGGCACACCGATATCTTCATCAGCAGCCGAATTTCCACCAAAAACGGCCATATCGGTTCAAACACAATCAACGGACGGCGGCCTAATGGTAAAAGCAATGGATGAAATCTTTCGACATGTCGAACAGGCTGACAACCCCGAATCATTCAAGGTAATTAATACATTCAATTCGAATTGGTTATTAATGATTAATTTTGATTTGTTCATGGCTGTTACGGAGTTGCTTCGGAAGTAAAAATTGCGATTCTTTTTTAAAAGCCATTTGAAAATCAAAAATACCGATATATCGTTAGCAACATTATATCACACTACGAATGGACAGTAGTATGAAGGGAAACCGCTCTTGAAATGAATACACATCGAAGCAATTACGTGAGCTAAGTAATGTTAAAGTGTATTAATTCGAGCATATACTTGATATTGGAGTTTGTTTTGATTATGTCGGTCTCAAGAATTGTTGCCATCCTGTTCACTGTTGCCGACGCCAAAGTTCATCATTGTTTGATTAGTGCTTTTTTATGGATATGTGTGTGTCTGCTTTTTTCCCTATTGCCTTGATGTGTGCATAGCATAAACGAGCTTCGCATATATTAATTGAGGATAAGATATGGCGCATTTAGAAAGCATTGACACACAGTCACCGACCGAACGAATCCATGCATTAGCATAGAAATGCTTTTCAACTTCCGAATCCTATCGAAAGCAATTCATGACAAACAGTAGAGAAACAAAATTTGAACCATAACACACCATTCACGACGAATATGACGTTTTCGTTTTTTCGGGGGTAGGTCTTTTTTATCTAATCATTCATCACATTTGAATATAAACGAAGGATACAGTTTATGTTTTTTGTTCTGATATTTTGAAAGAAGAAAAAAACACAGACAGAATGAAAATAAAAACAACAGCAACGGTTGTTGTATAACTTGATCGGTTGCTGATAGTGGTAGCGAATCTGAGTGTGTGGCAAAGCAAACACTGCGCCACATTGCTTCCATTTAAAAAGTACTTTGAACGATTGCGATTACACGCGACGTTTAATAATTAATAGGAATCCGTTTATTATTTCAAGTGAATACCTTATCACCTCATATGAGTAGTTTTTTATTCTCTCTCGCTCATAACAAACACAAAGTACGCTTCGTGTTCATTACAGTAATAAGTTTGATTTCATTATTCGGGATTTGCTGTAATCGCATATAAAATCGTATCATATAGGATTATAGAGTTATATGAAAATGTAAATAGAATTGGTTAGAGTTAATTATTGATATTATTTCAAATAAATGAATGGCGATGTGGTGAATGAACAGTAATAACAACAGGAAAAATTAGTTCAAAAACAAGATTCAATTATCAAGAGTTTTTGAAGTTTTTCAACGATGACAATAATTAAAGCGGTTAAAACTCTTGATTTGAGACGTGTTTAAAGAGTGATTAAAACTGGTATCAAAACTTTCAAAGTATAATTGGTCAATGGTCGAAAGGCATCTTGATCACGATTTATCGTAACGTCGACTACAATTACATCGCCTCCTTACACCTACGTTTCTTTTTCTTTTCTTTTTTGCCCTAACTTTATGCCGAACTGATTTCCAAATTTAGATCAACGTAAAATTAGGTCATAGCACCGAAAGGAATGTCATAATCGGAGAGAGAGTGACGGCGTCAGGTCAATGGTTTTCGTGTCAATAGATTCTTAAATTTACAAAACTTATGAATAAAATACGCGCGAGAGCTTGGCCATTATTTACAAAATATTTACATACCAAATGAATGGCTTAAATTGGGGTTAGGCAAAAAGCAGAGAGCGAGAAAAAAAAACGAAAAATAAATATTTTTTGGCCAAACGATTGTAATTGCTGTAACGCAATCGTTTTTGTCGCATGCCATTCCTCAGCCCAAGCGGTACGGCATTTTCTCGGTTAAACTTGTAGAATAAAGTGAACAATTGCCCAAAGCTTATCGGCGCGCTCTCGGTTATACTATTATTTGTTCTGTGATTTGTCCCGACTTAAACTAGTTAGCCCCGTTTGCTAAATGGACACACAGTAAGATCGATCCATGCTTTTACATTGCTCAATTCGTTGATCTAATTAATTTATGCAATTTAACGAACGCAACTACAAATTATACACCGTATTCGAACGTAAGAATATGTATAAATTGTTGTAATAATGTGAACGTTTCACACGCACGACCCACAGCCAAACACACACATCCACTAAACAACCTAATTCCACAAAAGTGAGCAACCAATTTGATTTTTAACGCTATAACCACAGCATTTGCCGAATCCAAACCACAATGAACGGCTACCTGATAAATTTCATTTTTATTTTCGGTAGAACGCGTGACGAAAATTGTAGCAAATATTCAGCGCGTACATCTGCCATTCTGCATGCTAACCTTAACCGAAATAAGAAATAGTATATTTATATTAAACGTCAGATTTGCATGTTTTTGCTGTTTTTTTTTTGTTCGCTTCACATATGAGCTAGAAGAAAAACAACGATATTTCATTATTTTTCGGGGGGTGACAAGTGGCGACACACACACGAAATTCATCGTAAATTATTTTTTTTTGCTCGAAAAAAGGAAAACAAGAGCAACCAAGACTATGTTGTTTTAGGTTTATGAAAACATGTGACGAATGACTCTGCGCTTAACATTTATTTTTTCTTCGAATTTCGTCATATTTTTTTCCCTCAATATATATATATATATGTATATGATTGTTGTTGGCGCACACGATACACAAAATAAATCGTGTAATATTTCCAACAAATGCTCACTCGGTTCGATTTCATCGAATACTATTGAAAAAAAATGAAAAAGAAATCAACGCGAAAACAAAACAAAAAAGCGAATAATCGAGAGTATACAGGCTGGTTTTGCATGTAAACTCCTTTTCTGTCTGTCACTCGAGTGAGCGGGACAGAGAAAGTGAATTTTGCACATGTTCTCACAAACGAACTGTTTGCGAAACGCACGAGTGAGAGAAAGAGGTGGAAAGATCACAAAGAAAAGCGAGAAATGCTATAAATAATAATTATATACATAACCTTGCCCTAATGCTTATTGATTGAAATTACCCAGCTCGCTGGATTCGATGTTTAAACGAAACGCGTTGATTCGACTCGATTCCTTTATTTACGTATTGTTTGCGTTTATTTTTTTCACCATTCTTTTCCTTTTCCTTTCATTCCTTTCCTGCTCAATTCACTTTTTTTCCCGACGTTTCATTTTGGGGGCGGCTCTGTGGAATTCCAATTGAAAGCGTCACAAAACCTATACAGTCGCACACAACCATTCACGCGCGCGCTACAGTACAATCCATGTTCTGTTGTTGCACTCATGGTTTTTGCGTTGAGCATATAACATGCGAAGGAATCTGGGCTTCGTTTGTGATCGCAATAAGCTTTACAGCAACGGCCTGTCGAACGAAAATAGATGATTTACCCTACACACAAACAGACGATGGAAATAAACCGAAAAAAAAACAACTCAACACTGAATTATCGGCGACATGAATGAAACGTATTTACACGTGCTTTCAATTAATCGTGTCACTTTCGAAGAATTTCTCACATATTTTCTAGAACGTACACAACTATTTTCACTACGTAATCACATTCGGAAGTGTTGAAATTTTGAAGATTCCACTTTAAAAATAGTTGCAACATTCGATTGCGAAATGGTAAACGACACATACCTTTACCGATGGATTTCTTCTACTTTTTTTTTTGATTTATTTTCTGATTAGGATTTGTAGGCGATTCAAAATGGATTTTTCAAATATTCATTACATTTTCGACATGAACGCCAATTGTGTTATTCGTGTGGTTAATTAATCACTTTCAATTTTCTTGATTGCGTTTTGAAAATCATTTTCGCTTTTGTTGTTGTTGCCTTTTTTTCTCTCTAAATATCAAGGTGTCCATTTCGTATTTGGAAATTTACAATGAACTCATTAAGGATTTATTGAATCCGAGTGGGCCGCTCGAGTTACGAGAAGATAATCGAGGTCAACGTATAACTGTTGCTGGTCTTTCGGAGATAATTGCAACGAATCGACAAGAAGTGATTTCGCTACTGATTCGTGGCAATAAAGCGAGAACGATGGAACCAACGGCCGCCAATCAAACGTCATCACGAAGTCATGCATTGCTCAGTGTAACCGTACAACATTCGACGCCGTTGGGCACGAAACAAGGACGCCTCTATCTCACCGATTTGGCCGGTTCGGAACGCGCCAAAAAGACAAAAAATCGCGGTAAACGTTTGCAAGAAGGCGCACACATCAATCGAAGTCTCTTAGCCCTGGGCAATTGCATAAATGCACTATCGGATGGAGCCAAGTATGTCGGTACTTAGAAAAAAATCTAATAAATCAGCCTCATTTTCATTTGTGATTCCAGGTATGTCAACTACCGTGATTCAAAGCTAACGCGACTTTTAAAAGAAACACTCAGCGGTCGATGCAAAACTGTTATGATTGCTCACGTTTCACCCGAAGCACAGCATCGCGATGAAACCAAGAATACACTAGTTTATGCAGATCGTGCCAATCACATAACGACACGACTGCAAAAACCCGAACTCATGGAGGAAACCGTTGAATTTCCATTAAATCATTATCAGCATTTAGTAACTGAACTGCGCGAAGAAGTTACACGTCTGAAATCAAAAATGCTTACCGAACGACCGCGGAGCGGCGTTGCCGCTGCAGCACTTGCCAATCCCAATTCAATTGAGGAACAAACGAAGAAAGCCGAATTACGATATTTACGCGAACAAATCGTTCTCACTTTCAAACAACAAATGAAACTGCGACGACGATTGCTTGAGGCTGAGAGTCATTTACTTGGTCTTGAATTGGATGCTGAACGACAGCACATGGTTATTTCGCATTGGCAAGGCCGCATGGGCAAATTGTATGACACGGCAATCGATCAAAACAATGAAAATGGTAAGATAATTGCTCGTTTTGGGGAAATCAACATCTTTTGTTCTTTGCTACCCTTTCAATTGAGTCTTAAACTGCGTTGCAATTTGCGGATCAAGATATTTTTAATAATCTGATTGTTTTTCGACAGATTCTGATTCCGAGGGAAATATTGCGTTAAAGTCGGCTTGGAGCGAATTGGCGGCAATCGAACGAGAGGCGAAACGATACAAAGAAATTCGCGAACAAACTGAAAAGGATTTGGAATTGTGCCGTCAGAAAGGTGTTGCCCTGGAGGATGAACTACCTGATCGTATAAGCAGCGACGATGAACGGGAGCTATTGGCACTGTTGTGTCGGGTGCACGAATTAGAAGCGGATAAAGTGTCACTGCAAGCTGATCGATTGGCACGACAAGCTGAACTTCGCCGAAGAGATTTGCAATTGTTACGCGCTGAACGCCAACGACGATTATGCGAGGATATTATCTCAACACAACGAAAACTGATCGAAGATGGTAAAGTTGAATTACCGGTCGAATTGCAAGAGCTTTATTCGCTTTATCAACAAGAGATCCATGCCAGCACATACAATGGCAGTTTATCATCGCCTCGTGAACTCTACGACCGAAAGCTTCCACCGATTTATTCCAAGGGGTTAGTTTTTTGATATTCATCGGCATTTCATTTTTCCCAAATATTCTTTCATAATAATTCAATCAGTTGGAATAATTGATGCAACTGATCCATTTTTCTTCGTTCTACAGCGAACGATCACCGGGAAGTTCGTCTTCAAGCTCGGACTGGTCAATATCACCATTGCCGGCCATTGAGCAAAAGCAATCGTCACAACATGATAACCCGGACCGTTTAATGGGTGCGCCAGTGGTGCCTCGACTTCCATCGATATTGAAAAATCAGCCCGCCAGTCGGTTTAGGTGAGAATCATTTTTTTCGTTTGCACAAATCTAAATGCCGAACAAAAGCACCAAGAAAAACTCGTAAATGTGTCACTGTTTGTGTGTGTGTGAAAAGACGAAACAAAAAAAAATGTGCAAACGAAACAACCGAAGAAACGTATAAGCAATTTTTGGAATTGATTATGTTTTTTTTTCTCCATTTAAATGTAAACCTCACGAAAGTAGTAGATGTGTTCGATTTTGGCATTTCCAGCACCACATCAAAATGCCTGTGTTTGAGTGAATTTTTCCAAACACTGATCCGTAGTAAAACACGAAAAGTAGATGAAGTAAAGCAAATTGTCGTCAAATGTTATTTTCTCAGCTGAAATCAAACAAATTTTCTTCTTTTTTCTTCCATTTTCTTCTTTGTTATTTACAGCGAAAACCAAAGTGCACAAAACGTTGAATAATTTTACTTGTGCATCAAATAGAGTTTTGTTTTTCTTAAGTTCGTCGTTACTCATTTTAGATTTAGGCAAGACCAAAAATAAAAGAACATAAAGGGTTTCCATAAATTTCGAATATCAAAGAGTTGATAGTTCGAAAATTGATTCAGTCGCGCTCAATGTAAGTAGATTTGTTACATGAACAATGTATAAATTAGGGTATTTAATAATTACATTATTATGTAAACCAATGTTGGTTGATGATTTGTTGTGCAGCATATAACAACAATTGATGAATTATTAATAAGAAGAAGAAGAAAAAAAAAACAGTTCACCTACTGAAATGGAACTTAAATTGAAGACTAATAATAATGAACACAACACAACAACAACAACAAAAATGAGCTCAAATTGAAAAATGTTCTTCATCATCTATAACTTTTACTGTAGATAGTTTTATGTCGATTTCCCGCACAAACAACTAACTAGGTCAAAAGCGCAGCAATTGCAATTAATATTGCGTGTGTGTATGTTCAGACTTTCATGTAATGCATAATATCATAACATTTCATGACAATACATATTAGCAACAGAATTCTTCAACTATTTCGATAAGAATTTAGCGTTAGTTATTTATTTTTTCCTCTCCGTTCTGTTTCCCTGTTGCTCGCTGTCTTCAACGGCCACATTTTTTGCTTTGTCGTTGACAAAAGTTTTACTTGGTGCCTTTATTCTTGAAACATTCCATTTGAAAAATAACCGCAGTTTGACATGTGTTTAATTGTGCATTAGAATGGTTTATTTTAGTTGTGTTGAACCAAGAAAACAAAAAAACCTTTACCCTACAAAAAAATCTGTACTATTTTGAAATAAAAACTTGAGCTATTTGCAACCACAGGATTTTTGGGCGTTTCTTTTATTGATTTGTAAATTGAATGGACAGCATCACTGTGCATTTCAGGGTGGGTGAGCTTTGGTGTATTGATTTGGATCATAATCGTTCAATAATAATTTGCCGTGAGATTATTGAAATTGTTTTTAATTGGCGCGTTTTAGCTGCATCAAAACATTCAATTTAACGTTGTTTATGCGATATAGCTGTAGCTGCGACAATGAAAATTTAAAGCAAATTGCGTTTTAAGGATACGAATGGCGGTAAACCGACCTGTCGCGTGAGTAATTATGCTTGAAAAGTTTTTGTTGTTCATTTTACGTTTGACACGCTTCTGTGGCCATTTCGTTTGGATTTGCATGAGGCAAACGATGGAACAAACAAGGAGAATAACACGGATCATTTATTCTATTCTTCTGAATGTGTGGATTTTAGGTAAGTGCCACACACCGTATGAACTTTGTGAGTCAGTCGATTATGAGACAACAAATTATCATATTCCTGAAACAACACGTCGCCTTTATTTTGCACTGTACAGTGTACACGCATTTATATGGTTTACACGTTCGCTCTATCTCAGGTGTTTTCCATACAAATGCTTGTGAACATTGCATAAATTTGATTTAATTTAATTGTAATGATTTTCATAGTAAGTGATCATTATTCTGTTTCCTACATTTAAACTTCACATTTTACTGTCGGTGTTTGAATAGAATAAGAAGTATGCTGCATATTAAATAGTGTAACATGTGACATCTTGAGGTGGATGATCTGTGTGGGAGAAATTCCGATTCATTTTCATTAGATCATCCCAGATTGTCTCCTAACGGTATGAGCTAACGCTCAGGAATAAGTATTGTCTTATCTTAAGTGACTGTTTAGTTCAAATATTTTCCGTTAGAGCACTTACTCAAAAGCCTTAAATATCCTTCTTAAACAACGATCCAAACACATGCGCGTTAAAACACATAAAAAACGCAGTACTAAAATAGAGCATTTTTTTGGAACGACATTTGTATTTGCAATGCATATGTTACACAGGACAGAGTATTTCAGTGTGAAAATAAAGGCATAGAATGGTGTTGATTATTCTAAAGGTCAAATTTCATTTTGTACTGATTTCAATATTATAAAACAAATTACTAGTTCAAAAGAATTTGATTGTTTTCCATTTGATACGAGTATTATAAATAAATTGCGATAATAAGACCGTGTACAAAAAAAGTCACAAAATTCATCAAAATGTTGTCTGCATCTCCTGAATCATTGAGCCTAACAACGATAAATGATGACTGTAAAGAACTGATTTTCGAACGATTGAAATGGTCAGAATTGGTAAATGTGGCAGATACGAGTAAACAACTTTATACATCAGCTTGCAGAGTTTTTAAGCGAAAATATGGCAGCAATAAAAAAACTGATCTTGGATTGCCATTGGATGATGTGTAAGTCCTTGACTCTGAACTAAAAAAAAATGCTGTGTTTTTATTCACGTTCATTTTTTAATTTAGGTTTTGCGAATGCCCACAACCAATATCAGAACCAGACATTTGCGTTTCGAATCCCGCGATGGCATTAAAACTTCTGCGAAACTTCGGACACTTAATAGTGAATTTGCATCTAGATTTTACTTTGTTTTATTGCCGCAGACATGGCCCAGTTGACGCATATAAAATGATTGATAACTATTTGGCTGAATACTGCTCTGAATCGCTCAATCAACTTTCATTGCAATACTGCTACTATGACGATGTTCTGCTTGATCATATACAAAGGCCATTTACCAACGTTACAACTCTTTGCATCGAACAATGTCTGTTCAAATCGGAGCTTCCATTCAATAGATTTTTTTCCAAAATTACATACTTTGAAAATGGGCCACAATGGATACAAAGATACATCAGCGATTAGAGTCCATATTCCAACGCTGAGAAATTTATTTTTTTTCGATGACATTTATTTCCTTGCCAACAAAAAATTTCAAGAAGAAGATATCGTAGAATTATTCAAATTGCGCCATGGATACAGCTCCAATTTCATTCCACGCATTAGAGAATATTGCCCAAATCTCAAACTTCAAAGTGGACAATTCCCTCATCCTTTCTCTTATAAACGATTTAAATACAATCGGTATGGTTCACGCACAACTAGATCCTTTTTCACATATGACAATGATCCGGCAATTATATCCGTTCAATACAAATATGATTTAGAAAATCTATTCTATCTTTATAATTTTACCTAGATAATTGATTCTTTATCTTAATCGATGATTTCTTATTCAAAATTTAAACAGATCGAAACAAGTTTTTATTTCATATCCTCTAATTTTTCATGCAATTCATATTACGATCCAATTTTTAAATATATTTTCTATTGACCGTCACTTCAACTGAAAATCAAATCGAATACAAATACAAAAACCACAACATCGCAATCAACATGTTCCAAACGTTCAAATCATCTCACTTTCAATTCGATTCGTGTGACAATCGGTGACAATAAAATGTCATAAATTAGCTACAATAACTTCCACTGAAACAATGATTTACGATCGTTCTATCTCTCTCCGACTCTGCTCTATTGCATACGATGATGTGCAAGGTAGTGAAAAACGAAATATGCGGATAACTAAACAACTAAATCAAACAATTCTTTCTAGACTATGGAAGAATACATTTCAAACGATCAATACGTCTTGCCTATCATCGAAAACGACAAAAATCTCGACTTGAACGGGCGATTCTTTCCAAAAGAAAATTGGTCACCGGCGGTTTTAGTTCGTCATCATGGTCTTTTCATTTGGGGTGCTATGTATACAAACGATCAAGCCATTCAAAGGTACACGAAATCTTTCCTTAAAATTATCATCAGGAAATACCAATCAAAAATCTTTTTCTTTACTTATAATTCTTCTATTTGTGAAGCTTTAGAACATCTGTTCGAAATAACTGTGAAAATGGGTAAACTGCAACAACAACAACAACTCACAAACATTAAACATTATTTTTGTACATTTGAAGAAGTAAGATAGAGATAGAGAGTGAGAGAAAAAGAGAGAGAGAATTCCAATTGAAGGAATAAATAATTCGAAGGGAACAATAAAGATATTTTTTTGGCAGCTATATTTCAAGTATTTTTCATATAAACGCTTTTGAATATTGCATAAATTTAATATAATTGTAATAATAGTTGTCAAGTGATTACTATCATATTTTTTTCACATTTAAACGTTCTGGTGTTAGACAGAAAAAAAACACAACATGAACATAAAAATCAGGACCGAACGTACTATGTATTATTTATTTTATAAATTAAAAAATATGAATTTTGTTTGTCTTCATCATAATTGTTTTGTTTCATTTTTTTCTTTTTTCTTTTTTGCTTCACACAATGGAATAATTTGAATGTTAATAGCGATATTTATCTGACTTATTTTTCGTTTGTTCAAACTTTGAACCGTGCACAGAGTTATTATTAAAAAAAAGGAAATATGAAGAAGATTAGCGTTGCTGTTGGTGCATCGTCTAAACACATGGCTCGACATAATTTCCCGGAAATAGTCCAGTTACGCCATCCATAACACCTTCCCACCAACCGTCATCGTTCTTCTTGAGCACATACAGTACAGAACTCTCTTGAAAACTTAATTCATCGTCTGTTTTCATGGTGAATGACGAAAAGAAACGGAAAGGAAACAGAAGAAAAACGAAAATTGCATGAATATTTAATTGGATCATTACTCCGTCGGTCAAGTACTATCGAATATAGTATACATACCTTTATCCGCATAGTAATCGTAAATAGCAACAACTGAAATTATTAACATTATACATTAATGATGACCTGAACGAAAATGAGGTGATAATAACCATCGCTTGTTACCTTTTTCGATGTAATTCTTTGGCACCCAACCGGGAAGATTTTGGTCTTCTGGCACAATTGGAGCCAATGGACCGACTGATTGCGTTCTTGGCCTGCCGAAATTCTGGTTTTCATCTTCTTCTGGTGGTGGCGGTGGCAATGGTGGTGATTGCGATCCAGGTCTGTGAAGATGCTTTCTACAGTTTTCAGCCCAATCGAGTACAATAGAGACAAAGAGGAGAGCGACAGAGGCATAGGAAAGAGAGAGAGAGAGCGGTTTGTGCGTGCATTAATTTCGATTGTTTTCATATGTACAAATTCCAAAATGTTGGAATGTGCGCTTTTGTGCAAAGGAGTTGAGAGACAAATTGAACTGATTCGAGTCTGGTTACCTGCTAATATTTCGGCCCAAAGTATGCATTCCGATATGGTTTTGATCAGGCATCTCATGAGTCATAGTCAATGGCGATGGCGGAGCTGTGAAGAAGGAACATTTTTGAACTGACATTAAAAGAATTTCCATTATTGTCTTTTCCATTGAAGTTAAAAGTCGTCGAACATTGTCTCAAATTGAAAAAATATACCTGGCATTGTGGTTCTATCATCAAACGTATTTGGCGGTGGAGGTGGCAATGGATGAACTAGATTAACCTGAAACGGAAACACCATTGATTATTACGTAAAATTGTATTTAGTTTCAACAGAACTGGTTTGATTTTTTGATTACACGATCAGTTCAATGCCCTTGCTTTACGTTGAATAAACCAACCACTTCCACCGAGTGTACGAAATGTAGTGGGGATTTGTGAGAAAAAAAATGTGAATGATTCACTTACATTGCTGACTGGTGCAATTTGTTGACTTGGCGGCATTGGAACGGCACTATAGCCGGGTCCACGTTCACTGGTTTGTCGACGTGGATGGCCGACCGGATAATTTGGCGCATAATGAGATGGAACTTGTGGCGGAACAACAACTGGTGGTGTTCGATATTCGCGAGAACCCTTTCCAAGTGTTCCCGTGCTACCAGCTTTCAATTGCACTGCACCTCGGCTCAGCTGTGGCGGTGTTGGTGGCTTTGTCGTTGGCGGTGGACCAACAACTGGATTTGGCGGTGCTGGTATTTGCTGGAATAAAACCGGTTTTCAATTAGATAAAACAGACTCAGTATACTTTGCGATAGTAACAATGTCAATGGACAATTCTTACTTGAACCGAGACTCGTTGTTTCTGCTTTGCATGCAAACCATGGCCGATGTCATCCAAAATGGAGTAATCGATCGGCTTGCGAACGTATTTGATTGGTTTCTCCGGATTCAATGGTGCAACAATTTTATATTGTCTCGTACTAATTTTGTTTGCTGTCAACACCCCAATTTCACTGCAAATGGAACAGAAGCGAAACATAACCATTATAACTGTGGTCCGACAGAACAGCTCATTCATGTAATTAGAAGCAAGCAGTTTGAGAGGAAGCGTAAAAGCAGCAAAAACTCACCGTCTGGCCACTTTTTCCTTGTGAATCGAAACTGTTTGGGCGATATGGTTCATTTGAGATTCCATTTCGCCCAGTTGCTGCGCTTGCATATCCAATAATTGTAGATAATTATACGCTAACGTATTGATCTGGTATGCAACACTGGCCAACGATTGCGTTGTATAATTCTTTGTCTCTTCGAGTGCCGCTTTCTTGTTGTCTGCCCTGTAAACCGAATAACCGTGAATGCTTTGATATGAATCATGAATGAGAATCAGTGGAATGGATGTTAATTTACCTATAGTACGTATCCTCACAGTATTCGGCGACTCGGGCAAGATTCGTGTAGCTGTCCTGAAGGCTTTGTCTGCCCTCTGGAATGTCAGTTCTTATCAACGTTGCCAGCTCGTCCATGATATTTTCACTACCCATTGCACTTTGACGATCCTGATACGAGGAATCTAATTCGATACAAGAGATCAACGATAAACTATTTGATGTTGTAAAATTCACGCCTTTTTTATCTTGTTCTCTATATCGACAACTGCCTGTGTGTGACACGAGCTCAATGTAACTCAAAAATGAAATATCTTGCGATTTTGCGAGAGCGAATATGATTCAATACACACTCAGCTACGTTGAATTGTTCAGCGTTTAAGTGTATTTACTTTCGTAAGATGTGAATTATGATTCACAAAATCATAAAACCGGAAAATCTGAGCCACACACACGGACACAGACACAGACACAGGCACGAAAACCATCACATTTTTAGTGTATTCCATGTTAACATTCTACTAATGCAAGTTTCCAATTGCAGTTAACTGCATGCTCGGCCAATTCAATTTGCATTACACATTCGGTTATGTCTGATTGAAAACCAAAAGGGGCCAAATGCACACAATTAGAAGGGAAAAAAACAAGAGCTTCACGTACAGAATGAGATAAGTGTTGGTCGATCTGTTTTGATCGTTGGTTTCACATTTAAAAGAAGAAGCTGATAGAGAAGAGTATAAGAGAGAAAAAACAGCACACAACAATCAAACTATTTTAAAATAGTTCTGCGCATCGGAGCAGATGCATTTTGATGCAATATTGCATATCTTGCATGTTTCTATCGGTGTTGCATACACAGTCTCCGAATCGGTTGGGTGGAGAACTGACAATTTAATACACACTTCCTTTGTGATAGCGGTTGCAAAATACCATATATTTTTTTTCTCTCTTATTCAAACACCGTATAAACATTTCGGCCAAGTGAATCATTTTTGTGCCTCACCTGTGTTGTACGAGTATCGATTCATGTTGAAGAATTTGTTGTTGTTTTTTTTTTTGATTTCGTTTCTGAACAAAATGTAAATAATATTCTGAACAAACGAAAAACCAATCAACCAATTTACGAAATCAACTAAAGGCAAATTTGTATTTGTACAAGAACTAAAACGGACAAAAAAAAAATAATACTAATTGACTTTTCAAGAACAATTTGATTGTGTGTTTATATGTATATATTGGTTTGATAGTCGAACACATCAGCCATATTTTATTCCGGATCGTGCAATACACCTAAATCATACACACACCGCGCACCATACAAACACACACAAACGAATACTGTGACAATCACACGTCACGGCCGTCGAGGCAAACATGGATGCGTTTATTCTATATATCGATTACCAAAACTCGGTTGAAACACATCCGAATGGCAAATGAAAACCAAACGAAATAACACTTTTCTGTTTGGCCATTAAATGCAAAGGTGGAAAATAAACCGAATGAAAATTGCCATTGTTTGCATTAATGAAAATTTAAATTAAAAAAAAAAACCAAAAAATTCGTCCATACGAAAATAAAAACAAACAAAATCCAATTCAAAGTGTCATTACGCATTATGAGCAAGCGAACGCATTCATTCACTATACTAGCCCAATTGTCAAATTGTTAAGCAACTCCACAGACAGAATATTTGGACAATCGCCTAAATTTATACTTTGCTCTCAAAAATAGCCATCAAACTTTTTTTTCCTTCTCAAGCATAATTTTCCATTTTATTTCCTTAATTTAATAAGTCATAAACATATAACCGAATACGAAAACAAAACGAAAAAAAATACAAGAAAACAGAAAAAAAGTACTTGCTTGCTGTTTCATGTTTCGTTATCTAAATTATCAAACATTTTTACAGCAAAAGAAAATCCTTTCTATCTCAACAAAAAAAAAAATTGTTTTTTCTTTCGTTTCGATTCAACTATTCTGCACAAGTTCGAATGTAAAGTTCATATCTTTTTACCGTCGGAAAATCGGTCATTATATATAAATCAACGAAAAGTTCGAAAATTAAATCGAGAAAATTAAAAGCGAAAAAATACTCGGCAGAAGGAGAATAAGCAACAACAACAACAACAACAAAATTCTATATACATATAAAACACATTGAAAATGGTGAAGAATATTATAGAAGCGCTGGTGCATGCATCAGAAAAAGCTGCCAATATAGCGCGATTGTGCCGTCAAAATGAACATTTATTTCCGTTGCTCGTCGAAGAGAAATCAGCCGAAGAATCGAATCCCCGTTTCGTCAAAGATTTTAAAACATTGGCCGATGTTTTGATTCAACAAACCATTCGTTATGACATTGGCAATTTGGTATGAATTATGGATTAATTTTTCCTTCACTATTTCTTCTCCCACTTCAATTGTGGTGGTTTCTTTTTTGTTCTGTTTCGTTTTTTGTTTATTTGCGATTCAATTACAATCAATTTCAAACTAAATGGAAATCGTTTAGTGAATAAGAAAAGGAGGAAAAAGACGTACAAATTGAACAAATATTGGTGTTATGTAATTACAAACAGTAGTTGTTTTTTTTTTCGTTTCTTCATTGGTACAAACAAAAAGAAAATTGAAAAGTAATTGAGTGGATGTTTTGTTTGTGTGTGTGTGAATGCGAGTGTTTGAATGAAGAGAAAAAAAAACGAGTTCGAAGAAAATATTGAAATTCAAATCGCAATAATATCAAAAACAAAAGGCCACAAAAAAATACCCTGTAAGACGTAGACAAAATATTTATATTTCGTTCATTGTTATTTGTTGTGCCCGCAATCAAGTATCCACTAGTAAATATTCAAGGTGAAGAGACAGCTACATTCACCAACGGACTCGGCGAATCAATAGATTTAGAGATAACCGATAACCAAGAAAATACTATCGAGTGTTTAGTGAAAATTTTGGACGGAGACCGAGTCGCTGCCGAGCTTTTAGCTGCCGAAGTACATCGAACAGTCATTTGTGAACATGGTGACATTGACGCACTGCCCGATTTGGTAATGTCGCACACACACATTAATATATTTTTTTCAGTTTTTGTTTTTTATTTTACGTCTTGTTTTGTAATTGAAACCGTGTTTTATATGTCCATTCCCCCCGATTGTAATCGGTGCTGGTTAAACTAATTGATTGAATTTCGTTTGCAAACAGCCAGACAATTTGGACTTATCAGGAGTCGGAATTTGGATTGATCCGATTGGTTTGGCACATTTCAATCATATTACTCATTTTTATTAAGTGTAGCAGCGATGATTAATTTGCATGAGACTAACTGAAAATGTGTTTTCTCTCTCTGTTTCTCTTTCGTTTCCCTTTGTGTATACGCGGATGGCGTGTGCTTGTGTGTATGGATGTGTGCGTGATTGTAGACGCGACTCAGGAATACATCAAGGCCGAAATGATAAGAAAGTATCCAAAAATATGCGCATCGGGCTTGGAATGTGTAACCGTTTTGATCGGTTTATACGATAAGGGAAATGGAAAACCGTTGGCTGGCATCATTAATCAGCCGTTCAATGAGAAAACGGATACAGGGTAATTACAATTGGCTAGTGAAAAATTGGCCCATCACGCAATTTCTCATTCATATTTCTTGTTGTTTTGTTCTTTTTGTTCTTTGCTTGTTGTGCTACGCACTCAGGTACAACAGCAAAGTCATTTGGGGTATATGCATGGGAGACGATCTCAAAGTAACAAATCTTCCAAAGGAAGGTGGAAAAAACACCAAACTCGCGGTTGTGTCATCGTCTGAAGATGAAAAATATATCAAAGCGCTCAGAGATTTAGGCTATACGGTTGTATTTTCAGCCGGTGCTGGCTACAAGATATTGAAAGTGATCATTGGCGATGCCGATTTATTTTTGCTCAGCAAAAATACCACATTCAAATGGGACACATGCGGACCACATGCCATTCTAAATGCCATCGATGGTGGTCTCTTTAAAATTGAAGACATCATCGAATCGAATAATATCATTGAATTGGATTATTCGGATGAACGTGACAATTCCAACGAGGGCGGTTTACTTGCGTTGCGTCGCAACGAAAAGCACATCCTACAGGATTTGTACAGTAAAAAGTAAGCAATTCCTTATCATCCTGTTACTCTTTCCTACGACGTCCCATCCTCCCCAAACTCCTCCGTGTCCCCTTTGTCCCTTCAACACACACACACACATAGGCTCCCAATAGATGGCAGTGCAAAATTGTATGAACTACAAAAACGATAAGTATTAAGACACAAACCATTTATTGCTGACAAATAACCGTATCAACACACAATTAAAAAACAAATAAAAAAACACACATACGAATTCCACTTATCAAAATTTACGAAACAGGTAAACACACAGAGCATTGAATTATTTTTGTGTAACCATTTATGGCATTTAGAGAAACAAAAAGAAAACACAACCGAGAGGCAATGATATATATATTAGATTTTGACTATTTATTCTTGTGAACATTTTGAAGAAATTTGTAGCCAGATGTTTGCAGCCACACACACACAAACAAACAAACAAACATAACAGATAGTTATTTTCATAGGAAAACAACTACACCGAAATATAAAAATGAAAAAAAAAAAACAAAAATGAAATCTGATCTCGTGTTCAAGTCACATTTGAACCGATCAATACTGAACATTTCAAAGCATATTCGACGAATTTATCATTTGATTTGCAGCGACTTGAATTTTTCTCTCAACACAGGCGGCGCATTTGCATAACTGCAGGCGCATTTCGCCGACACACTTTATTTTTCGTTATTAGATTGTTGATGTAAATTTGGTTTGGAATTTAAATTGGATCTACCGTTTTTTTTATTTTATCGGTATTTTTTTATTAATTTGTTGACTGATTTGACACAGTTGTAAAGAGAAAAAAAGAATTGTTTTACCATAAATTTACGTTAAAATTAGTATTGTTAAGCTTAAAATGCTATAGATTTGGGAATCTCTTAATGTTGGACAAGCCGTTATCGCTAACAAAAAAAACTAACAAATCAAACCAAACAACAATAACCAGAAAATAAGAAAACTTAAACAAACAAAAAAAATGGCACAGGCCAATATATTATGTGCCGATTTATGTGGTGTTTATGCACACTTACTTTTGAACAGCAACAACAACAACAAATTTAAAGCAATCCAATGAATATGTTTTAAAACTTATCGATAGATCAGACCAAGTGTTGTAGTCTCAATGCAAAGCAGAAACAGAACAAATACATGTTTGTTGCATTTTGAGTCTATCGCATAGTCGAATATTTACAACGCAAATGAAAATGCTTAATAAAATAAATCATAGATAAATCTAATATATATTTGTAAAAATTAAAGTGAAAATATTAACAACAAAAAAGTGCAATAAAATTGTAGAAGCTTAGGTTATTCGGAGTGCGACAAACAAACAAACAAACAAAAAATTTGACGAATGTTTATGGATACCGAAAACCGAATGGACACACAAATTAGTATGAATTATTTATGTGGTTGTGCTTTCAAATCCGCAAAATGAAACAAAAAGTCAAAATAAATGTTTATTGTTTACACACAAACACATACACACACACACACAAAAATTGATTTAGATTGGCTAGAATATGAATAGAAACAGATGAATTTATTTTCATGATATACATCAAACATATATATATTTTTTTTCTCGTCTCCAGTATGTCGATTAAACGACAACCAAAAGTAAAACAACAAAAAAATGAAAGAAAAAAAAAATCCAAAGAAGAACATATAGTATTAAACAACAACAACAACAACACTAATTCCAAAACTTAGTCTGAATTTTTGCAAACGTGTTCAACGCGTTTACACGAAACGGTACAATAACGAAAGAGAATGTGAACGAGATATGGGTATAGTTGAAGAAAGTTGAACTAGTATAGAGATATTTTATTTTGTTCGTTCATTTATTTGGTTCTCCCTTTTGTTCGTCTTTAATTTGTTAGAAACATAAACAAAAATCCATTCATTTTCACAGTTGCGTTCTTAATTTTACATTCGTTTTGTTTTTCGTTTCATTTCCAATGTGAAAGAGGATTGTAGTCCAAATAAATATATATGTAATTGTTGTTCAAAAAGTAACAAAAAAAAAAATTATCTGTACATTAACTGTGTTAACATTATTTCAAAAATTAAATATACGAACAAAATATGTTCAATTTCTGTCTTAGAAATCAATAAAAAGAACCATTGATTTGTGTTTTATTTATTTACAAGCGTGTTCACTGTTCATGTGACTATATCTATGTATTATTATGTTGCATGAAATGTCAGAGCAGGTGATTTTGGCGCGAAACAACTTGGGTAAAACATCTGTCGAACCGAACCATTGTTACCATTGCATGACAGTTGCTATAGCAAATAGTCGTTATTAGTCCGGTCGTGTGATCAAGTGTTGTTTACCTTATCTCAACTCTAGTTTATTTCTATTGTGCATTTCTTCTTCCTCTCTTTTTTCTTCTGTTGCAAAAAAACAATGGATAAAAACGGTGATCGAGAAATGAGCAATCGTCTGTATTGGGAAGAGCGTATGGCCCAACAGATCCGAGAGAATAGTCAAGAGTTGCGTGAATTAGAGTCGAGAATCCGGGCGGCATACGTAAACAAATCATTAAAAGTGCAATTGGCTGAACGGGAAAAGAAGCGATTGCAAGAGAAAATCCAAATTGAAAATGAGATTCAGCTGATGAAACAGAAATTAAATGATGATCTTCAAAGAGAACGCAAACAAAAGGAGGAATTGCGTGTTCAACAAGAAAGACATCGCCGGGAACTACTGGAACAAATTGCCGATAAACAATTCAAGCGGAAAATTCTCTACGAAGAATTTCTCAAGGAAAAAATTATCATCGACGAAATTATGGCGCAAATTGAACGAGAACAAATTGAGTATGATTTTTATTCGGTTTTACATAGGACATTCTACTGTTTATTGATGATTCGGTTGATTTTTTTGTTTTCATAGGGAAATCCAAGAGAAAATCCGAAAAACCGAATGCTTACGCGAAGATATATTGCATCTGATCAAAGAGCAGGAAGAGTGGAAAGAGCATCAGAAACGTATTGCAGCCGAAGAAAATGAGAAAATCAGCCAGTATATGGCCGATCGTGAGGAACGTGCCAAACGAACGAAAGAAATTGATCGGGAAAAAATGTTGGCCAAACTCGAACAACAGGAGAAAATGTGCTCCGAATTGGATGAGATGGAGGTGAATATCCTTAGTAGCGATTCATGGTCGATTTTCAACTCACACTTTGTACATTTTTTCCATTTGTTTAGCGTAAAAAATTGGAGCGAGAACAATTGCTCATTGAGCTCAAGTGCAAAGAAGTCCATGAAAAGCAGTTGTTGTTAGATAGAAAGCAGCTTGAAGATCAAATTCGAAAAAGGCTGAAAACGAAATTAGAATTAGAAACGCAATTGAAAGAGATTGAAATGAGAAGACTGCAACGGAAACAAGAAGAGGATCGATTCCGTGATGAGCAGCTCCGGTTATTGGCTGAACAAGATCGCTTGGAACTGTTGACGAAGGAACGACAGCGAGTTAAAAAGCAAGAGCACTACCGACGTGTGCGTGAGATGCTGACAGCGCGAGAAGAAGCTAGACATGCCAAAATATTCGATCTGATTCAAGAGCACAACGAACTGATGGTTTTGGAGAAACGAAGGTTTGTCGACACCGACGCCCATTTTTTTTAAGGCAATTTTTTCAACTTCAACTCTTGCTTTTTCTCATTTTCAGACAAGAAATTTTTGCAATCGAACGAAAAAAGATCTTACAACAGCATGCAGACGATATCATCGGCTATTTACCGCAAGAGCTACTTCATTGAACGATTTTATTAGATAGAAATAAATACAATTTTGTGTCGATTGACAAATGAAACCGTTTCATTTTATTCGCTTTAAATTCGCGCAATGATTGCTTTGACTATGACTTAAACACAAACTCGTACGACGCTAATAAGAATGTTATCGTGATTTTGAACAGAATTAACAAGAAAAATCCAAAAAATGAACCGCCAAACAGCAGTTTCCCTACGCAAAATGATAATGCAATTATGATAACGGTACGATACGATGCCAATCCTCGTAAGTTGACGCGCGGTCTGAGCCGTCGCTCAACCAATTCACTGGAACCATGCGATTTTTCAAATGTTTGCACAATGCGCGGTGATTCCAAGACACGGTGAGCAATTTGACCTACAAGATCTGGTCGACGGTAGAGCTGCTCGATTTCCACGGCATACTGCAATTGAGGAAAATAACCTCATCAATTGGAATGTATTGATTTGGTATTTGATAAGGACAAGGTGAAGGGACGTGAGTGTTATAATTACCGTTTCATTTAAGCGACACGAAAGCTTATAGAAGAAACGGACCAAAAATTCAATCTCACTGCTGCGAGCAGGCAATGTGAGGGGATCTCCGGTGAACTGAACCTTTCGGATACGCCGAATCATCTGTTGAAAACGAAAATGTAATCAACGAATTGCCATTCAATACAAAGAATAAAAGGATTTTCATGTGCACTCACCGCTGCTGGTGATGTGTATTGACTCATATTCAAACTGTCCGAAATGCTTGTGTCCTCGAATAGAGGATTGGGTACAATTTGTTCTCTGGACCGTTGTTGAAATTCGGCAAACTCTGCCAAAAAGTTTGGTATCTCCTCCTGCAATAAAGAGAATCCAATTTTTTTTTTGATAATCAATGATAGATTCTATCAAAAGCCATAAGAAATTAGCTCATTTCCATATGAAAAACTGTCGAATATCCCGAAAAAAAAGAAGTTGCAAATTAAACCCACCTCAAATACCATTGCGAATGATCTAATAACGAATTCAAGAACTTCGGCGATTTTTCGTGCATCATTCAGACTTTGATTGTGTTCAGTTTCTTCGTCATTTATTAAATACCATTTGATATACCCAAGGAAGCCATTGTATCGTTTTTGCACCGAAACTTCCAATTGGTTGATCAATTGATTGGCACAATCGTATGATTCGTAGAGTTTACTTTTGAATTGTTCCAGTTTCGAAATGATAATCCTTTGTCGTTCGGTTGATCCAAACAAGCAAATGTATGTGTCATCTTCGTGCATGTAATTGATGTCTGTGCGTTGTGAGAAGTAAGCTGTCGAATTGGTGGCCGAATCGAAGGAATCGGTAACATCTAGTGAGGTTCGCTGCGGCGATGATGGACTAGGTGGCGAATGGTTGCTGTTTGACGAAATATTTGGCAACAAATTCGATTTGTTCGGTGACAATGTCAAATGTTCACTGAGCAATCGACGATCATGCATTCGCAGTAGTTGCGACAGATTTGATTGATTAAAAACTCTTGCCAAACGATACAAAATTGTCACATTTTTCGGTGATGTGAAGTCAAGTCGTTCGAATCGTGGTAAAAGTTGGATGAAAATCTGTGTGTACGATGCGGCATTTTCCATGATAAATTTCTCGAATTTTTGTGGGATGGCAATTTGATTTTGTACATCATCGATGCCATGCTGTCGATTCAGTGTGTATCGCCACGGTTGAATGTAACTGAGCCACAGTTCCAACACCACAAGAAATGAACTATCCAATGGCCATCTTTGGATAATTCCACGCAAAAAATTATTCATCTGAGCATTCATCATTGGCTGAGCGAGTGAACGCAGTGAAGCCATCGGTGTGACATCGATTTCGGACGAGTTTGCAAACGAATGCAACTGTTTAACCAACACACGAACAACTTGGATAAATTCACTGCTTGGCAAATCTGCAATACCATCAACATCATACCGCAACCAAGTATCGATAAATAAATGCAAAACACTCTCTGTTCGCCAATATGACGATCGTGATGGTTCAGCCGAAGTTCGAATGTTCGTTGCATTCGATGTGAAACTGTGTGAAATGACATTACGCGATAGGTATTTAGTTCGTCGCATCGGTACAATTGGTGACATAGGCACCGGAGCCGCTGATTTTACCGAGCAATATACATTCGATGGCTGCACCTCGGTATTTGGATCGGTTGGCAAAAATGTACACAGATAATCGGCTGTCAGAAAATAGTAAACGGTTTTCAAGTGGTCGTTGTGTACAGTCAATGCGGCTGGAAACTGTTTATGCAACGGTGACATGCCATGCAATGTAAAATGCAATATGAAGTAGTCGAAGGCATTCAATTGAAGCGATGCCACTTGACGTCGATAGGGGTCAATGTTCAAGATATCCGAATAGAACACCGAATAGCGCCCGTTGTTTAACATTTGGATGGTTTTCGGTGGCAAAGATTCGATGGGTACATCAAACTTTATCGGCTCGGACAACAAGCGATAACACAGTCGAAACATTGGCCCGAGCGGCACAAAGAAACTGTATACATATTCGAATTCCATTGGCGCGGTTTCTCTTGTTATTGTACGTAATCCCCATCCTGGAAAATCAACGAATATTTTCAAATGTTGTGAAATTCATAATGCATAGAAGCTTGGTCAACGACAGAGGGCTTGACATTTGCTTTAATTTTCATGAGGTGAATCACTTTTTCCTAGATTCTTTCTTCATCACTCACCTGGATATCCAAAGATTGATTTGACCAACACTGGGAAAAAATCATGTAAATCCTTTATGCTACCGCAATCAATTAAACGCGCCATTTCCGCACATCTTGTGCTCAGTGGATAGTTGAGACACTCGTTTAAACATAACTAATTTTAGACGAAATTTTTTTAGTTCACATCAATCAATTTCAACTTTTTTTTAAATCCAATTTTCCGTGAAATACGAAGCAAATACTTACTGAACTATTCTCCAAATAGTAGGTCATGTTGATTCCAAACCTAAAACTAAACAAAAGCCAAATCCACTCCGGTCGTCTGTCAAGGTATTTTAGATGCGACTAAAAACATTTCAGTGCCGGCTTCTGTCAAAATCAAACGTTGTTCAACCGCAGTGGCGCTATATTCAAATGCACCGAATAAACCGTAGATATTGTGATGATTGTGTCAAACTGGTGATCTAAAAAATTTCAATAAATATCTAATAATTTCAACAAATAATATTGCAAATTAAAATTAATGGCATTTTTCGTCATTTTGTTATTTTGATATTAATTTCTCATTACGTTCAGAAGAACGTCACAAAAACGCATGTTGTTTGACTCGCAGCCAACGTCATGCTAAATACAAAACATCGTATTGACAACCGACTTGCTTACTGCACGTGTTTGGTCCTTTATTTTGGACGGTACGGGTTTTAGCAGTGATTTGGATTTATTTTAAAGGAAAAAAAACTTGTGTAAAACAAAAATGCCAGCCGTTGCGAAAAAGCCAGCAAAAGTAGCTGCCTCAAAGTCAGACGATGCCTTGAAAAAGCCGAAGAAGCAATCTCTGAAGAAAACCCAGAAGACGGCTGAAATTTTAGCTGCCAAGAAATTGTCTAAATTGAAATCGTCCAAAGCAATTTCGGATAAGGTAAAAAGTGAATTGAGATTTTGTGTGGAATAAATTGATTTTGGTGTGAATGTGATCTCTTCTCTTTTAGCTGAATCGTGCACCAGTTGTAAGGAGACAAAAGGCAAAGCATCAATTCGATCCGACCCGATTGAATCGTGGTGTGGTGCTCATTCACAACCTACCGAGAGGTTTCTTCGAGAAAGAGTTGAAAAAATATTTCACTCAGTATGGCCGTGTGACACGATTGCGTTTGGCCCGTTCGGAACAAACTGGAGGCAGCAAAGGTTATGCATATATCGAATTCAAGTATCCGGAAGTTGCAAAAGTCGCAGCCGAATCAATGAATGGTTATCTTATGTTCCGGCAAAAATTGCGAACCGTTTACATTCCACCCGAAGAACAAGACCACGATTATTTCAAGCAACCGGTCAAGTTTGTCAAACAAAAACTGGGCAAAGTCAAATTGGTCACACCGAAAACAGTTCGAGCTGCTAAAGCGGTAGCAAACTATAATAAACGTGTTTCAGACGAAGTCAAGGAAAATCGTGTTGAACGCAGCAAATACAAGTGAGTTTTGGATTTTTTTTCCATGTGTTTACCGGATAGAGATGCATTAATTGATTTTTTTCGGTCATTATTTCAGATTGAATTTCTTACAAAAGAAATTGGCCAAAGCGGGAATTGATATTGACCTCAGCAGTCAATTGTATACACCAGTCAAAAAGGTAGATAAGGTTAAAAAGGAGGAAAAAGTGGAAAAAGTGGAAAAAGTGCAAAAAGTGGACAAGAAAGAAAAGGCACAGAAGAGGGTAGAGAAGGTAGAGAAGGTGGAAAAGAAAGTTCGCACAAAATTCGTTACTCCACCAACCCCTGAACCGACTGAGAAGAAGAAGAAATTGAAAGTTACAGAAGTGATCGCTGAAAAGCCAATCAAGTCGAAAAAGAAAGCCGAGGTCAGCGTCGAACCAGAGACACCAAAGAAAAAGATCCGAACGAACTTTGTCACAGCTCCAACGCCCGAAGCAGTTCCAGAAAAGAAAAAATCGAAACCTGCACCAATTAGCTTGGAAAAACCAGTGAAATCCAAGAAAAAGGCCGCTGCAAATGTTGTCACTAGCGAAGTAGAGACACCAAAGAAGAAAGTTCGAACCAATTTCGTTGCTGCACCAACGCCAGAACCAATTGAAAAGAAAAAGAAATCCAAACCAGCTGAAGTTAGCCTCGGTAAACCAGTCAAATTGCAAAAGAATGCTGACACGAAAAAACAAACGAAACCACAAAAAGTCACAGTCAGTTCCCCGAAAAATATCGCCCCAAAAAAGAATAAGCAATTGAAAAACAAAAAGAAATAGTTAGGTGAATTGACAGGGACTTTTATAATCAAAATTGTTGCATAATACTTTTTTTTGATTTTATATTCGAAAAAAAAAAACAAATATTTCTTTGATACATGTACAAGTTACTAATCATATTCGTGATTCATTAAAATAAAACAATTGAATGACGCAATTGAAATGACAAAATGGTTTTTCTCTTCAATCTTGAAATTGACACCGATTTTTTTTTTGGCTATTGAATAGCCAGCCAATTTGCAGATCATTGTTAATTCAGAGTGAAATTAAGGGGCATTTATCCATTTGTTCTTTATACAGCAATTCTGAAATCAATCATTGAGCTATCGAAAAATCAAAGTGATATTAGTACCAAGCCCCTCTGTGATCGAAGAAAGAAATTTTATGCGGTTTGATTTTAATCTTGAAGCCTTTTTGGTTTGGACGAAAAATGCGAAAAAGAGATTTGCATGAGTGATAATCAGCTAACGGGCAATGAGACAAAGTTGAGAGCGTTGTTTGCTCGGGTCAAATGGACTGAGTAGATTGAAATGCCGCCTATTATTCTGTCTCAATTTTCCGACCGCTATACCAATTGTCTTAATCATCAGTGTGAACACGAACATGTACATTTTTTTCAGAGCAATGAGAAGAGTGCGTATCATGAGAATGATCACGAAATTAAAATGGAATCATCACAAAAGATATTAAGCACAAGAAATAAAACGAACTGGAGACAATGGAGAAAAAAGTGCTCAAGAATTTATGAAAATCAAATAAGCCACAGCAGAAGGTAATCCGTGTGAATGTTAGTGCGAAGTGGTGAGCCAACAAATATACGACATGTCCTCGTATGAAGAGGATAAGGACATTATCGATGATATTTTACTGAATAACCCATGACGTAATTTAGATAAGCAGGCCAACATGTTGGATTATCAGTCGACAACGACGAGCACAACGACGAATCGATCGATGATCTAGATCATGAATGCAGACAATGGGAATTCAATTGAATTTGTTATCAGTAATTTTGATTATTGGATTACAACGCAAAACATTTATTACATCACGAATGCATCATGTGTTGACAGCGTAAAAAAACTGCCCAAAGAATTCATAATGGCTGGAAAGCAAAGCTCTTCGAATTACGCACATCTATGATTTGTACATTGAACTGTCAAAAATTAGTGCCGTTACAAGCCAATATTAAAAAAAACTAGATCATATTTTATTCCACCACAAAATTAGAAATCCAAACTAAAAATGCTATTAAAAGCTTCGAACGCATTTAGTAGGAGGCGTACAAACTTATTTTAGCTGTGAATAAAATGATTATTTTGTGAAGCTTGTATGGAGAAACATAGACCACTTAGTCAATAGATGTAAACATCAGAATGAAACCCTCACTCGTACCTTTTTTTTTTTCAATTGAATTTCTGTAATACGGGTTTGTTTATTTCAACAGAAGTTGTTTTGGTATTTTTATGGCATTCGATTCGAATGATTTGATACACATTCTTATTTTAATATTTCGCGTGGAACATCAAAGGGTATTTGCAGTGAATGAGAGAGAGGGAGAGAGAGAGAGAGAGCGGTTTGTACTGGTTAATCCTTAAAAATATTGTTTTGCAGTATCCTTTTGGGATTGATTGCAACGCTTGTTCTTCATTGCTATTGTCGTTTTTGCTGTTGAATCTCATCTTTTGTTCATCAAAGAGGTATCTCTGGGATGTGTTTGTTTGATTCAGACTTGTGACTGACTGAGCACAACTGAACGGGAGCGAATGGCAAAAAAGAGCACATCCGAGAATAAAAATAAAACCGAATGTAGAATATGTGTATATGACAAGCCTGCGGAGAGACGAACAGCGCTTGAGCGATCGCTTGCACACAGCGCACAACCAAAATTGAATCGTTGCGCGTTACACTCGCACTTTCAATGTCTCCAACAAGAAACAGAGCCATACGTGCGATCGTAAACTAGCAGGCGTTGCTTGAACGTGTGTATAAACAGAAGAAAAAAAAAGAAGAAAAATGTGTGTACTGTGTGATGTGTTCGCGTGATGATTGTAGGAAAATATTATTTAATAGCATTTCATCGGCGATTGACAATGTTTCCATCGTGTTGGAGCTCAATCTCGTTCAGCCACAACGCTAGACCAGACTCGAAAATCATACAGCATTGTAAACGGTAGCAGCCACCGCTGTGTACCAAAACATTATTATTTTTTCTGCTCTTCTAAAATAAGAGCTTCTGTGGCTTAGATTATGAAACGAATTTTGATTACGGAAACCGAATAAACACGATTTTTCTGTGTGTTCTCTTCATCTACATGCTATTTGTTGTGCGGAGTGTGTATTTAATTTTATTTTGGATTTTTTTTCTGGTTCTCTCTGTTCGTTTTTCGCCAATTTCTTACCGAACAGATAAATGTTTTACATTTAATTGGGGTGATCATGTTTATCGCGGTTTATGTGATTAGTCAAATTAACAACAAGTGAATTGCAGTGAGTGGTTCGAGTGTGAAATAGAAGGCGTGAAAAGCGTATTTACATGTTGTGCATCCGTTGATGTTGTGAAAAAGAAGCAACACATTTTTCATTCAATTAGTAACTGAAATCGGTTTTGTTTACGTTTTTTTTTATTTGTTGCTGTTCATGGGGATTCATCGTTTGCAAAGTCTGATTCTTTTGCGGTTGAAGTGTGTATAGTTGATCTACACTTGAACTTCACTTGTTTTCAATTTTTATTTGATTAATGACCGATTTGTGTGATATGTGAACGTCCAGAAGAGACAGAAAAACACAACAACTTAATCAAAGGCAACAGCAAATCGATTTGAATCTTGAAATTGAATTTGAATTTTTTTAGCCGATTTTGAAATGCACTCACTCAGTTCAAGTTATTTAAAAGTGCTGATGAGTTTAAAGGCAATGCAATTTATGATATTCAATTGAAATGAATTCCGAATGACGAAATTTGAAACGAAGAAAACAAAACAGATTTATTTGTAAAATCAATCAATGCATTGAATGGGATTTTTTTCTGTTCATTCAGTTGCGTCGTCGTCGTCGTCTTCGTCGTCACCCGGGACTCGATTGGAGTGCTAACACATGAAATAAAAAAAACAAACAAAGTAAAACGAAAAAAAAAATATTCTGTGCACTGATCGGAATATCGGAGAAACTGAGTACTTAATTTAAAGAATGTGTGAAATATTTGTTATTCGACGTATTTCGTTGCTACATCGCATTAACCGACCTGAACGATCACAAAAAAATGTAATCACAAATAAATGTGCAGATATTTTGGACACATTTTACACATAAACGCAATATCTTTTTATTTTGCTAATCTCGTGCCAATTGTCTATCCATCTCTAAGTAATTGATCATTGAACAACAACTAAATTGATTTACCAAACTCGGTGTGCTTGACAATTCTCGGGTAAGTGACAAATTGCGAAAGACTCTCATAATTTACCAAAATTTTCTTTTTCATACAGTTAAATAAGGACTAATGAATAACAATCACAAAATACCCAAATGGCTTTCGAACGATCGATTTTCTCCATTAACGGTCAATTGTGAACAAACATCGATGTACTCTGTTTAATACAAAACATTCACTCGGATTTTACGAAATCGTTTTTTACATTTTTGTGGCTTGTAATGGATTCGACTAACAGCATTCCTCATACTATCGCCTGTTTGTTTATAGTTTTTTTTCCCTCACTCTTTCTCCATCGAGTTGGTCGCATTGTTTACACATTGATTATAACTGGAATCTATTGGAAATAGCAAGATATCATAGAATTATGTATCATACGCGCGCAAAACGCTTAATTGAAATGATAGATCTTATTGAGCTTCTGATAGTTCTAAGAGAAGTGGATGTAAATTTGGCGATCGAAAGATTTATTGTTATACAGCGCCGACGTAATTTGATGGCAAAATTCTGTATAAATGATTCAATGGGAAATACTATTAATAATTTCTTTTTAATAATTTGGATGAGTCGTGTGGCTTGCACGGACCTCGCACGTTTCTTACGTTTTCCTTCATAGAATAGGTCATTCAAATAACGATGTATATTATATGTGCACATATTATAGGTAATGAACACAGAGAGAAAAAGGGGGAATTGCTGTTTTGGCGAAGCCAACATTCTTTCAACAAAACCAATTTTCCTTTTCGCTATAATCCACTTGATTTCAACTGTTCACTTTGGATACGAAACCGGATATACGAATTCGGCTTTCAATTTAGTGCAAGTATTTATAGGCATCTTAAAAATAGTCAAAACATAAGGAAAAACAACAAGAAAGGGATACATTTTCCGCTCTTTTTTTTATTGTGAGTTTTAGCGATGTCATTTCACGAACAACGGCCTCAACAACATACATACACACTCACTCAGCGCATTCACTCACTGTATTATAGTACGTAAAGTTTTTCTGTTTCATCATTTCAATGACAACATTCTTCTCTATTTCTCTCTCGCTTCGCCCATTTGCTCGCAGAGGAAAATTCTGCAAGCGCAATATTTACTTTTCCTCTTAACGTTCTTGTGATATACAATTTCTTCGAATATTCTCTTAATCATCATATTTTTGCTCTCGTTTCGGCTATCGCTGTATGTGTGCTTGTGTATGCCAATGAATGTTTTTGTGTGTCTGCGATGCTTTGCGATGAGTGAATCTCGATCAAAGTACATCTTAATGCGTTTGTCGTTAAGCTTTAAAGAACCCAATGTGACAAATTAATTCTCGACGTATTTGTTTTCGATATTTTGTTTTTGTTTATCGTTTCGGGCCAATTGCAATTTGAAAATGATTCAACATCAATTCAATAGCTGGAACGTAGAAAATACCTATAAAACAGCGCTCACTCACGTGCGCTCTCGCTCCAATATGGTCATAACGACTTCCATATTAATGACTATAGCGTACATTGCTGTCATGATTTTCATGATAGTGAGAACAAATTCATGACAATCATTAAATAATGTCGCCAAGAAAATGAAACCGACTACTTATGCAAATGATTTCAAAGCGAGATTTTTTTTTATTCTTTATTTTATTATCGTTTTGTTTGATTTCCTTTCCTTTCGTATACTTTTCTACTGCTCATTAAATGTGTAAACATCGATCTAAATACGAAGTAAATGGAATCCTTGCATTTTCACGTGTTTTCATGTATGTTTGCTCACTTGTTGCACTCTGTTAACATATATATATATATACATATTAACATATCAAATGGGTTATCTCACCGTTATACCCCCCCCCCCCCCTTGCCAGAGCAAATAGTATTTGCGAAAAGAGAGAAGCAGAAAAAAATGCACATAGCAGCCCATTTTAGTCACGAACAACAAACATCTATTTCTTCCTTTTATTACGCTAAGGTTCTTAACAGAGCTAATTTGCTCTAACCTGTGACTTTATTTGGCGACATCGCCATATCGAATAACAATCAAGTTTTATCATTAGATTGTTTTGTGTACGCTTGCACTAAGACGCAATTATTTGCGAGATAAAAGTAAGAGAAACAAAGTACACAGCTTTTTTGTTTTTTGCGATTTGCAGATGAAAGCTTCACAAACACAGTAGTAGAGAAATACACGACATTTCGATCGAATTTGTGGAAGGACATCGGCCGGTATGATTCGACAATTCAATCAATAACAATTTTATAAATGGCTGTTTCACAAATGCAATTCATTTGAATTTTGAATGCACACACAATAAATTGTCACATCCAATTAGATAACTTTATCGGCTACCTGAGTAGTAATTACGTTATTGCAGTGTCAAATTGTAATTATCTATATCGCTATTTGTTTGAGCTGAATCATTGTGAAATTTGTCATGGCAAATAAGCAAAACGAGTAAATCGAATGTCGTGCGAATTTTTTTTTTTTCGTTTGTGTATACCCTGAGTGCATAGTTTGTCATCATGATGAACCTTTTATTGACTCAAATGATTGGTGCAAATTTACGATTTATTTGCCATTTTTCTCGCATCCAATCTATTTTGCTGACAGTTTACTGACGCACCGAATTATCCCATCGTTATCGATTGTTTGGCGCTACATCATGCAAATTAGATCTAATAGATTCTAATTGATTCCGTACACACAATTGTTTTTGTTGTTGTTTTTCTTTTCGCTTCTACTCACTGTTCGATCTGAACATGTAACCGGTTACAACAAGCATTAGCTACGATTGTCGGCGAAAGTTATTCATTAATAAAACGGCATTTATGATCGGTAATTATATCTGGCTCTATGTCAGTCACATAGAGTAATCGAACGAAATTGAGAAAGAGAAAGAGAAAAAAGAAATGGAGTATCTACTCGTTTTTGCACTTCAAAACAAAGACCACCATCAATGAGTAAGACTTGTGTGAAGGAATATAGTTTACTTGATAAGCTATTGAAATATTACCGAACGAGTGATTTTTTGTGACATTCATTTTTATCAATGACGTCAAATTACAATCGAATGTGGGAAATTAGATGACAACATCTGATTGTTCGGATCGTAGGTGTATTTCTATTTGGAAAAAATCGTTGCAGTTTTTTTTCAATATCGTTTCCAGACTTCTCCTGCTATTCACCGCTTGATTGCATAGGACTTAAAGTCTTTGATTCGCAAAAACAAACGAAACTTAACTAGTTGAAATTAAAATAAAAAGTGCTTCGTTTTCAATGATCGATTTTGTTTTCATTGGTCTTCGCTATTCAATCAATTCTACCCAAGTTCTATACAATGTGTTGCAGTGATAGAAGTGTACTGTTGATATTTTCGGTTAGCATGCCGATTTCGGAAGCCCAAAATGAAACCATTCACAATTCGATCATTGTTCACATGTCTGTTGAATTGAATGATTAGCAAATGTTGGCATGGAATTACGACCGAATCCAGGCTGTCTTGACAGAACTGGCAATTCTTTGAAAGTAACTGGTTGTAATTTTTCTCTGTGATTTACTTATTTCTTATATTTTTTTCTTAAAAATGCATTTAATCTTTATCTCAGCTCACAGTGATTTAGTACGGGTTAAGCGCGCAACAGTTGCAGTGAGCGTTTTCGTTTTTTCCGCTCTTTCTCCATTCCTATTTGCACGAGTAAATGACTGCAATAAAAAATCTCGGCATTGACTTTATTATCTTCCACGTTTATCATTTCGTATTCATCATATAGAACATTTTCATTTCAATGAAATGCCGGCAAACACTGCGAATGCAATAAGTCGCCAAATACAATATCATATATTTATTCGAGTGTCGCGAATATTATGTATCAACATTTATCGTCGAAACGGTTCGGCACGATTTTCTATTTGTCTGGCTGTGGCTTTATTTGGTTTCTTCATTGTTGCTACTTTTACTGTGGCAACAATTTCAATGAGCACGGCTTCCAATAGGCAAAGCAATACAGACATGTAATGAAAAACATGAAAGCTTTTTTCAAAGCGCAGCGAAAAAAGTTTTGCGCCGACAAAACCGCAACTTAACTTCTGTACGCTGTTACACATGTACGAGCTATTGGAATCACATTCGCATTACGAATAAAAACAGCGAAACAGCATCGACATGTGAACGCCACCAGCGACGACAACGACAACGAATAAACAACAACATCGATTTGTAATGAAATTAAAATTGAATTCGAAACACATTAATTTTTCTCTCCGATAAATTTGTGGACTTAGCATTGGAGCTATTTTCTCCACTCTTTTGTATGTTTATTCGTTGTTCGTGAATGAGAGAAAAACAAATCCACAATGTGTGTTTTTTTCGACCATGTTTGAAAGTGTTCACATCGTCCCAATACCTGATTAATATTAACAAAAGTGCATTGGTGTCAATGCTATATCGATGCATTTTATGTCATGAGCACGCTTGCACAATATGGTCATAATTTATGATGAAAGGTTTGGCGCATTTTTCCCGGTTTAAATCGACATGCAAACCGTTATCAACACAGAGCTATTTTCGTTTTCATTCGGATGGAATTTATCTATTTTCCACCTTTTTTTTTTAAGAAAAAAAAATCTTCAACTAAAATTTCCTGCGGATTTAAATGTTGCCACCGAATAAAATATGTTTTTTCCTTTAAATTTTTTTAAATTGCAGATTTGAAGGGATTTCAAATAATTGCGGTGCAAATCTACGTGAACGAATTAAAAATGATAATGGGTCGCTGGGGCAGACAAAGTCCCATTGAACAGTTAAACGAGCCGTCTCCACCGCCGTTGCCACCAAAAAATTCCATTAATATTGTGCGACAGTCAAGTTTCAAGCGGCTTGGATCAATCCTGAATTCAACGAAGAACGGCATCACAAAAAGATCACCGAGTGAGTACAAAAACCATAATTCATTTCCCTATGCTTATGTATTGGAATGGAAAAAAAGGAATTAATCATAAATTGAACGGAGAAACATTGACAAAGTGACAGAAGTCGAATAAACAGACATAAAACATTCACAAACACACGAGACGTATGTGAGTGTGTGTGTGTGTGTGTGTCTTTATCGCACAACTTCAATCAGATAAAATGGCACATGTATTTGTGTCACAAGTGCGAATTTAGTACGAAATCCATCAGTCATATTCAAATGGCAATATCAGTTGCTCAAATCGACCATTTTGAAATTAGTTGACCCACCGTTTTATTTCCAATCGATTGTGACGCCATTTCAATCTAATTTATTCAAATTTATTGATAAACCGATGAGAAACCGAACAATTTATGTACCAAACTAAATTGGGTGAATGAATAAAAAAATAAATAAATGAATTTGGTTTTAATATTTCATATTTGGCAACCGACGAAAGCGATAACAGCGAACAGCGCCAACTGACAATGTAGCCATTTATCGCAAATAACGACCACATCGGGCACTACTAAATTGTGTTACTGCGAAAATTTAGTGTACTCAAAACTCTCAAATGTGTTATGAAGCTCCGCCATTGTAGTTCAGTAATGTTATAAAGTTGCGATTTTTCTTCTCGGTTTTCTTCAGTTTCGGTCACATTTAATTTTTTTCCATCAACTTGAAGCGTTCTAAATAGTTCAATAACACGTAAAATCATTTTCAATTCGTTGCATTGCCAAAATAAAGTTGGATTCAAGCGAATACAATTGAATATTTGACGTTCGTGTAAAAGTTAAACAAAAACAACTCACATAAAAAAAATATAATATATAGTCCTAGTAGAGTATTCAATTGTACGAATAATCGCCGGCCATAGTGTGTATCATTGGTGTTTTTATGAGGAAGCTCGACAATTGCGAACAATTCGTTTGACATGGCCGGTAAGTTATTGGTTCGATCACAGAAAAAAAAGTGTATGTGTGTGTGTGTGTGTGTGTGCATGTGGCGATAGCCCAAACAATTATATATTTATATGAAGGAAAAACTAAATAAATAAACTCGCCACCAAAAAATGGACAGAACAAAAAACTCGTATCCTTTGGAGACCATTCTGATTACATCTCTCACTCCGAATTTAAGTCAAGGCAACAGCAAACAAAAGCCGCAAAGCGAAAAAAAAATGCATCGAGCGTTTTACATACGTTATATGTGCACCACGACGCACATCGGGCATTGAAACATTAAACAGACGTAGATCGAATGAAAGGGAATGAAACTGAGCAAGAATGAACGAATGACAGAGACACTAAATCAAGAACACAGAGATGAATATATGAAATGAGAGAGAAAAAAATAAGTAAAGCAAAAGAAAAAAAGAAATGCGAAGAATTCAAGTCACACAGTGGAATAAAACGCGTTGCTCTTCGCATTTGATATTTATCACGTTGTTATTGTCGTCATTTCACATTGTATATTTCGCCGCATTGTCGTTCATTTTGTGTGTGCTGAAACGGAGACGGAGCGAGCAAGAGCGAGAGCGAGAGCGAGAGAGAGAGAGGGACAGGGAAAGCAAAACGAAATAGTGGGACAGTATTAGCGTCGGAACAACAAAGATTATGGGGCCACAACAATTTGTCAGTCCACAATCTCTGCAATCGACAAAAATGTCGATCCATAATCGGGGGGAGCTGCAAGCAGCCGAGCACATTTATTTGTGCATGGCAAACAGACGAGGACACGAAAACACAGCCAATTCCAATTCTTTGTGCCGCGTTTTTTTGCCTCTTTCTTGCTTCTTCTTTCTCTGAGCGAACGATGCGCTAGCAGATGACAAGAGCGCGCGCGATACAAAAATTCTCTCTTTCTCAATCGCCTGTCTCTGTTTTCCTCCCAGAAATCGGGCGACATAATTGTTTGAGAACTTATTAGAAAGAAAAGGAATATTGCACAAATCACATTCGCCCAAAAATTTTGCGCACACAATCATCTCACCAACACATTCACAATCCCATTCACTCTTTTCGTCCGTCCGTCCGTACGATACGAACACTAGCGCAAATGTCGGTGGATACATCGCACATAGAATACACAATGAACGCAATACATCGAATGAAGGGAGAGAAGAAAAAATATATTTATTGAAACTGAATGTATGATACATGACAGGAAAGCGAAGGAAAAAAATAAAAAGAAAAAAGAAGAAGAAATATAATATAACACACACATATACTTCTATATACAACGGAATAAAATCAAAATAAAGCACAAGCAAAAGTGAATATGTATGTATAGTTGGCGCTCACATAGAGCAGTTTTACGATGCATGGCCTATAGTTATATATCTGTATATATCTATGGCAATCAAACAAACTACTACTAGTACTACTGCTGCTGCTGCTAAAAAGTGCAATAAGTGTCTGCCGATGTTTTTGTTTTTTCCTACCTCTTCTCCTTCTTCTGTTCTCTTTTTTATATTTGTATATTTCATTGTGTCGCTGTTTTCTCTATCTCTCTCTCTCTCTCTCTCTCTCTCTCTCTTTGTGCCGATTATCCTAATCTGTTTGTGTGCGTGCGCGTTTCGATGTGCATCTAACGTGTGATATGCACGATCCGTTTTTACCAAGAAAAGGTTATTGAAATAATACGACAGCGAATACAATCGACATGTGTGTATGTATATATGAAATGTGCTCCTCGTTAGAATCAAGCACATCACACACGCAAAAGAAGAGAGAAAAAAACAACAACAAATTCGAGGAGAGAATACGACAGAAATTTTTTATTCGTTTATACAAATCATTTTTATGTTTAAATTGTTTTTTTTTCTTTTGCTTTCTGTCTCGAACGAATTCATTCATCGCATCTGAAATGAATGTCAGGATAAGGCTTCGCATTGTTTTCGCATTTCATTAATGTTTGCTTGATTTTGAATAGCGACTACCTGGGCATATTTTTTCATCGATTTGAAAATAGTGCGTTCAAGAAAAACAACAAACAAGTTTTTTTTCTGTATCTAAATACTTGAACAAGCGGCGCCAACTTAGAGAGATATACTATTTGTGCAATTCATTTTGCTGATTCATGTACTTGATTTGTCCCCAATGCTCCGAACCATATCGCTACTTGGCTCAGATTTTGGCTTGCACTTTTAATTCCGTTCAAATTTGAACGAAAAATACACACACACACACACACTCGCAAAGAGTGAAGAAAAAAATAACAGAAGAACAAAGCATTTAGCTTTACATACATAACGATCATCGACAACGACGACGACGACGACGACGATAACGATGACGTTTTTTTTTTAAATTCCATGATTTGACAATTCCACCGATGCCAAATTCCGTATGACATTTTGAACGCGTTTTGTTCGAAGTTCTGTGTCTCGCGCCCGAAAATTGTCCATAGCATCACATCCAAATGCTGTATTTTTTCAAGCAAATGTTTTTAACTCTTAATAAATGTGTATAATAAAAAGCGCGCAAGGTCATCGAAATAAATTCAAAATAAACACACTTCGATTTAAATGATAATCAATGATGTTGCGTATGTGTCTGTGTCTATTCTTATTCATATCCAAAATGTAAATTTAAAAATCTCGCAAAATCAGTAGAGAGATGAACAAAAAAAAATCGAAAGTGAAACAAGAATAATATGATCAGTAATTGTGTTTGTGTTTACGTTGAGCTGCGAAACAAACAAAAATTTTAAGATACAATGTGTGCGTGTATGTATGTGTGTGTGTGTGTGTGTGTGTGTGAGAGAGAGAAAGAGAATGAAAGATAGAGCGAGTATATCACAAAGAATTGAAGCGTTATGGATGTAGTTCTTTTGTTTTTTTCTTATGAAGTTTTTATTTTGAAAAAAATTAATTCGATATAATTGTTGAAATATTGTACGATGAAAATCCCCAGACGAAGAAAAATTTACAATGCTTTCATCAGCTTTTATCTAATCGACAAAACAAACATATATCATACAGTTCAGCCACTTTGTACACGATAGCGGCATTGAAATACGTCTTTTTTTTTTCATTTGAGGCTCGATTTGTTTTTTATTGGCATTGTTTTTCGCTCATTTTGTTCACGTTTTATTTTTTTTCTCTTCTTCCATATATTAATTTAATGCGGGCAAATGTGAAACGACAACAGCCAAATAATGCGAATGTACGATGATATCAGAGAGGCTGAACATCGTCAAAAACTGAAACTAACCTCAATTCGGCTTATTGTCAAACGGCGCTGTGTTGCTCTCTATGCAATCGATTTTATATTGCAGGTTAATTGTACCGTTCAACCAAAATCTAATTGAAGAGTGAAAAAAAACGCAACGTTACGTGTTTTTTAAATTCATCGTACTCTTTAATTAAATTTCATCGCGGCAATATTCATCATTGCGTTTTTTTAATGCGATCACATGATTCGAACACAGAACACGGTGAAATGAAACATTATGATTATTTTGCAACCTGTCTTGCGCATTTTCTCTTTCATCCTTCTCTTTCATCCTTCTCTCTCTCTCTCTCTCTCTCTCTCTCTCTCTCTCTCTCTCTCTCTCTTTTCTTCCTCGTTCGGCATTATCTCTCGTTTCGGTTTTATGAGTCAAAATGTTCTATTCGGACACCATTTTTCGTTTGCAACAACCGTAGCTCATTCGGTGAACATTAAATCTGTGTTCAGATGAAAATGAATGGAAAAAAAAACAACAACCAAAAACATGGGAACATGAGCAGAAATAAAATAAAACATAATTAAGTTGTATTAATGGCAAGAAAAGAGATTTTATGCATGTTTACGTTCGCTTATGTGTATGCAATTGCCAATTGCACGCGCTTGATTTTTTCATTCGCGCGCAAATTCTGCCCTATAAAAGTGTACGCTGTGTGTAAATTTAATTATCTATTGGAAAAATTGAATAGCAACGGTGCTTCAATCAATTTACGACTGCATTTCATCAGCAATGTGAACGTTTAATTTATTCCATCATTCTATTGTTAAATGTATATAAATATATCACGAACGATTCGCTCTCTAGTTGACGGGGCATGCAAGATTCGTTCAGTTGGCAAAATTTCCCTTGTTGTTGCTCTTTTTATTTTTCCTTCTCTTCATCCATTTTGAGATCCTCCCGCTAGACCATGTGATGTTAGAATTGTGAGAAGAAATCACTTTAATGTAATAATGATTGATTGAGTAATCAGAACGTGTAAGTGCCGAACCAGTGCATTTTCCATGGAAAATAACAAGTGTTGATGCATGTTTAATGTGTGAGTGTGAGCAAAATAAGTCAAAATCAGCACATATCGCACGTATGAATGCCTTTTCTCCCCCTGTATCGTATATTGACGTCTCGCTCTACAAGCACCACAACCTCAACACTGTTTTTTCCTTCCATTTGTTAATGTGATGGAAGCGTTTTACGCGCGCGCGGTGTTTGTGTATTTTTTTCCTCTATCTTTCTATTTCTATTGCCTATTCTGTGTCTCCGATTCGATTTATTCCCATTTATACTGTGTGTTTATTTCTCCATGTCTCTCGTTCTCTCTCACTCTCTCTCTGCCTCACTCATTCGCTCGTCCGCCAGATCGTTTGCCATTCGACGCGATTTGAATAAGCGTGAACTCTCGGCGCAATATTCAGTGGACACAGCACGGAAAAGGGAGAACGAAACAAAACAAAACAAACAAATAAAATTATGTACAGAAGGCATAGTAAGCTGGTTTACGTAAAACCGCAATAAATACTATTTTAAATACATTTTTATGTTTTGTTGCTTTCGCTTGTGTATTTACTTCGTCGAATGTCGTAATATATATATATATTCCTTCTAACGCATTAACGAGACGGGGCTATTTATCTGCTTTGAAGCGTCAACGTTCAATTGTTTGCTCTTTTATTTAATGCTTCTGCATATGCGACAAATTGCATTATTCAGCCACTTTTTGAAAAGGAAAAAAAACACATAACAAATTTATAGACAAATACACTGTCATTGTAATGGGCACATTTTACGGCGAAATTTTCACAAAATGTCGTTTGCGGGCTTTTGTTGAATCCATGGACCAGCCCCGTGATTTATTGAGCTGCTCACTTGAAACCAACCAAACAAAATACCTGTTTTTCCGAAGAATTCAATGAAATAGTCAAATCTATTCAGTGGACATGTTTATTGTATGCATTGCAAATATATAAATGTGTGTCTGTGTGTGTGTGACTATGTGCAATTGAAATGCTGATAATAACCTTGACATTGACACACTTTGTGAATGTGTAGCGTAAGAAAAAGTTAGCAAGAATAGATTAATCGAAACATTTGCAATCTAAATTATTTACAGAGAGTCAATTTGTTAATTTGAATTTATTTGTTTTCTATTTGCTTGGTATCCGTGTATCGATGCGGACATGGATTGAACACATGAATATAGGCCACGGCGAAACATCTTGGTGCTTCTCACAAATTAAAGGGGCTTTAGATGATGATGTGACAGATGCAGATATTATATCGTGTGTCGAGTTTAATCATGATGGTGAGCTCTTAGCTACAGGTGATAAAGGTGGTCGCGTTGTTATATTTCAGGTAAGCTCAAACACTGATTTGTGTTATGTGTATTTTATACGATAATTTTAATGGCCAAACATTAATCGAAGAACCATTTTTTTTATTGTCGTTTCGTACAGAGAGATCCTGCCTCCAAAACAGCCGTACCGAAGCGTGGCGAGTACAATGTCTATTCAACATTTCAGTCACACGAACCCGAATTCGATTACTTAAAGTCGCTGGAAATCGAAGAGAAAATCAACAAGATTCGATGGCTGAAGCGAAAGAATCAGGCGCATTTTCTGCTGTCAACAAATGACAAAACAATCAAATTGTGGAAGGTGTCGGAGCGCGATAAGCGGGTCGAGGGTTACAATACAAAAGAGGATATCGGCTCCATACGCGAACCACTTTCGATTCTGTCAAAGGATCAACTGCGCATACCGACCACAAAACCAATGGATCTACTGGTAGAAGCATCACCGCGACGAATATTCGCCAACGCGCACACGTACCACATAAACTCAATATCGGTCAATTCGGATCAGGAGACCTATCTGTCCGCCGACGATTTACGCATTAATTTATGGCATTTAGAAATAACCGATCAATGCTTCAATATCGTTGACATTAAGCCGACGAACATGGAGGAGCTCACCGAAGTCATAACCGCAGCTGAATTTCATCCAAATGAATGTAATTTATTTGTGTATTCCAGTAGCAAGGGAACGATAAGATTGTGCGACATGCGCTCGTCGGCACTATGTGATCGGCACGCAAAACAGTTCGAGGAGCCCGATAATCCAACCAATAGAAGCTTTTTCAGTGAAATTATAAGTTCGATTAGTGATGTAAAACTAAGTAATTCGGGTCGTTATCTAATTTCAAGGGATTATTTGAGCATCAAAGTGTGGGATCTGCACATGGAATCGAAACCAATCGAAACATACCCGGTAAGTTTGTATGATGTTTGCATCATGTTTCACACCATTCACACCATTCCATTGATTGACACACTTTTTTTTCTATCATTCTGGCAATTTGGTTGCCGTCTCTCCCTCTCCGTCCTAACGCTCATCGCATAGGTTCACGAATACCTACGATCGAAGCTGTGTTCGCTGTACGAGAACGATTGTATATTTGATAAGTTTGAATGTTGCTGGAACGGCGACGATACACAAATTATGACTGGTAGCTACAATAACTTTTTCCGTGTGTTTGACCGCAATCGTCGCACCCAAAACGAAATCACATTGGAAGCATCACGGGACATTATCAAGCCGAAAACTGTATTGAAGCCACGCAAAGTGTGCACCGGTGGCAAGCGAAAAAAAGATGAAATTAGCGTCGACTGTTTGGATTTCAACAAAAAAATTCTTCACACGGCCTGGCATCCACAAGAGAACATTATTGCTGTTGCAGCGACCAACAATCTATTCATATTTCAAGATAAATTTTAGCCCAACTTTCCCTTCAACGCTAAAATTATGTTCATCCTTAATTTTACTTGTTAATAATCATTTTATTTGTTTTTCTTTTCTTTTGGAGTTTCTGAATTTGAAACCGGAATTCCGGAAATACGGTTATTTGGAACATCAGTTCAATTTCTCGGTACATTCATTGATTCAGTAACACGAAAATTAAAAAAACAAAACAAAACAAAACAAAACACATAGTCTCATTCGAACAAAAAAAATGGCATTCAATCGAAATCAGAAAACAAATACAAAAAAAAAGAACTTCTACAATCAAATATGTTAAATACTAAGTAAACAATTCAAATCATTTTAACTTTTTCTGTTTTCAATCAAAAGGAAGAAGAAAAAAATCGAAAAAAAACGTTTTTTTTTTTTAAACTAGCTCCTTTTAATCGATCGAAAGAGAAGAAGAATCTTAATTGATCTTGGTAAAAAATTGAATGTAATTTGAAAAGCAAAAGAAGAAGAAAAAGAAAACAATGAACTTAATTAAATAAACAAAAATGAGATTGGAAAATTCAAAATTCATGAGAAAATATAATGGAAAAAACAAAAGAAAAATAAATGATGAAAAAATGGCCGTCATATGTGGAAGAAAAACAAAAAAAAATACTTGAGAGAAAACAGAAAACTGGGGAAAATTCAATCCATACATTGTTATATCGAAGAATGATTAAAATTTTATCAAAATTAAATGCAACATCTGCATAACAATTTTTTTTGTGTCCTTCAATCTAAGGAAATGAGAAGAAGATCTAAACCGAACCGAATCCACGTGAAAATAAGCGTGATCAGAGTTTCGCTGATAAAATTCGCCTTACGAATATCATTTTATATGAGCGAGCACGATGATAAGTGTGAAATAAACACGCAAACACTCACACACACACACATATAAACATACCGGAATTAACAATGCAACAATGTTAATGAAATACGAAAAGAAAACAAATCTATTTTTTACAGTTACTTAATAAAATACTTAATTTAGAAGTGAGAGATACACATTCACATTAAGCTTTTCCCATTTGTCTTATCACGTGACGAAACAAACAAATGAAAATGAGTCCCAATGACACTCATTGTAGCCCAAATTTTCGTTTAATTTTTTTTTTCCGCAACCGATAATGATCAATGATGGTGTCCTATTTAGTTGTAGACAGCATATAAACGATATTTTGCATTTGCATCGAAAGGATCACAGAGACACAAACACCCACATTAATAAGAAAGCAAATCGATCTGGCTGTTGCCATTTTATGGTCGCAAGCGAGACACAAATCAACTTCAATCGATTGTTCCATGTGAAAGAAAACGAAAGGGTAGAGAAATGTATCTCATGTAATGAAACAAACAAAAAAAAGTGACAAAAATTGCATATCCTATGCGAATCGCACCATTCTAAGTATATTGAAAACGCTTCCTCAGTTTAACAACGATAAAATGAAAAACAAACAATAAAAAAACACAGCAAAAGAAAACAGAAGAAGAGAAACAATTTTTAATCACGAAAAATTTAAAAAAAAAAGTAAATATGACTTCTGATGACGACATTGTGTGATAGATATGCGATAAACAGAGAATGTTAGAGTGACAAATATTTTTCTCCTGGTGTCTGCGCTATGTTGATTTCTTCTCTATCTCACTCTCTCCCTCTTTGTTGAAGGAGAGGTTTTTCTTCTTTGGAAAGAGGATTTCCATTTCTTTTTGTACGATTCGTTTGTAAATGACACAACATTATTTATGACTTTTTGCAGAACAGTCGATACCAATTGGGCATTGTTGTTGTGAAACCGAGCAAAATTAAAACTATTGAATGCTTGTGTCACCACTAGAGAGCAAAATAGAATGGTAGTAAACTGAAAAGAAGTGACAAAATACATTTGGCAAACTAGATGCATATTATCATCAAGACTCGTCATTGTTATAGATAAAGAAATTTTTTGTTTCAGTTTAATAAGCAATCATTTTTCTCGTGCGCATCATATAAATAATGTATTGGTTATGTTATGTTTTTTTTTTAGTTGTTAAGTTTAACTAGATGACCGAGAACATTAGTTCTTTCTGTGGAAAACTGAATGTGGTGTCGCATAGAATCGATCGCAAATCTTAATACACTATGGAGAAATGGATTGCATTTGATGAAATAAGAAAGAAAATGAATAAATTGAAACATTGAATGATTATGAAATATTTTGTGGTCAAATTTCTGGATATTATCAAAAAGTACTTTTTATTTGATTGGCGTCTTCCAGGCAAGAAAATTTCATAAAAGAAGATTGAAGAAAAAACAACAACAACAACAACACATACACACACAATAGTAACACAACCAATTGCTCAAAGCAATCGCTGCACTGACCAATTGATCGAAATAATTTTGTCTACAGAAAAAAAAAATGTGTACAACTCGTGTCTCGTATGCAATTGTCTTTGTCGACAATCGACGCACGAATTTGAACAAGAAAAAAATGAGAGAAAAAATCGGACGAAGCATGAGCGAATCAAGTCATTCTAAGTCAGAACGTTTCAACAAGCAACAAATTGAAATTGAAATGATGAAGTTCAAAATAAATAGTAGTTATATATTTAAAAAAACACTAAACGGATGATGAAAGAAAAAAAGAACAACAACAACAACAAAAATGAAAAGAGAGAAGAAAAAAAAACGCATCAATAATTCGACATTCGAAAATATTCAATAAAATATATTTTTGAAAATCTAGTGCTATCAACAGTTTTATTATCTGTTATGTCCTGTGAGTTCGGATTCTCATTTCACTCCTCGAATCCACACCAATGCCACTGCACTCACTTTCACTCGTTCTACACACCCGAACATAGTTTGATCCGATAATTTATCGGTCGTACTACGGTCTCAATTTTTTAAATTTTTTAACCACTTGAAATGTTAACAGTAATTTCAGCATTGTTGCGCGCGAAATTCACATAGAAAAAAAATAATTTGTGACATTTATTGGATTCACAAGTAAAACTGATTTCAAATTCCTCCTTCTTTCAACGGATAAATGACCATTTCGACTTTTTTTTTCTTCAGCCCAATAAGATGAAAACAAGTGCTTAATTCAGAAAAACAGAAATAAGTTCTAAATGCATTGCGCCATGTGAGTGAATGAATGAACATTCGAACGAAAGGAAAACAAAAGAAAATATAAACAGTTTATTTTCGAATAATAAAATGGAAAACCATAGGCCATTTATTGTTGAATATATTGTGGTGTCGGTTGTTTCACCGAGCAAAAAAAAATACTTCTCTCTTAACAGTTTTATATATACTTAAAATACGGACGATACGATTCAATCACGACAATTCACGTTTTTATTTTGGCTTCAATCCGAAATGCTAATTACAATTGATCAAACCCCAAACAATTCAAACTGAATTTTTTTTACTGTAAGTGTCTACCAAAATTTTCGTCGCAAATAATCCTTCTTCTATGTTACCTATTTTACTGCAGCGCTGCTGTTGCTCTGTATATTTTATTTTCAATGGTTCTTGAATTGTTTGAAAAGAAAAAGAAAAACAAATTGGTCCACTCTAACATCTCGGTGGGATCAGAAATGACGTATTTTTTTTCGTTCTTTGAAAAACATTTAGCCACCATCTATTTCTGTGTTGTTTTCCTTGTCAAAAGAAAAACAAAACAACTTACACACAAAAGTGAATGTATCAACGATCATCTTGATTGTATTCCAACCAACTTGTACGTATTATATGAAGGAATATTTATTTAAAAAAAAAACGTTATTTTATATACAGATAAATAATGATAATGAAATATGGATTAATAATTTAATAGTTTTGTAAAAAATGAGAAAAATGAAAAACAAATGGTTTATTGAATCAGCCCACGAACCAAAAAAAAAAATTAATAACGTTTATACGGGAGATTTGATGATTCAAATATAAACGAAATCGCAACAATAATAATAACTAAACGATAAGAAAAATATGAATAAAAAAAAATTAAGATGAAAACAAGTCGTTGTGTGTTTTTCATTCAAAAATATCATTATTCCTATCATCAGCCGCTGTGTACGATGCGTTCTCGCCATAATCTCTGCACATTTATACCGAAACCGAAATTGAGTGTAGGTATGTGTGGGTAATATAGGAATAGGTATGTGGATCTCCAAGTTGGAATTTGAATTTTTTGGACCATTCAGCAAATATCTTAATGCGATATCGATACAAATTTGGAACTGATGTCAGCGGCGAGGAAACAACAAGTCGTTTTTTTTTCGCCCCGAACAACCGAAAAATAATAGATTAAACGTAGCCTGTTTGTTGCTTGCATTGTTTTGCTGTATTCAGAGTCTCGAAAAACATCGTTCATTCATGGAAACATTCTCAACAAATGCCGCCATTAACTGATAATCCATTTTTTTTTATCAGCAAATACAATGCTATGCTCACATTTGAACTTTCCACTGATTGCTTTCATCGAGAGGCTCTTGGGCTGTGCACACAACGTTTTTTCTTGTACACGAAGTAACAAGCTGCTTTGCAGACTCAGCATATTTCACTATATATAATAAATACAGTTTTTTTTTCGTTCCTATCCCGACCAAGTGGTAAGATATTCTAAAATGGAAAATCATTTTTTTCCTTGCTTGCAAAATTTCACATACACCTCTCTGAGTTCCATCACATGGAAAGATACGTGTGACGGCATATTTTCACACGGAACTTCGTTCCCAGTGCACCGAGCACTTGCTATATATAGAGCGAACGTATCCGAATATTAGAAACCACACGTTATTACATGTAGCTAGTGCTCGGCGCACTGGGAACGAAGTTCCGTGTGAAAATATGCCATCACACGTATCACTCCATGTGATGGAACTCAAAGAGACTTTGTAATGTTTTAGTTGATTTAGTGCGATTAAAAATTGTTACAAAAACCGTTAAATTCATTAAAACGACGTAATAAACAATTGTTGGATTTTAATATCATTTGAAGTGATAATACTGTGATTAGTAAACGATTGAAATACTGAAAATGAGTTGGGTAAAAACGTGTGTGTTACATATTTTGTTTCAATCTCTTGCTGTTGAGTGGAATAAAACACATCGTCCTATTTTGAATATTACCAAAGTCGTTGCAATCAATTGACATTATAACAGTAAGCAAGGGCAATATGTACACAATAAGATAACGTTTCATTCCACACAAAGTGTATGAACACGTCATCCATCAATTGTGCATATCAACATTGGACTGGCGCTTCGACAACAAATTGCCAAAAAATGGAATCATTTTAATTTCTTTGTCATTTCAGTTTCGATTCTAAAAGGTAAAACAACTTGAATTTTCAATCAACACATTTATTATGACTACAGCAGAATTGCCCGAATTTACACAATGTACCGAAGTGGCTGCATTGAGTGTAAGTGATATGGTTTTTATTTTTTTTTTTGGTTAAATCAACATTCGTAAACAACGTCGAAAAAAATTTGGTTCTATTTTAAATGTTTGTAGAGCGGTGGAAAAATTTTATTTGCATCGGACGATTTCTTTGCTGCTGCCGAGGGCATGTTGAAAGATACCGAACCAATTTTCATACCCGAAAAATTCACCGAGTATGGCAAGTGGATGGATGGCTGGGAAACGCGTCGTAAACGTATTCCAGGCCATGATTGGAGCATTATCCGATTGGCTGGTCCCACATCGATTAAAGGCTTTCTCATTGATACCGCTCACTTTACGGGCAATTATGTGCCGAAAATTTCCATTCAAGCTGCAACTCTGCCCCCGTCTGGTAGGTATCGGTTGATAAAAATTAATCATAACAACCCAAAGAAAAAAAATTGTTATTATTTCTACAACGTAAATTGTTTATTTCGTTGCAATGACGTAGCTGACTCATTGGCACCAGGACGTAAGCCAGATGTTATCGGTCGTGCCCCATCAAATCGTGATTTTGACAAAATTGCGCGATTAAAATCAAACGAATGGAATACAATCGTACCAATGACTGAACTGAAGCCCGGCTACTATGACACTCGATATACGTACATTCAAAATACTGAACACTTGGATAAGTACACGCATTTGCGGCTGAATTTATATCCCGACGGTGGAATCGCACGTTTCCGTGTCTACGGTGACATTGAATTGGACGTGACTCCAGAAACGATCGGCAATACTATTATTGATGTGATTGGCATGCAAAACGGTGGCCGCTGTCTTAGCTACTCCAATGCACACTATGGACATCCGAAAAATCTGAATAAACCGAGCCGTGGACAATGTATGGCTGATGGCTGGGAAACAGGTAAGATTTGAAATAATTTTAATTTTGTTCAGGAAATTTTCATTTGGATCATTATCAAATCATGTGGTTTTATTAGCTCGTCGATTGGATCGCCCGTCAATCATTGAGATGACTGATAAAGATGTTCTAAATGCTCCCGGTTCTGAATATGCTATTTTCCGTTTGGGAACAACGTCAACAATCGTCTCAGTCGAAATCGATACGAATCATTTCAAGGGAAATTCACCCGAATATGTAACGATCGAGGGCACAACGCGTCGCGGCGACTTTACAACCACATTCGACGATAACGATTGGACTGTTATCGTGGATAGAATAAAAGTTCAACCACACAAATTGCATGTAATCAAAAAAGAACTCAAAAATACCGGACCATTCAACTGCGTTCGAATCACAATGGCACCCGATGGTGGAATGTCTCGAGTCCGAATCTTTGGCCAAGTGTTTGCCGAGAAAATCCAAAGTAATGGAACGAACGAAACAAATGAACCGGATCAAAAGAATGAACAGAACGAGAAGAACGAGACGAATGAGACACCAGAAGCACCAGCTGAAATTTCAGAAACAACTGAAACCGCCCAATCTGGATCGGATCAAAAGCAAGAAAACTCAACTTCTGATTAAACGCCAACGCCACAGTAGAGATCAAGTAGTAATTATCACGCGTACACAGACAATCGATCCAAAATTAAATAATCAGACAAGAATTAAATTAATTAATCGGACGACACAATAAATAACTTTTCGTCTGATTGTAATCAGACAACAATGTCACCGCAGGAGATGTCACCGAAACAACGTCACCGAAGGCGTTTAAAAAATAAATTAATTTTGCTTTAATCTAAAACAATTACAATGATTAACAAGCTTTTATAAGTTCAATGCTCAGGTTAGCTAGTCTTCATTTTAATTGGCACGTGTTACCAGGAGACCAATTAAATGCGTGAGCGCAAAAGACGTATACGTTTGTATGGAGATGTTACACTTTAAAATACTGCAAATCTAAGTTGCTATTTTGCGCTTATGCATTCAATTGAACACTTGTACACCTATTATGTTTTCAGTGCAATATCGTTTCACAATATCTAAAACCACTCAAGAGATCTGAATTGTGCAAAGCAAAGAAAAACGGCGAATTTTTTGAACAATCACAATCGCCTGAAGTTATTCATTCTTCATGTTATCGAATGTTGCCAAGAAGCTAAACGAGCGATTCAAGCCACAACAAGTGTAGATTTAAAAGTAATATTTTCTGTACCCAAATGAGTTTGAAATATATACATTTATATTGATTTGAATAAATTTGTACATTCATATCTCCTGTAACACCGGTCACAAGATGAGTTGAAAATGTCCGAACTGATATTATTCATCGACATCGGATGACATTTAACTGTTGAATATTTTATGGAACCAAATATTCAGTTACCATCTCGCATCTCAAACAAAAATATTCGTTGGGTATGCGATTTTATGCGATCGAAACGAAATGAAAGTGAATGATAAAATCGGCGAAGTCATGTTCTGTGTGAATCGAAGTGCATTGGAACTCCGTAAATTAGGCGTCTAACGAGAGCTTATATATACACACTACTTAATCGAATGCTTATCGAAAGAGTGTTTTTGGTGGTAATTTTTTTTCTCCTTTGATTTCTTTCTTCGTTTCGCTTTCAATCCGTTGGCGCACAGTTACACAAAGTAGACAGGCCGTGTATAGCTTTGTGCTGGTGTGTTTGCCATTGGCTGCTTTACTTGTGCAGATTGAGCTTGATTGTATATGTGTTAAGGTTCTGTGCGTGTGAGAATACATCATGTAAAAGTTTATGAAGTTTCCATTGTGCATTGACGGGCGAGTGAGCGAGCGAGAGAGAGAGAGAAAGAGAGAGAGAGAGAGAGAGGAGAACATACTGAGCATGTTAGCTTACATAAAACACTGACGCTTATAGACTGGTGGTGAATAGTAAACACTGAATACAGATCGTCAAATTCCAGTTTTAGTAGACGTTTGCTTGCGTGTAAATACGTCGAGTCTTTTACCATTTACCTTTTCTTCGTTGGTGTTATTTTATTTTTCTTCTTTTTCCTCTTCACTTCTGTTCAACATTTGAAACAGCCACAACAACAACAACTACACATTGAATTCACTCATCATCTTGATACTGGCGATATACGTGAAGTGAACAGACATAAAAAAAAACAACATAACACAACATACAACAACCTACACATACATCATAACCACAAGAAAAGAGAATATTCAAACCGAAACAAAAGAAAGAAAGAAAAAAAAGAAGTTGTATATGAAACTTTTCGCCAATTCGTTGGAGTATCGCGTTTCAAAGGCGTTTATGGCCTGTACTGTGAATACACACATCAAAAACTAAAATTCACTACAATAATATGACGAAAATTGTGTATCGTGTTTCCGTACGAATATATTTACTAGTGTTTCACGCAATAGACTCGATGTAGTTGTAGTTTTGCCGAAAATTGCAGCAAGTTTTTTTTTCTCCACATTTTATTTCACTTCTTCTTTTTCTGTTCCGAATTTTTTTTCCTTCGTTTATTGTTTTGTCGAGAAAAAAAAAATTTGATCTCTTTTTGATCATAAAATTTTTCGGTGGTGTTGTGTTTGTGTCTGCATCTCGTTAAACGTCTGAATGAATATCGAATATTGGACAGCAACGTTAGAAAACTAATGAATTGATTTGATGTTGCTGTTGAAGACAGATAATAAAAAAAATACATGCATTTAATAATAATTTGAATTTGAACAAACAAGAAATTTTTTTATTGAAAATTTTGAAAGCAAAAAAACACCAAAAAGTTAGTTATTTGGTTTTTCAAATGCCATGGTGATGTTTTTACTTCTCAAAGAAATGGTAAATCACATAAAGAATGCAGCAGTGATCAAGTCAATGATTAACATTTGTCTAGTTTATATAATTTGTGGTTTTGTTTGGAATATCCGAATTGTTGGTGAGTAAATTGGAATTTTCAAGTGAATTGAAGGCTGAATTGAGTGTATGTGTGTGTTTTTATTTTTCCGTGTTGAAAATTTTCTAAAATGTGTCTCATGTCCAGCATATATCAAGCGAAAAAAAAGCAGAAAGGTTTTCTTTCATAAAAATTGAAAAAAGTCTTTTACATGCCCTCTCAAATGAGAGCATAAGTGATAGAAATAGTGAAACAAGTACATTGTATTCAATTGACTTTCAATGAAATGTGTTGAGAGCCGCTTACGTCTATTCATATACGCGCTTACAGTTTAAACGTTGTCTTTTGTTTCACTTTTACCATTCGGTTGCAAACTAATTTACACATATATTGAGACTGTGCATGAATTACTGTCAAGCGCTTGAAACTATTTTGCATGGAGTAACTACGAAAAAAAGCCATCTTTTTTCTCATTCGCCTGGTGCAACTTTTTCATATATCAATACATGAGTGCTTTTTTTCTACTTTGTTAAAATAGTAATTTTTATTGACATTTTCGATTTTGTTTTTGCTTCTGTAACTTATCAGAGAAGAAAAAAAAATCGAAAGTTGCCGTGATGCAATCTCTGTTTGGTGACTAAGGCTTATTGCAAGATGTTGCGGTTTTTTCTGTCATCTATTGGGTTATTTTGATTAGTATCGCGGCCTATCAGGTATTCGGATTAATCCGTCAATGTCATCACAATGCTCCGCATAGACTATGATTTCGTTTTCGGAATTTTCGCCACACTCCGTAAATACACCTGGCAGCCTGTAACTGTTTTCGTAGATTGTGTTTAGATCCATCGGAGTGTTTGGCCTTGTATATTTAGCTTTGATGGCCCACGGTGGAATCTCTCTTGGCTTCGTTCTGACCGGCTGATATGACAAATTGTGAATGGTGTTTGTGTCCATTTTCAAATTTGGATTCAAATCCAAATTCACAATTGGCTTCATCGAATCCAGTTTGCAGTGTTGTGCGAGCTCTGGATCGATTGGCATATACGAAGTGCGATGAACGGTTTCGTCTTCGAATGGCGCTGTTGGCCGTTGATATCTTACATTTGGTTTCATATTCTCACGCACCGCTGGTTGTATATAGCAACACTTTTTCAATTTTTTCATTTCCATTGGCTGTGCCATGTTTTTACTTTAAACAATCAAACGATTTTGGATCTTTTCGCTAGTGAATATTGAATTTGACTGATTCAGGCGATTCTAAAATGCAATGTTTGCTTAGAGATTCTCAGTTTGCATACTTTGTATTGAAATAGTAGAAAAGAAATGCCATCGAAAGATTGATCACTATTGCCGGAATTTGTGTCCCCTTGGTTACCTATACAAAATGTATGACCTGCTTTGTTTGCTATCTTCCAGAATGTATTGAAGACGAAGAGGAAAATGGTCCATACCAAGGCAAATTCATTGGATCACTGAACTCATTCCATCATCAGGTTTCGGGTAAGGTGTATGCCGTCGACGAGTACACCTTCCTGTTATCCGGCTTCAATTATGATGGCAACGGAGCCGACACGTTTTTCTGGGCTGGTGCATCTAACAGACCAGGCCCTCAGGGTTTCATTGTGCCCGATGAATATGGAAAGTATGTTCATGTCATAAAACTACCACCACATTCTGCTTTGAAAATTCTTTATTTTTATCAAAATGCAAACACTTCTCTTCCATAGAACCAATATTTTAGATAGATACTTCAATAAAGATTTCACCCTTAAACTCCCCGATAACAAGAAGATCACTGAAATTAAATGGTTGGCCATTTACGATTTGAGCACACAAAATGATTTTGGTGACGTCTACATTCCGGAGGCATTCGAACCGCCAGGAGCGCAACGCGGCAGTACTTTTTCGAAACGTAGTCACGGCGTGACCAGTAGCCCTATTGAGGTGATTGATTCAAAAACGGTACGAATTCCTGACCTATACTATGATGGAACGGGTAGTAAAACGTATTTCTTGGCTGGAGTTGGGGCGCAACCATCATCGAAAGGCACGAAAATACCCGATGAACTTGGATAGTAAGTATCAATGGAATGTTGCATGTTAAGAATTGTGATTAATGTTAAAATAAACATTAAATTTCTATAGTTTGGATCCACTGAGAAAGTATACTGGCGAAACTATAATCCTTGAGCTGCCTGGCGATATGACCATTTTCGAAATTAATTGGATAAGTATTTACGATTTGGAAACCAACGAAAACTTTGGATCCGTACTGATATCGGATGGTTTGAATGTGCCACCGTCTCTCATCAAAATTCAACCGCGCACTGCGTCATTGCCAAACTGTCGTCAATTGCATAAGGATTTCCGTGTTTCATGGGAAGTGTTTGGACCGCAAATTACCTTCGAATTGGCTGGTCAAGTGATGGAAGATGAGTACATGTCGTTTGGATTATCAGGCTCAGACAGTTCAAGTCAAATGTCGGGCTCTGACGTTGTCGTTGCTTACATTGATGGCGCTCGTGGATATGCAATTGATTATAATATCACTTCCTTAGCACCGGTAAGTCTATCGAATTCGGTACGATTCCATCTCAATTGTTCTCATCAATTGATTTTCCGTAGTGTGTACAAGTGTTGGGTCAGAACAAAGGCGTTTGTCGAGACGATGTGGTTGGTGGTATCGACAGTTATCAAATTCACACGCATACACGTGAAAATGGAGTCAATACGATAACATACCGGCGAACGCTCATTTCAAATGATAACGGAGATAAAGAATTTCGTTTGGATGCTCCGATGTATGTGGTGTGGGCAATGGGAAAACTTGACTCGAATAATGAACCTGCTTTCCATGACATTTATCCAAAGAAAGATGTAATCATCCACTTTAACACTAGTGAACCGTACAATGACTGCTTCAGTTTTACGAGAAGCGAAACGACTATAGAAGAAGTGTGGGAGCGATCACAGATTTTTGATCGGTATGAAGACCAAAGTTTGGATTTAGTTTTATTTCGAATGAAAAAGGAGAAAAAATGTGTCGTTAAATGCTGCAATATTTTCTTCTAGTTCAATCAGATCATTCACCGCAACATTGGGACCGGCAGGTGGCAAACGAGGTTATGCTGGTATAACTGGTCATGTTTCAAATGGATTGGCTTGGTACATCAATGGTCTATTGATTCCAGAGCTTTGGCTGCGCCGCGGATTAACTTATTCGTTCAAAGTAATTATTTCGTGTGACACGATACACCTGTATTACGTACGTATTGCTCAACGTTTGAACATTGAACGCAATTTTCTTTTGATCGCAGGTCAGAGGAGGCAATAATCCGCATTCGCCGGAGCACTATCATCCATTAGTCATAACTGATGAAAAGTCTGGTGGTTTTAATCGTTTGACTGATGCAAAACAAAATGAGATTCGTGTATTGGCCGGTGTTGAGTTCACGAGAAGAGGCCGACCGAAGCCAACGGCTGCTGGTCCATTGTGCTTAGGTCGACATCCCGACACTTTGGATCGACGATTAGACGATCGTTTTATGACATTCAAAAAATTCAATCGATCGCTTAGCTGGTCATGTGAGTCCGGTGATCCAGCCATTCTTGAAATAACACCGAATTCATCGTGGCCAGATGTTGTATATTACAACAGTTTCACACATGCCAACATGGGATGGAAAATACACATTGTTGATACGTATAACAAGAAAAACGCTGCAAACCACAATACGCAATCTTTTTTTGTAATTTGTTTAGTTGTCCTTAGTTTAGTCACAAATGTAAGGAATCTAATACAAAGTATATAAGTGTATGACAGAAGAATAGAAACTGAAGTAAATAAATACGGAAAAATGATAAAATGATGTTTTTGGGATTTTCATTTGCGATTACGTACAAAAACTTTTTGCATATTCCCCTTGAGTGTAGCGTGTGTTCTTTTCTAGAGGTCCAACTCATTTTCAAAACTCCATTTTTCTAAATTGATGGACAAATCAAATCATCGGTGGAACAAAAATGCTGAGCAACTTGAGCTCTGATTATTGAATATTCCTATGCTCAAACGAAGGTTTGGATTGTAATTCAACACTTCCATAGAACTGCCAGTTGAGTTGGGCTTATTAGTCATTCACATTTCAAAAGGGACGATATTAGCATTAGCTCAATGTTGAAAAATAAGTATTTTATTTCCATCTTCCAGAATATATTTACACGTAGAGTGTTTCTCAAATCTCGAAGAGAAAAAATGCTAGGTATCAGTTAAGAAAGTAGCAAATTCTGTAACAATTCGTGGTATTCGTACAGTGTTGCCATTGATATTCACACTTCCCTAAACAAATTACAAGGCTAGCGACCTAACGATCGTTAAAAAAGCGAATTTTATCAATTAAGAATTGGTATTGGAGTGAATGCTGGTACAGGATCAGTTTCGCTGCTGTCGTGTCACATTGCCAAACCGTTGTGCACAGTGCCATGTCTTCGGGAAACGTACATCACCACCAGTGGTATCTACTCGTTGGTATGTGTTAATTCACAGCATTTCGAATATCGGTGGCATTGAACAAGTAAATCTGATTCACATTATTCTTCCGGAGAAGTTCGTTCGACTCGTACACACACATTGTGAAGAAAGTTTTGAGTCGTTTTTCACAATGAGTTCGGATGTTGGTTGTCACATTGTCGCAATACTGTTCTCGCAGATACTTGTTACTACATTACCGAACGAATAATTGCTTAGCCATAGAAACAGCGCACTGACAGCATCTGCAATCCATCCCAGAAATTTGGCCGGCATGATACTGTTGTCGTTAACGTTCTGTCTCAACACAGCTTTAAAGCAATCAAAAATGATTTGTTCACCATCACCGTTGAAAAATGTCCAGTTCTCTTCATCCATGGCCGTGTTTGCCCAACAAAAACAATGAACAAATCTTACATTATGTACAAAAAAAAACTTCGAATTTTAAATTAACCAAAACTCATAGCGGGAACATGTATAACATTAGTTTTGCATACCATCTGTGGACAATTTGAATCGTGATCGTTAAAAATCAGAAGAAATGAATTTGAAAACATACTCTTACCATTCAGTTCATTCCTTTCGGATCAATATATAAAAAAAACATGAACAGTTTAAATCATGTTAAAAATATATTTACATATTTGTTTTTCCTTTGTTTATCAGCAATAGATACATTTTTTATTGTATAACATTTTCAATTGTATGCATGTGTTTATATATGTATATGTAATAGGTATGTCTGCCACTGTTGGGAATTGCGAAATTTATGAATATATAGTTTTTTTTGTTTATTTATTTATTTTTGCACATTGTTAAATATTCTAGATTTTGAATCCACAGTTTTTTTTTCTTGATAATTTGTTATGTCATTAGTTTGTTCCAGTTCAATCGCAAAATTTCACAAAATCATAGAAGACATTAACTGCATGATAAAAGTAATTAAAAGAAAAATGGGAAACCATTTTCAAAATATTGAGAAAGAAAATACTGAAAAATCACAAATTGAAACAAAATACCAACTGAATCTATTTGAGCGACACAAATGAAACTCAAACAAAAAAAAAACGTAAAAATCATTCGTTGAGGTAAATTGAATCACACAAACAAACAAAAATACATTGAAAAAATACACCACAAAAGTTGTAAATTACTGTTTGGCTTAAGGAATTTTTTTTTTCCATGAAATTCATGTTTTTTTTTTAAATACAACACCATATCATGTTGGTGGACAATGGACATTTTAATAATGTGTTTAGTATAAATTCCATTTTTAAGTTTTTTCTTTCCAGAGCTCTTCATATAAATATAATATAGAAGCGATTGATGGCACTAAAAAACTAAACGTTCACACAAAGCTGGAGTTGATTAGGCTGTGTTTAATTTTATTGTTGTCTTAAGAGTATTATTTATGTGTCAACTAGATGCTTGATATTCAATGCAGAACAAACAATACGATTACTGCCTGCATTGGGCAGTAATCGCTTAGAACCAATAAAATATTAGTGTCAAGGTCTTATAAGCGATCACATCACATGTTACACGTGTGATTTTACCAGAGATTCAAGTATAGATGCAGGTGAATCGTGTATGAACAAATGAATTTCCTGTTAAATCATCTTTTCACTATCTCAGTACAGTCTTCGAAAAATTACACATTAAAATTTAACTTAGGGTTTTGCATGCCATTTGATGAGTGAGAATTATGCTGTTGCTGCAATGGCAACGGCTGCTGCTTATGGCTCATGCAGTTGAACAAATTCCTCTAATGTTTTTGGTATTTGATTTTTATAGTGGATCCTATTTTTGATGATTGTTGATGCAACTATACACTTAAGTGAGGTGTAATTTATTATTGGGATTGTATTTGATGAATTGAATGCGATGAGATAGTGAGGATGCTCGCCAGCTCGATTTGGTTGATCTAAATGTGCACCGTAGTCCAGTAACACTCGAACAACCTGGAAATAAAACATTTTGGCTCAAATCAAATCATTCTAAATTGCATCGATAGAAATTTTTCTCTTGGTATTTTTTTGGCATACAAACCTCGCCCACATAGTTATATGGATTCGATGCAACATGCAAAGCTGTAGATTTGGATTCATTTTTGGCGTTTACTTCTGCATCACATTCCAGCAATAGTTTAACAACCTTCAAATTTGGGAAAATTCCCTGCGAACAAGTTCCAAAACAAAGATTTAAACTCAATTGGCCGTCATCATTCAAAAACATTAAAAAAAATTCGTTTGAAATTTTATTTACCCGCATTCCAGTTCCATCATTGAAATATCCACTTTTGATTATGTTAAGTCGAGATACACACAGATGTAGAAGAGTATCATTTGTACAAGCACTACGTATGTTGCTTTTCACCAAAGATCTTATTGACTCACACACCTGCAAAAAAATATCGATCAAATTCCAATGAATTGGTACCATTTAAATCGGTTCATTTAGCTACTCAAGAGAAATTTGCTTACGATTTGCTTTTCTTCGGCCGTTTTTGATGTCACTTCAAGCAGATAGATCAAATGGGTGACACATTTCAAAACTCGGTCAAAGTTTTCTTGTTGCTTTCGATAGACAGGTCGAATTTGTAGCAATTTTCGGGCCTCGATTAGATTTTTGTGCAAAAATGTGAAGACACCATAGACATCCTCAAATTTCGGTACATCGGATCCAATAAATGATTCACCTTCATCGGATTTGTTTTCCAGATCGAGCATCAACCGGACCAGTGCCTGTGTGGTGAAACAGGTGTCCGAATGCAATATCGAATGGGTGTTTATGCGCACTTGGAGTGCCAATCGCCACAAGTCGATACAGCGCTGAAATCTCAATGAATCAGCATAGGAAGCCCCACTTGAAATATGTAAATGATTTCATGTTAATTTTTCATTTTAAATTCCATCTAATTTAATTAAATGAAATGAAAATTTCATTTTTTTTCCCTCGGAAATTTTCATACCGAAACATTAATCTAAATAGTGTGTCTGTGTGTTGAATGCCAAGAACTCGTTCACAAATTAACAAACTTTGTATTCTCATCGCATCGACATCCGTCGAAATATTTTCAAGTTCGCTGAGCGTGGCAAACTCCATGACATTGCAGTAGGCTAGCCGTAACGGCACCGAAGGTTCCTTGGCTAAAACACGAACAATACCACTATGGTAATCAAGGTCACATGTAAACTTTGTAATGAATAAAATACCTCGGTAAATGGAGTCTTTTGAACGGATCTCATGCGCTTCCTTCCAATGTAAAACAGCCAGCGTTGTTTCATTATGCTCATCCAGGTAAGTAGATCCTGTAACGGAAATCCAACAATGAATAGCCTCTGCTATGGTATGCAAATGCAATCGAACACATACCAATCAATTCATTTGCACTGGCCAAGCGTTCAACTGAGTATGGGATTCGTTCGATTAGATGACGAAATATATCATGAGCCCCCTTCAAGCAGGCTATTTGCAAAGCATCATCGCCGTTTTTACTTTTCGCAAATGGATCAGCACCAGAATCCAGTAATAGCTTTGTTGTTTCGAGTCTGTTTTATTTATTATCGACAAAAGCAAAGGAAAAATCAATAAAAAAAAACATTTTAATTTTGAGAAATACACTCCACGCTTACCTATGTTCTTGGATCGCATAATGTAGTGCGGTTTTGTTTTGGATATCTTTGGCATTAACATCAGCTCCTTTGCTAATCAAATACGAACACAATTGAACGGATTGAACACTGTTGATTAAGCAGGTGCCGCCATTGAAATTGGGTTTTTTGATGTTGGCCCCATTTTCCACTAGAAATTCGACAATCTCCATGTTTGTCATGAAACATGAGCTTCGAACTGATGTTGAACCCGAATCCGAAACCGCATTGATATTTGCTCCGACCCGTACCAAATATTTGACAACTGGCAATTTGCCTGACACTGAGGCACACCATAACGGTGTGACCAAGTGTACGGTCGAATCTTCAGGATTTTCAAATAGCCCACGTTGTTCAATGTCAGCACCGCAAATGGTAATTAAAAATTCAGCAATTTCCAGATTGCCCCGTTTGCATACTACGAACAGTGGTGCACAACCTTCGCGTGTCCTAGAAACAATATCTTTGCGCGCATCCTTTGGCAAACTGTGTGCGTGTGTAAAATTCAATGTAAACGTGAAATGTGATTAATGAAATACCATTGCATAGCCATACATTGGCTTTGTGTCATTCTCAAGTTAAAAACAGAATTAGGATTACTCACTTCGCTATTTTATCACGAAGAGATTTTGTAAGTCGCGTACCCGTACTACATAACTTGCATTCGAGCATCAAATCGTTCGAGATTACATCCAAATTGGTCTGCAAATTGATTGTGTGCGATTTTCGAGTAGCCACATTACTCTTCATCACTATATCACTTTTGCAAATGTGTACAAAATACAAACTCTCATCAAGATTAATTCCCACCGTGAAAATATCCAAAAACGTAATGAGTCCTACACAAAATCTTGATGCTTTACTTCACGAAATACAATTTCCTATGCTACCATTATTATCTGCAATGTTTTCATTGAACTGAAACGTCAAACAATAGAAAAATATACTTAATGACTTTGTATGTGCAATCTGTCAATACACAAACCATCAGCAGTAGCACGTGTGCATGTGTATGTGTGTATATATATTATATATATTTCTCTCTCTCTCTCCCTCTCTCTCTCTCTCAACACTTGACAGTTTGAGTAGTCGCAGTGTTACCCGTTGCCATTGCTTTTATACGACAAAGCATTTTCTTCAATGCGAGATGAAGAGAGTATAGCGAGTACTTGTCAAGCGAGTGTAGACAAAATCGATACGAGTATTTTGCCTCAAGAGCAAAACAGAAAAAAAAACATCAATTCAAGGTAAAAGAAAGTGGTAGCCAGTAGTTTTCAATGTCTCTCACGAAAATGAAATAAGAATGGAAATTGGGTTCACAGCGTGTGTTTGTTCTATTTTTTGTTTTATTTAAGCAAGAAAAGGCTTATCAATACATTTTTGCTCGTGTAATCTACTTTTTTTTCTGAAGCAAATATTATAATATCAAAGGCATAAATTGTCTTATGCTCGTTATTCGTATTCGAATTCTAATCCGGTGCCTTCGGTGTTTTTTCTGATCCATTCATCGAATCGTGCAGACAATTCGTCTGACATGTAATTTTTCCAATCACCAATTTGGCCCTTTCGTATGAACTGAACATTCTTATCATTTTCACCATTCACCGGTAAATATGATGTAACGTTAACCGCTGGATTCTTTTGCATTCGATCGAATTTCAAGTGATCACACATTTGTGTCACGTCTATGTCCGTTATTCGATCTTCTACACCCAAAAACTTGGCACACCGAAAAATCGTTGACGGTAAATCCTTTTTCATGTCTTCGTACTTCAGAAACAGTACGTTTGGTTCGTGACGCATATTCCAGAAGGTCAGACAGTGTGGCCAAACGGGTCCAATTGGTGCGTTGTCACTCAAAAATATTTCACAGAATTCCCCAAATGTTCCAACTAGACCGTGTATCAGCAAACAATAGTGATAAAATGATACACATAAATCCTTTGGATTGCGTGCCACGTAAATAATCTAGAATGAATGAAGATTATGGAAAAGAATAGAAGTTTATAAGCTATTTCATGGCCACTCTTAATATGCTATTGAATAAGATAACAACCTTCGGTTTGACTGTGGTCAGTTTTGTTGGCAGGAGCTGTAATGGTAAATGCGATTTGATAAAACGGGGGCTTGGCATGTTGCTAACCTGTTGCACAGAGTTTCCGATCGAATTCCTACAGTAAAAAGCACATAGAAATAATCATTGATTTTTCAAATTAATTTCGACGAATTAACGGGACAACTGCAAAGCAACTCACTTCACCCATTCCGTATAGTCTTCATACATGATTGCAGTCATTTCAAGAAGTGGCGATCGTAATGTTTGTATGCTCTTGGCGCCCTCATAATCCAAATTATTACCAAGAAGCCAAACCATTTCCTGTGCCCAAGTTGAACCTTTTGTGTGTGTGTGTATGCGTTTTTTTGCATTTGCGTGGAAAATAACAATCAAACAGTTCTCAACATTAAGAAAATTGTTCATATCAATTACAGAACATGAAAACAACTTGCAACGAAACAAGCGGGCACAGCGTATGATGGAGAAAGTCGTTCAGTGTGCAAAGAGTTTCAAGTGAAATATTGAAGAAGAAAAATAGAAAAACAACAACAGATTTATGGAAACTCTTTTCTTTATCATTCGCTGCTTTCTTGAATGTCTCGAGCAGTTGAAATATGAGTCATTTAATTGTTCTAGCTAGTCGTATGCTTAATTTACCTGTGCGTGGATAAGAAATCATCCAGATGTCATCTAGCCGAACATCGGTGTTGATAATTTCTTCGGAAATATCCTGGTACTTTTTTGGCATAATAACGTGTCCGGGATTCACTTCGATGAAGCAATTCTTTCGCTGGAAAAAACTGTCGAGTTTTTCGCCAACCTTCCCACCCAACGGACTGCACACAACTTGACTCATTTTCGCTTTCTGTCTGTCTATCTTTCGCTTCCTTAGCTCCGGGAATTTACAAATCAAACAAAATTCGTACACATTGACATTAATTCAGTCGATGGTGCTTTTTTTGTCTTTCTTCTTTAATTCAGCTTGCAGTCTACCGTATTGGCAATGCTGATAATCAAGATTGAAGGACACCGATTTCACAACAAACAAACAAACAAAAAATGAATCACAAACAAGAAATAATTATAAACACTTTTGCAATGACCAGATTGTGTTGGCATCGGAACTGTTAAGCTGAAGTTATTGAATTGAAGACTGAAGAAGTACTGAAAAATGTATTTTCTCTGTGTAAGCTTTGCTTGCCATTGATATTGCCTGCAATGGCGTTTCATTTCTTCATTCTTTTTTTTCTCTTCTGCCAACATGACCAACAAAAACAAGTTAATCAGAGAGAAAGCGCAAATAATTGATCGGTTAAATGCAGTTATTTCTCATTGTGAGTGATTTTTTTTTCTCTTCTACTTTGGTTCATTTCACTCTTCGCTTGCGTTTGCAAAGTGAACGCAAAGATGCAATCGATGAACTATTGGCAAAAGTTGTCTATGTGTGTATGGTGTGCATGAAGAGTGCAAAGCGAGAAAACGAGCATCTGAGAGTTGTGCACTGGCGTAAAAATTAAAAACGGTTAGTTTGTTGAAGTCAATAGGCACACACACGATAAGTGCGCCAAGCCATGCCAAGCCAAGCCATGCACCAGAATGCTTTCATCGTCTTGTGTTTCAAACTGCAATAGGCAGAAGCATCTTATATGTTTCTTCTTTTTTCATCGCCTCTCGTTATCAACACATGCCTATTCGTATGCGTACTTTTTTTTCTTCTCTCTGATATGTATTGCAAGTGCACCTTTTGTAGTATATGGAATCGAATGGTGAAATAACAAATAAGCAGCGAGTACACATACAGGCGAAGCTTCTAATTTATAGATTTACAATTTAAAAAAAAAACAAGTGAAATAAGAATGCATGATTTTTACACATGGTCGAATAACGTACGGAGATAACGAACTCGCGCTGAGCATATTTCTCCAATAAATAATAATAAACTCACGCCATAAAGATACGCCATAATAATGTATGCGCCACTGACTTCAACCAATTTCAATTTTTTAGGCTGATGTCTTGGCCGTTTTCTCGCAATAATTAACTTTTCACGATACACATTACTCCATTTTTCAATTAATCCGTTGCTCGTAAACAATTCAATCTGTTGATTTATGATCGATTCCAAGCACGAATGCTTTTCCATGAATATGCTCAACGGAAGTAGAAAAATACGCTGTTTGGAAGGTCGAATTGTACCAGTTTTGAAATATAGCAAATTATGATAGCCAATGATATCGTTTGTCGTGACAAAGGCACCATGGAATTGTGGTTTCTTCAGCTCTTCCAATATGTCAAAACTACCATCATGCAGTCTTAGGCTAGGATAAAAATGAATACAAAGCAAAAATGTTACATACTCGTTAGAAAATTGCCATCCAGTTTCGTATTATTTCTTCGCAGAAAAGTGCGTTGTTGTTCTTTTCGTCACTAAATTTCGGGGTGGAATAGCAAAAGCAGGATAAGAACAGAAATAGTCGTAAGCTATATCAGCATGATGTGAATCACATGAAAAAAAAAATTCTGCAAAATTCAATCCAATTTGGCGTAGGCGATCGCATTGTGTCGATTCAGTTTAACATGCACGCTCTTATCTTATCGTATTTTTTTCATCCCACGCCAGAAATTTGGTCGCAAAAATAAACTCATAAAATCTCCGCAAAATTAAGACGAAAATGATAAGATTTTTTTTTTCTGAGAAAAACGAAAACGATATTTTTTTTTCGATTGAAATAAATATTTTTCAAATGAAACACTTACTTTGCACTCAAATGAGGCGATCCCAATTGTAGGAGACGTATAATTTGCACCGAAGAGTATATGGTAAAATTGAATTCTGCCAACTTCTCCAAGCTCTCGATTTCGACGGCCGATTTTTGTGATTGGATGAAACTGAATAGAGCGCCCTGATATGAGCTGCGTAGTACCAAACTGCCCAGTAGCCAAATCATGAAAATTGTACGCGCAAAATTGCGAACTGGCGGTTGTGTTACGACTCCGCCTAGCGTGATATTGATAAAATGTAGGAATGGCATATGATTCTTTTTGCCAAATACAAAATCTCTCCATATTTTTGACCGACCAGTCATATAGATTGTAACGCTTAAGGCAGCTCCAGTGGCAATTAAAAAACATGCCCAAACCAGAGGCTCAAACGGAAGCATCAGTTTTTCCAGTGGTGTGAGTGGCGGTCCATGTGGTGTTGTAAACACCACCGATGTGTATGCATATGGAAATGATGCTGTGAACCGTTTCGATCTTTCAACCGTGTTGACTATCGCAAACATCGTTAGGTTTACTTCACCCTTTCGCAACATTTCAAAGTTTTCTTTTGCACCTCCCAAATAATGTTCGTGCCCAACTCGAACTATCGGTTGAAAATTGAGCAATTTTGATAATTCACGGTATAGATTTCCCTCGATGCCTCTGGTCACATACGATCCATCAGTGTGATGATGATTCAATATCATGTACGGCGGAATATTATAAGTCGCCAGAAATAGATTACATTTGTGAAAATTCTTCAATTTCATTGGGAAAAAACTATCGTCTATCGAGATCGATTCATTGCTGAAGGTCATCAACAATGTTGACTGGATGCGATCGCAACTGTTTGGTGTAAACGGAAAATACGTATAAACATTCACTTGATCTTCTATTTCATCCGGACACAGCACATTCACATTAATCATGCGATACTTCCAACAATCTTGAAAGATTTGAGTTATCTCGTCTTTTTCGATGTACTCCGTTAAAATAATAGTAAAATAGCCGGCATAGTGAACACTCTTGACGTTGATCTCCTGGTAAAAATGCCTTAAAAAAACATTTGATATGTTGAAATTATGCGACAAACAACTTTTATTTCCAAAATTCAAATTTCTGAACCGAATATCTTACCGAAATGCCGCATAAGAATCTATGAAAATAATTGCACAGGCCCGCAAAAATGGTAAATATTTCATGTACTTTGGCCATTCAATTACATAACACATCGTGGATTTGGTGTGCAAAAGGATGCGATTCATAATTTCCGATTGTTTATAATGTTTTTGTAGTTGTACAGTGAAAGGTTGGATTAACGATATTGCAGAAGTGCGTTTACTATAAAATTGCCGAATGATATGTGATGTGGCTCTGGCCAAGAACTTTATTTCTCGATCCATTTGAAATTCGTTCAAGGCACCGTTTCCGAGCTGTGAAAAAAGTACAACTAAGAAAAACGACGTTAAAATCGCTGGCGACATTTTACAGCAGTACAGTTTACTTGGTTATTTACTTCTGAGCATACCTTGTTTAAAATCGGTGGCTTAAATGGCAAAATTTGTTCAAACAAACCGCGTTCAAAGCTATAAAAAAAGCGGATTAGTGTCCATTAGGCTTTATGAGTTTTGACCGCTTATTTGGGGTATTAATGCGGCGATAGAGTTTATTATTAGCTTTGAATGTGAGAAAATCTAAAAGGGTTTTAATGGTTCCGTGACTGGGTGATATCAGTTCACACGTGAATACCATTAGGCTGATGACAATGCAAAAAATGCAAACAGTGACAAGACCACTGATTTGATCAAATGATAGTGCCTTCGGCTCCTTTTCGGCGGTTTTGTCTTTTAAGTAGGGCGGTTTTCTGAATTCACTTGCCCAAAAAACAATCAGTCCACTTGAAGAATATTTGCGAATTTGTTCATTGAAAGGCTCAACGAGGCAAGAGTGTTTGCTGGATGAAAGAAAAAGATAATTCAGATTCACAAGGTGTACATTTGTGTGTTGGATGTGCTATGATAATAACCGAAAATAAAAGGCCAGCGGCATCGATTGAATATAATCTTTGGTCTTAAGAACGCTAACATATGGAAAATTTTTCAAATTAAAGTAATCAACCACTTCTGTTATTGTCATGTAGGCACCGCCGAAATCATCATCGGTAAGATTCCAGAAGAAATTTATGCCACCGTAATCATAAAGGGATAATCTGCAATATGAAAAAAGATTGGAAAATTCATATCATAATCCATATGTTATTAAGAGCACCTTCCACTGTATTGGTTGGGAATGTTGTCAGCCACATCTTGGAAAAAAGATTCGTACAAATACAGCTTGAGATTCGATTGGAATAGATCATCGATGTAAAAATATGGTGCCATGCGTTGGTTACCACGCAGATTGTCGTATAATTTTCCCTGATAGGCGTTGCGAAGCACAAGAGTCGTTAGCAACCATATCATGAGCAATGTGCGTGCAAAATTTCGTACTGGCATTGCAATGAAGGTGGTAGTTCCGCCGAAGCAATGCGACACCATATTGAAGATGGGCATATTATTAGATTTCCCAAAGAAAAAATCCCGTTTCTCTTTTGATGATAATTTCAAAATCACTATAACAATTGCTGCAATTAGGAATAGGACGCAAATGCAGGCCCAAACTCGCATCTTAAATGGGAAAGAGAGCTTCTCGAAAGATGTATATGGCCGTCCGGGAGGAATAGCAAAGATGAGTGACCCATAGAAATGTGCGAATGTCATCGAATATATTCTAGCTCGACTTTCGGCAACCACCGTCGCACCCACCGTAAAATTTGCACTTCCATTGCTTATCTTGAAGTATAACAAAGCACACATTAAATAATGAGTGAATTGAATGAATCTTACCAATGCATCCCACCAACTCAAGTGATCGCGGTAATTTGTATTTTTTATTTTCCACCGTTGAACTATTGGTTATATTTTTCAGAATATTGGTCCTCGACAACAAAACATTTACTGTGAAATTCAATTGCTGTGATAAAACTCGAATGATGGTGCCTTCAATGCCGTCTAAATAGTATGATCCATTCGGTTGTGGCATTAGAAATACAAACGGAGTGAAATTATAAGTGGACACGGATAATGGGCACTTGTGAAAATTGTTAAACTTTTCCGGGAATATCGGTACGCTACGTTCATTGACGAAGCTACCATTTTCAAAATGATCAAGCACTATTGGTTTAACAATTTCGCAATGCTCTGGAGTGTATGGGAAGAATGTGTACAAGAATACTTTTTTATAATCTTTGCCCGGTGTGAGAACAACAACATTTGCGATGTTGAGTGACCAAAAATCATTCAACATTCTGCGAACAATTTCTGAATAATTGACGATGTATTTGGTCAAAACAATCGTATAATATCGAAAGTCATTTATTGTGTCCGTTGTCATTTCGAACATAATGCGACTAAAATAAATTTGAATTAGTTTTTTGCTTTTGTTGAATGGAAACTGTGTAAACAATTTACCTAAAACTCTCATAACAATCTACAATAAATATGTTGAAGTCACGTTGATAAGCCGTTTTCTTCAATGGAATATAATTTTCGATGACATAAGTCATTGAGGTTCGATTACTTTCCATTCGAATCAATTCACCAGCTACTTCGATTGGCTTCAATCCACTGGTTACCGTTAGACTTGATTGCTCCACTATGAATACGGTTGATGTTCGTGGACTATAAAAACGATCCAAAACATTGTCTAAGGCATGAACGATTACTTTTGATTCAATTTGTGCTGGAATTATATGCAATAGATGAACTGATGACAGTATGCCAACTAACGCTGAAATAATGAGACGTTAGAAATATTTTCATGAAAAGAAATGAAACTGTAATTCACAACAGATTGATTGAAATTCGAAAAACACAAGAGAAAATGGTAATTACAATTTAATATTTCGAAGAGTGATATTTACCCAGGAATAAATTTTTTACATCCATACTGTGTTAAAGAGTGAGCAGCCATTAAATTAAATTTGGTTTTCCGAATGAGTGAAGGCGCAAATCACGTTCAAATGAAAAATAAAACCAAAGCGCCTTGAAAATTGAAAAAAAAACCTTGAACTGATAATTGATCTCAAATCAGTTATCCATTAGCGATGGCACTGGCCACAACAAAAATCATGTCATGCTATTTTACAGCCATCCCAATTAAATCCATAGACACGCAACGAAAAGGACACAGTTAGATAAATATGACATTTTTCCATTACAATTAAATAAAACAATGTGACAGAAGATTCTATTTGATGTATTGCAAAAACTTTATTAAATAAATGTGGACAGTAACATTGTCCGAAATGCATTCAGGTTAGAATTAAATTTATTTTCAATAATTTAATCTGACTCAAGTAGAGTTAATAAGGTGAAAAAAAAATTGGCATTCATTGGAATGTATTGAAGTGAATGTTGTTGGACTCTACGCCGTTTAACTTTTGTGATCACATATGGCGTTATTATCAAAAATGTCACCTAGCATGGAAAAAACTCGAAAAGTGATGACCAATAAAAGACGAAAAATGTTAGTAACAAGGGAGTTGACCTGTTCAGTCCAAGCCTTCAGAAAATCAACATATTGAGAATCCCTATTCCCAAATCAAAGAAAATGTGATTTTCTACCGATTTAGACACTAACATTACCTACTTACACCCATATAGTCGATCAATGACACCTTGCATGGAATTCAAAGAATGACTTTTGTGATCACATATGGCGCTGGTACTCCCTTCACAGCTAGAAAACCGTTCTGAAAATTTAATGGCAGCTTCATGACGATGAAACAAGACTCTCAGTCAATTTCGAGCGATACAATAACTGTAGGTACTTCTACAATTATTTTCGGGCCACTACAATTAATTCTTGGTTATTAAAACTCTTTTTATAGCAGTTTATAGCAGTTTTATTCCCATATTAAATATTAAACTCCCCTGGAGCCAAATAAGTTGTTGAAAACATCAAGGATCGGATGACTGATTTGAATTCTACATTTTTTCTACAATATTATGGAACCTAGCATCAAGAGAGGAAGATTCAGTTTGTGGAAATTTCAATTTGTGGCCAAGATTTGAGTATTACCGATTTTGGGCCAATTTTCAAGACTCGTCCCGATATCGAACAAACGGGCAGACATATTTGAAAACAGACAATTGATTTGAATTCTACAATTTATCTACAATTTTTTGGAATCATTCTTCATTCGAAAAAAAATTCGATTTGTGGAAAATACGTTTTTTGACCAAGATTTGAGTTGTCCCATTTTACAGCAGTTTTTCGATAGCCGATTACTCAAAAAAATTGTTCCTACATAAAAAAAGTAAAAACACTACATTAAAGTACATAAAATCTACAATTGAAATCGCCCTACCCGAAGTCATTTCGGCAAATTTGCCAAGATTTGAATATTCATCTGAAAAATTATTAGTGATTTTTCTCGTTCAATTTAATTTAAATAAATGTTTATAACGGAAAAAATTGACTTTTTCAGTAACATGTCGAAATTGATTTGAATGATTTACTATGGACCACACACTTGTTAAATCAGTTCAGTTACAATTTGGTGTGGAAAGTAACCGTTCACGTTATGAACCAAATAGATTTGAATTATTTATCATTTTTTATCAATTTTTTATGTTTGATTCGATGCTTGATTTTATTTTATTTTTTGTTCAAATATTCTGTTAGGTCCAAGAGATATCTTCTTGATAGTTTCTTCATAGCAACAGCCGTATTCTGTCTTCTCTCAAAGCAATTGTATATCCAAATTCTAGAAAATATGGACTTGAAATTATTGTGTACTCGTTTGAATTCACAAAATTTCAAACTAATATAAAACTCTTGGAGCTGTCAATGATTGTGTGATACATACCAATATTGCTTTCAATGATAAAGTTACCGAAGCTCCATTACTTTGATTTCGAATCATTCCCCCGGTAAAATTCATTTCTGAAAACAAATAATTTTCTAGGGGTTTCACGCAACTTAAAATTCATCTAAAATTTCAATATTTCTCTCTTTTCTCTCACATTCTCTGGGATTCACCAAAATCCGTATTATTTCGAAATATTTCAACATTCACCTTGAAAATTATGTTCTGGAAGTGGGTTTTGGTGGATCTTCAGGATGGATCAGATTGGGTTTGACAATGCCCTGGTCCATCCTGAGGATCCACTTCCAGAACCAGGAGCGGTTTTGAACAATCCTGAGGATCCACCAAAACCCACTTCCAGAATTTTTAGATTCAAAAAATTCTAAAAAATTCGAGTTTATGAATAAAAAGAAGCAATATCTATAGTTTACACATAAAATGATTTTATTTCCAGCTATCTAGTAAAATCTTCGGCCTTCGAGTTTGCGTGAAACCCCTAGATCTATTGACTAGATCGAGAGGAGAGTATGTGAAAAAATTCTTATATATTTTGAAAGAGGAGAGTATGTTTTCTGATGATTCTGTTGGCGTTAAAGTAGAGTATGTTGTAGCACCGTCTAGCCTCTGCGGTCTTCACGGTTTTCGCGCAACTGATAGGAGATAACAACATGGTGTCTTCGGCAAAGTTGTAGTACTCGAGGTCTTCTATAACATTGCTGAAGACATCTATCTCTTATCTCTTATCAGTTGCGCGCAAATCGCGCACATAAAAAAGCAAATTTTATATAGAACTTTTTTTTCTTATCATTTTTCGCGCTTTTCGCGGAACTGATAAGAGATAAGAGATAACTGACTTCAGCAATGTTGTAGGAGACCTCGAGTGCTACAACTTTGCCGAGGACACCAAGTTGTTATCTCTTATCAGTTCCGCGGAAACCGTGGAAAACCGCAAGGACCCGCCAAAAATGAACATACTCGCCTTTAACCATTTTTGAGTCGAAAGAAACTTACTCTTCTCTTTCATAACAAAGTCAGATGAACTTACTCTCCTCTCGATCTAGTCAATAGAGATAATTTTAATATAAAAATCGATATTCTCCGTTTGGATGATTGCATTTCAACCAATGCGAATGATTTCCGTTATTCATTTTCAGTCGATAAGGATACAGTTGAAATGCGGGTACAAGTGGAACATTTTAATGAGCCATTTTCAATATCGCGTGTGGATTGCAATTTTTGTTCATGGTTTAGGTCATAGAACACTTACGTTATACTGGAAAAAAATTACATTTTATGTACAATATAGGTTCAACTACATGGTAAGTATGTAAATGAGGTGTCACGGTGAAAGACTATCACAAAAGAAATGGATACAATTCATGAACAAGTGACAAAGTACACGTTTATCACAAATGCATTTATTTGGAAAATGGTTTGTTTTTATTCGACCGGCTGAACTCGTTGTGCTGTGAAAAATGTGCGCCTTTTATTTACATTGAACGTGAGAAAATCTAAAAGTAATCTAACAGCTTCATACCCAGGGGAAATAATCTCTAAAATCAGTAACACCACACTGAATAAGATCAAATATCCGCAAACAATAAGTACGCCACCAATTTGATGAAGTGTCAATGGTTTCGGTTCCAATTGATTGGTTTTGATAAAGAAATGGGGCCGAAATTTGCTGGCCCAGAAATCGATCAATCCACTGGAGATGAGCGCATTATTGTGATTGTTGAACGGTCTTTGCAGGCATGTATGTTTGCGAAAGTAGGCGCAAACTGGTGTTAATTTTGCGTACTTTCTGGTTTTCAACACATTATAATGTGTTAGGTAATCTTACTTTATAAAGTGTGGAAAATTGATGAGACTAAAATAGTCAAGCATTTGTGTAACTGTTAAATATGCATGGTTGGGATGCAACACACTTCTTGCATTGTACATATGAATTCTGCAAAAGAAATTTTATTTCAATAAAAATCTAAGTACATGTTGGGTAGAAATTGAAGTTGAATAGTATCCACAGTATGGATTCCACAATATTGCTTGACCTACTTGTGCTTGAGTTCTGGGAAGTTTTCAACGATATTTTGATAATATGTGCCAAAGACACGCAATTCCAAATCGTATTCATAGAGATCATCGAGATCGAATAACGGTACCATACGCTGGTCACTACTTAAATAATCAAACAACTTTCCTTGGTAGGCATTTCGAAGAATCAAAGACGATATCAGCCAAATCATGAGCAATGTACGCGCAAAGTTCCGCAAAGAGACATGATTTTGTGTAACAGACTCTCCCAGACCAATAGACACCATATTGAAGAAAGGCATATTAATGGATTTCCCGATAAAAAAATCTCGCTTCTTTTTCTCGACTAATTTTAAAACAATGCATTAAATCGTTGCTAGCACGAATAGAACTGAGATACATAGCCAAACTGTAATTGCAAACGGAAAGTATAATTTCTCTAAAAAGGTGTACGGACGACCGGGCGGAATTGCGTATAAGAGAGATGGATATAGATATGCAACCGATGTGGACAGCTTTAAAGCACGGCTAGGTGTAAGCGTTAGAGCCGATATAGAGAGATTTGAAGTACCATCCGCAACCTTAAACAATAATAAAATGTTGAATACGAAAAATCTTCATCGAAAAGGATGTCCTACCATTTGTTATGACGGTCCCAGCGTTGATTGTTGAGATGAACCATATTTGTTATAATTACCAAATACAGTATGAATGACTGGTGTAAAATTCATTCGTTGAATTAAGGTCATAAGCATGATACCCTCAATGCCGTCCGTTTCAAAGGATCCGTTTGGCATGGATCTTGCGTTCATGTATGGAATAAATGTGTATGACGCTATCATCAGTCGGCATTTTTAAAAATTACGGAACTTATTAGGGAAGATTGGTGCATTGCGTGAGAATGAACCATTATCAAAATAATCATAGTGAATCGATTCAATAACTTCACAATGTGTCGAAGTGTATGGAAAATATGTAAATAAATGGATTTTTCCGTCGTATGCAGCTGGTGCGAGAACAATTGCATTTGCAATGTGAAGCGACCAACAATCATTCAATATCCTTTGCACAATCACTTGATCGCTTCGTTTTGTCAAAGCAATTGCATGAAATCCAGTGTAATCAAACGTTGCCGTGGTCATTTTAGTGAAAATACATTTAACGAAAAAAATGTACAAAAATAAAAATTGAAAATCAATGAATTATTTACATGATTTCAATTTGAAGCTTGCCTAAAACTATCGTAATCGTCAATCACAAACACATTGTAAAATTGAGGCTGTGAGAATGAAAATGGCAATACAGGAATAAACATTCTGAAACGCATCAAGAAAAAAAAATTCTCAAAAGTGAATCATGAGTTCTGAATACGCAAAAGTGAACCTATGCTGCCCATGTAAATTCATGTTTCACTTTTGCATATTCAGAACTCATGATTCGTTTTTGCGAATTTTTTTTCTTGATGCGTTTCAGAATGTTTATTCCTGTATTGCCATTTTCATTCTCACAGCCTCAATTTGATTTGATTGAAGTTGAAACGGTTTGCGATCACTCAAGTTATCATTGAAGTTCGATTGCTTTGAATTTGAATCATTTTGGCAGCAACGTGATTTGGTCCGCCGTTCACTGTCTGCGATGATTTCACTGCAATGAACACATTTGACGTTCGTTTGCTATAGAATCGAGTCATGACATTTTCCAAAGCATAAGCCAACACCGTTGAATCCGGTTCAATTGGAATCCATAACACGGGGGTACAACTTGATGCGATTATGCCACATATCAATGAACAAAATCAATTAGAATCAAATGTTCAAAATTCTTATCTTAAAAGCGAAATCACCCAAAACAAGTATGAAAGTCATGTTGGAGATTGGAAATAATAAAAAATAATTTAATAAAATTCATTTTATCGATATTCAATACTGTACTAGATCGTGTGCAAATTAAATTAGTGCATGAATGATAGCAATAAAGGCGATAGAATAATCTGATTTATTGTCATTCGGATTACTGGAAACAGCCTAGTACAACGTTTGGCTATTAAAATATATCCAACGTAACAATTTTTGCCACGACAAAGTAAAATTAAAAACTCATACATATTCGTGATCTTATTCGTTGAGTTTCTAGTCGACATTAACCATTAATACGACCGTAAATTTATAAACAAACAATATGTTCGAGTTGTGTAATCATTTCCGATAATCGACATTATTTGCAGCTCTTTTGTTCTAAGGTTTAATAATGATCGACTGAATCAATCTGCTGAATAAATATTTTGTTGCGTAAATATTTTCGCAGCATGTCTAAACGACCTTCAGAAGAGATATATTTCTTTCTTTTCAAACGAATTTGGTTTTCTATAAATATAAGCCAACCTTATCCTATACTGACATGCATACGGCATTGAGAAATGGTCGGCTCTATGAAGCGGACCCCAGACATTTGTATTACCTTCTATGAAGTCTTAGAAATATTCTTTCCATTTCCGATTGAAATTCAAAATTTCGTAATAAGAAGAACAACCGTCACTTTTCCGGATATTCATATCTGGTATTTTTGACAAAACATACTTCGCAAACAAAAATCTTTATTCTCCAAGTGACAAGTTTTAAGCAATTGAAATGTGACGCACTCAATCAAATCAATAGGTACAAACATATGCCTGGATCTTTCATTGCTGTAAATGCGAAATATCTGTAAAATCGCTGACTACCGGTCTGATTCGCTGCGATTTAATTTTCGATCGGACAAGCTAAAGGCGTTTCATTACTTTCGATTCCAAGCATATTGAAGCAACGATTTCCACCGGCTTTAAATCAGCACCAACCGTGTTGATACCGTTCTGCTGTTAGTGTGGTGATTGGACCAAACATGACAGAAGATCGAATTCTAAGAAAATCAATTAACAACATTTCCGAAACCCTAATTAAAAGCGTTCAAATCAATTTTCTATCGTTTTTTTTTTCATTCCAATTAAAACCGTTAAATTTTGCGAAAAAAGATTTTCTTGACTTAAATACATTCGAATAAAATTCATTTAAAAAAATGAATAAAATCTTGTGCAAATTGACTTAGATAATTTAATGATATCAATTAATACTAAAAGTTTCGAAATGATAGATATCATAACTGAATCATCAGCTCACTGTTTGCTCATTAAAATGCATGTCAAGAACAAGTAGCAGAATTCCGAAAACATTCTTCATATGGTTCATGGACGACGAAAATAAAGTAACGTGAAAATTAAATAATTGTTGATATGATTCGCATGAAAAGTAAAGAATCTCAAGCTCAATTGGTGTGTGCATAAGCGTTAGTCCACGCATATACACATACACATACAACGAATGTTCATGTTACATCAACCATAGTAGACGTTTGTTACTGTAAATGTCGTCAACACAAACCACACGAATCCATGCATTATGAAATTGATACACACGAAAAAGCATGGAAGAAATGAAAAACAAGAAAAAGAAGAAGAAGAAGAACTAACCGCCTAACGGAACTCAGGTACACCATGTAAATATTTAACGTGATCATTTGCATAAATGATATTAAACACTGGTTAGCGATGGCGACGACGATGGCGATGGCGATGGCGATGGCGATGGCGATGGCGATGGCGATGATTGATTCAGAACGAGGAACCGTAAAACGAAGCAGCTAATGTGACAAAGAAGAAGAATAAGACGACGAAACGGGCGACACAAGTAATGAGGATCGTTCGTATTCTTGTGTCTTTCGCTCGCCATTAAAATAGGTCGCTAAGTATTGCTTGCGCATTTTATAATGCTCTCGAAATATATGAGCACAAGAACATATAGCCATAACAGCATGAACAAAAACAACAAAAAATGTGGCAGAAAAACAAGAAATTATTGACTATGGCAGAGCAAAGACGAAAAAAAGAGAGATTTCGACGCTTGAGCAAATCTAAATCAACAAACCGCGACAACAACGAGCAAAATAAAGAAACAAAAAAGATTAAGTAAATATGGAACGTTTACCGTTCTGGAATAAAGATTAGGATTGAACAAAAGAATGTACTAATTGAATTGGTTGCTGATGAAACTGACGTGTCACTTAAACCGTAAATTGGTGGTTATTAATTGGTAATTTGCCGAAATACACGTAATTTACTTAGAAGAAATACTCAATCAATTTTCGAATACCATCGTGAAATTCCACATAACAAGGATGTTCAGTGTTCACAGTTTTTTTTGGACATACAGCTGTGTCCGTGTGTTTATGTCTGTGTGTATGTGTGACTCTGACGCTAAACGAACCGGTAAAGTGGAATTCTTAAGTGGGTCACAATCGGAGCCAGCCAACTCATATGCTTTGTATCATTCACATTGAACACGATTGATACGTATTCAAAGCTATGCTGACTCAACGGAATACTCCATTTCAAATCCTGTTTTTTTTCCAATCACTCATTCGAAATAATTTCGAGTTTATAAACTGATCTCAATAGCAAATGATTAAAAGAAATGAAATGAAATGAAAAATATACGGCAATCGTAAAAAGCAACAAACAGCTTTATGGATGAAATGCGTATACGTAGCAGGTTTATAGAGCCAATCTTTTTTCTTCTTCATAAATACGCAAATTGATAAGCGGATTTCTTAGCTGAAAATAAAATATAATCGAATGAATTTCTTCTAGAAATATGTTCTCCATTTGAGACATTCTTAAAATAGAATTCATGGCTGATATCCAAAGTTCGACGTTGAAAATACGTGATATTCAAGCGCATATCAATGATGATGGGCCATATCATCAATGTTCGAAACGAAATTTGAAATGATAATCGTGTCGGCATGATTTAAATCCATTAAATATGATTGTTCCACGTGTGCCACTCACCAGCCATCATCGGAATAGAGCGATGCATTTTAAATAGAACAACGTGAAAAGTCAATTCAAGCTTTATCGCAATGTCCAATGCACGATGTGCATTGTGCACGAACTGACAATATTTTAGCTTTGATTTCATCGACGTGTATTTTTCTGCTCATTGGATTAAGAACAGATTCTGTTTTTCACCTTGAATGAAATCCAATAACGAACGAAAATAGATGAAATGAGCACGGTGTGCACGCCAAGTTCTAATTGTTATGAAGTTTGTCGGACAATGCAGATATGTTGTAATTCTTCTAGTAAATTCCGAAATAAAAGAAAAAGAACAAAAAAGAAACTGTACACAAACTGTTGCTTTCTTTTTTGTTGTGATTTCTGTTGTTGCTGTAAAGTGTTACTTAGCCGCCGAACCAAAACACCAAATGATCTCAAGTGTGTAGAACCTGAGCGGTTCCGTATTAAAGAATAAATCGTTTATTGAACTCTTTGCGCTGTATCGCACACAAGCACGCACGCAAGCGCACACACACACACACAGGCAAACACACGCCTCTGTTTTGGGGCATACACACGAGCCGGACGGCACGACAAGAATACAGAGCGATACCAACACGATAGAATCCAAAGAGTGGTGAAGATTCAAACTCCATATATTCTTCCGTACACATGCACACGTCATCGATGGCAATGTTAACGATCAACACACTCGCTCCATCTAAGCCTTCTTTCTTCTTTCACATTGTTCCATCGAAAAGAACAACTCTTGGTCTTCGTCGTCTTCATTCTCTTTCTTCTTTCTTCTTTCTTTTTTCATTTCTTCGTCGTAGTCGTCGTCATCATCGTCATTTTCTACACGAAGCGATCTCTCACACAGTACTGTTATAGTCATTATGACTGCAATATTATTCAGAACAGTGGAAACGGTCAACCTGTGTAGACGTATATTTTTCGGTAGTTTTTCAATTTTGTTCGTACATTTTGGGTGTGTTGTGTAATTCGGGTTCATTCGATTTGGTGTGATATTCTTATTGCGGTCGTTATTTCGGTGATCATACCGCAGTTGAAGAGAATCTACCGCACGAAAATGAACTAGCACATTCTACATTGATCTACTTCAGTTGGAAATTGTAAAAAATTTTAGTCAATAAATTGTTTTTATTCTATAAACCAGTTGTACTGTAATTGTAGAAAAGGCAAGAAGAAAAAACGAGAAAAAAAGATTCCATTGAACCAGCATAGTGAAATAATTAGTTGAAGAAAAAATAAATTCAAAAATGATTTGTAAAGTGAAACATGTAACATTTGTAATATTGAATCTGTGTGTTATCTATGCAAATTCGCATACAGCACAAAAGACCAATAATAAAGTTGACGATTCAAATCCATTCCTCGATATTGCCACATCATTTTTGCAAGAAACCTTCGCCAATCAACAAGGTGGTCGAGGCGGTGGCAACGGCATCGGTGGCACTGGAATCGCTGGCATCGCACAATTGATTGGCAGTTTAGTTCAACAAGATGGTTCCAAATCGAATGGCGGTGGTATTGGTGCGGCTCAAATTTTAACCGGACTCAGTCAATTGATGAATGCCAATGGTGGTGACAATGGCGGCGGTGGATCAGGATTTGATCCATCGATCATTGGAAATGTTATTGAAATGTTTACGGCAGCTGGTGACAATTCGGACGATGATGACGATCAACCGCAAGCAAAACGCCGAAAACGATCAAATAGTGGTCAAGATGGTGGAATCGGCATTGATACTATTTTGAATATTGCGTCTGCATTCATGGGTAACACAAACAATGTTGACAGTCATGCTGATAAATCAAATGAAGGCTTAATGAGCCTATTGCCAATGGCCATTCAAGCGATTAACTCATTTAATGGGCCGGCGGGTGAAAAAGTTCATGCAAAACACAAGGATCATCAATGGGTTTTGCCACCATTTTTGGAGCGAATCCACGTTTTGTGGGACCATTTCTCAAATTCGGAACTTGCTGAAGCACTCTGGGAGAAATCGGGTGTCAATCAAATATTCAAAGTGAGTGTCAAATTAGAAGTACCAACGAAAACGGCAGAAAATCGAACAAAACAAAAATTGCAAATCATTCATAACTTTATTCACGTTTAGGGTTTCACGGGTCGTGATGGCAAATTAGACTATGATAAACTCTTCAATTCACTACACAATCAAGCATTCCGACGAAGATGGCTGAAAGCCACCACACTCTATCTGTCCGATTGGGTTAACTATATTGCTGAGCCAGAAGTGTACAAACGGTAAGTGTAATTATTTAATACATCAACACATGGAATTGGAAAAAAAAAACAACAACCATAGTATCATACCATTGACCTTGAAAAAAATCGCTCATCGCCTGAGAACATTTGAGTAAATTTATTATTTTGCTGCTCGAAATACGTTCTATGTCACAAAATGTTGACAGGTATTATAGATAATATATAGGGCTAGATTTGCAATAAATTTACACGTGAAGCGATTTTTGGGTCGATATGGTAATGAGCCGGAGTCTGATTGAAGGCCATGCCAATTTATGACTGACATGTATTGGATTCTCTCTCTCGTGACACATTTTTGTTTGTTTTTTTCTTTCTTTCTGAAAGCAATTAGAAGAAATGCACTTTGGTTATTATGCATTATTCTGTTTCATGTGCATGGACTGTATAATTAACTAAAGCGGCGCCAAACAACCATTAGACAACTTTCTAGCAATAGACATGCTCTTTGTAATTTATGTTCAATGATAAAAATATGTGTGTGTGTGTGTGTTGTGTTTTTTTTCACCATTTTACCGTTGCGATTTATGTTCCGTTTGCGGTTGTTTCATCTGCTCATTCTTTTCATCGATCGCGTTGCGTACGAAAGCTGGGTAAAATGAGCAAATGAAAATACATACGGAGTATAATTGACTAGCAAACATTGTATACTTTCCATTGAATGCTGAATTATTTCTATTTTTTTAATTAACGATTTCGAATTGACTTTGCATTTTATGTTTATCTCTCTCTCTCTCTCTTTCAATTTGTTTCTATTTTTCTCAATCGTTTTCAATCAAATCAATGAAATAAAATCGTTCTTTTTTCTTCGTGTTTTTTTTTTCTTCACTTGCGCAGATACTTTACCACCGCTCAACTGATGATTAATGGATTTTTAACAGCACAAGGAATTCCACCGCATGCACTGTTTGATCCACATCGTCCAAGCGAAAGTTTGGCCAATTTATTTGATTTTATTGCACGTGAACATTTGCATACGAAAATATCGACAATCGTTTATGTGAAACCAGCTGTGACATACGTGAGGGATTTGGTGAAATTGGGAAAAGCCCGCGGTTTGCTACAGAAATTCAATGCAACGGAACTCAGTGACAAACTAACGGACACCGTTAATCTTGAGGTATATTCAAAAAAACAGAAAAGAACGAAGAATTATATTCGACTATCTAACCACTTAGTTAAACACAGTGGTGCTTAAATCAATACATTAACACACGCATGCGTACACATATATGCGCTTGTACTCTCATTCTAAGCCAAGTTATGAGAGCACAAAGAGGTAGAATAACAAAAAGAAAAACCTAAACCTGTTAATGCTTTTTTATTAGGTTATCGAACCAGTTTTGAAAGTTCATCGTGCCTATCGATTTGCATCTCGTTCACCACAATGTGATAAATATGTATTGTGTGAAGTTAACTCACATGATCCCAATGAAACACTCGGTTTGGCTGGTTTCAAAGCGGGCATCACAAAATTCAGTAGTATGGCAGCCGCTTGGTTCATTGGAAGCGAAACCGGCACGCCTTTCTGGACCCTATTCAGCGTTATTTCGGATCCATATGATTGCAAGGTAAGTTTTTTCCATGTTTTTTTCCATTGATTTAGGCTATTTTACCGATTTTCTATTATATTCATTGATTTATTTTCTTTCAATTAAAGCGACGCTATCCAGTTGACTGTTCTGGTTTCCATGAAGGCGAAGCGAAAGTAACAACAGAATATATCCATAATGAACTATAAGATGAACACAAATTTAACCCAATAAATCAATAAAAAGAATCCATTTTAATTAAAAATGAGTTGGACACCTACTCCATTACAACAATACGCAGAAAAAAAAGAACAACAAGAGAAAAAAAAGTTTACAAAAATATCGGGAAAAAATTCTGGAGAAGAAATTGATTTTGAGAGAAATTTTTTTGTTGATATTTATGACAAACGCACACAACCCATGGTCTATTCACTTTCTATTCAACATGCGAGTACACGAAATGTGCCTCTAATATAGGAAATTGAAATTAAGCATGAACGTCGAATCTAACACCACATCTGCAATGTGTGTTGTTGCCGTAATTCTTCGAATCTATATTATAAATTTTGTCATTGTGTGATAAGCCTGTATAATTGTAAAATTTAGTTCAAGTTTCTATATTTAAAAAAAAACAACAGAAAATGAGAGAAAAGAAAAATGATGAAAATAATTTCAAATTGAGCAAGAAATCTGTTTTTGTTTCAATGTATATATATATATATATAAAGGTAAATAATCTTAATATAGCTGATAAAAAAAACAACAAAACCAATTTTGTGTTTTACACTGTGTTCATTCGAATTCATGGGCTACCCAAGGAACAATTGTTAACGCAAATACATCCATTACCAAGCGTATGTAAACGGTTGAATTTGGGCCCGCATTTGGGTGTAGTTTCAGTCATTTTTAACGTCACAATGGAAGTAGAAAAAGAGCAGTAAAAACAAATCAATTAGAATGATATAAAAACGATTATGAATCAATATTCAATATGCTAATAAATAGTGATACTCACCTACAGGAATTATCCTGTACTCTACCTACATCTATATAGACTATAGAATATAGATAGCCATCGATATCTGGTATCGATGATGTCTGGGAGACTAAGACCTCAACCAACTACAAATAACATACTGTTACATAAATTCTTTTGAAAAATAAAACATAAATTGCGGCTCCATTGATATTAATGAATGTTGAAGTTGACTCGGAATCGAGTTGGATACACGAGGTGTTGACGTGTGAACGCATCATGCAGCCGATGTCCAAAGAGTTCGCAATGCCCTGAAACAAAGAGAAAAAAAACACACACACATTACTATTGCATCAATTTTAATTCAATGAGTAACATACCTCTGTACAAGATCAATTTTGCAGCCGAAATGTCACGTTGCCAAACTGTCTTCAGTACTGGAGAGTCGTCAACAGGGTCTTCGGGCACATATTCATCTGTGTACTCGATGATACCGAGTTCAGCGTCGTGAATGATTACACCTCTGCGCTCTTCAACATTGTCATCCATACCGTTTGCCGCGTTTTGTTGCCAGTTTTTACGGTAGCAAATCACCTTAGACACAAAACCACGGGGTTGATTTGGATTCTGCACTGCTGCTTGTCGCATCGCTCGTCGCTCTGATCGTAACTTCCGCTTGCTCTTTGCCGCTACAATTTTCTCTGGTAGCTTCATTCCATCAGGCCAATCATCTTGATCGGGCATACACCATTCACACACCTTGACACGATCGTTCAATGTACTCAATGGAAACGGTTCGAAACATCTGGCACACAATCGTGATGATCTGGCTTCGTTCACAAATCGTATGACATTGCCTTCCATTTTCTTGAAACTCTTCACCAATTTCCGCACGCCCGGGCATCGAACGTGTTTCTTGATCTGTATTGGTGAATTTGCAGCTGGTTGGGAAGCTCCAATGTTAATGATGCATCGTTTGCGATTTGTCTGTTGAGCAACAACAAAAACATTCAATTTTTTCCAAAGAAACAAAAATTCAATCGTAAATTCTTACCAGCATTGCGGCCACCTTGTCACTGATTCGATTGGACTCGATGTAATGATCAAAACTTAAACGTGTGTACTTTTTGGTTGTGTACACTGCAATGGCTTTCTTCATGATGGTCAATCGATGCCGTATGTAGTCACGCCAATTGCTTCCTTTTGGTGATGGCATTCGGTCATATCGCGCTCGGTTGTTTCGATCACTCTCTTCGAACTGCCCAAAGGCACGAGTCCATCGCTCTCTCTTTTCTTTACGCACTCCTTCTTCGGTCCCATAATGATACTTCTTGCTGTTGATTGTGAAGTTCATCTGTGAGATGGAAACAAAAATCGAACAATAAAAATTAAACAATGAAATGGATTCACATGACACAATCACAATAGAATGCATTCAATCGCTAACATACCTCTTTGCCATTATGAATTCGCTCTTTGTCATTATTAATCCGTCGCCTAACGGTTGCATTCCACGTCTTCATGCCCCAATCAATGCCCAATTCATAGACATAGAAGCCATCCGAGTACCGTTTACGCACCAAACCATCTTCCACTAACTTGTCGACTACGGTTTTCTTCACTGAGTACAGAATCGATGCCGATACACCATCGCTGAGAATATGTTCGAATTTTTTGTTTGCTTTCAACACTCGATTGATTTTCTCCATGTTAAAAATCATATTGAAATAATACGCTTGATTTGATTTTGACGTGACGTGGCCCACTGTATGTTGCCGACCATATTCATCACGCGGAATGGTACCGGTTTCGCACATCATACGATACAAAACATCAGCGTCTATTCTCACTGCCTTTCGCGTGTGATGACAGATTGGGATGACCACCAAATTCTTGATGTTTGGCAACGCAATGACTTGCACGATGTTGTCGTGGTGTTGTTCAACCCAGTTGAGGTGCGTTTCGATTTCCGATTGCATGATCAACCACATTGGCAATGATGAAAACCATGTATCTTCGTCTTTGGTGAATTTGGCGATATCATCGTCAGCTGGTCCACGAATGTCTCGAACGTAACGCAACAATCGATCTCGTTTGGCCAAGCGATTAGCATCACCTCTTGTTGCGTCATATCGTTTGATTGCCCATGACACTGCATTTGCCACATCTCGTTCATCGTATGTGTCCGGTAGGCCACGAATCCGGTTAGTGTAGTTCTGTCTGAATGCCTTCAATCTCAAGAAATACCGCAATCGTTTCTGTGCATGTGTATCCAAATTCGTCTTCACATTACGGCCATATTGTTGGAACAAATATTTCATCAAGTTGCCGAAGTAATCATTGTTTGGCCATGCGGAGCGATTCTCGATGTCCACATTCTCAAAGCAATGCCGGAACCATGGATCCATAATGAAATCGTCTTCCTTGTAGCGCCGCAACACAGCATAGAAGCAATTTTCGATGATGTGCATTCCATCGCCATCGTCGAAATATTCCCAATTGCCGGTGATGATGGCCTGTTCAGTGGCAGCTCTGACTTTGTTGAGGAATAGAAGCGACGCCAATTCAGATATTTCGGTGCATTTTATGCTGGTTTTTGTGATCCATGGCAGAATACGATCACGATATTCCGGTCGAACAATACTAGTGGCGGCCAACTTGATTGCAAAGTATGCTTTCTCCTCCTTTTGCTTGCCATCTTCAACTTTCCGCGGTTTCGACCTATTGCCACGAATGGCATGTGCCCCAATCCTTTTTCTGCCCATTATTGAACCCTGAAAAAATAGAATGAAAACACAAAAATTACTTAAGAACGCACTAGAAATGATTTTTTGTTGCTTCTAAATTACTTAATTTGAACGAAAAACGAAAAAAAAACAATCACTGTAAATCGAACAGTATTCACAACAAATGACTTGCCTTTCCAAATGTTCAGATCAATGTGAATGTGCAACCGGCATCAGTTTGACACATCAAGCTGAATTTGGTTGTGACACGAACACCGCACACCGTGATAAAATATCGAAACGCTCACGATATTTCGACAGCAGATTTCTTCCACAGGCTACGGATCAAAACTGTAAACAAACAAAAAAACACACAACAATCGATGGTTTGTTGATTTCGAAAATCACATGCACACGGTGGTATTGTTTGGTTCGATCACTCGTTCGATGTCACAACGATAACAATTCAAATGACTTACCCTTTTTCCCTTTTGCTGGCTGTTCAATATGAATTTAGTCGAACGAAGCAAAGATTCATATTTCATGACATGGTGAAATTGTGAACGGCGGTTTGTTTACAATAACAAACTTCAAAATGAACCAACACTAATAGCGGGAATATTCACTACATTAGTTTTGCCTGCCATCTCTGGACAATTTAAAACGTAATCGTTGAAAATCAGAAGAAATGAATTTGAAAATATACTCTCACCATTTAGTTCATTCTCTTTGGATCAATACATGAACAAAAACATGAACAATTTAAATCATAGAATTTTATACTATTTTTGTGAACACTATTAATTGATACATAATTCTTTTCTCTTTAATTTAAAATCTAACATTTTCTCGTTCCCAATATTCATACAGTTGGTTTACACTGAAATTTCAGTCGATTTTGACGGAAAAAAAGTCTGAAAACGTTACATCTTTTAACGTTAAAAATGACTAAATTGCGTTACATGAATGTTTCATGGGCTACATTAGCAGATTGATTGAAAATGATGAAAATATTGGGCTGAAAGCGAACTGGGACAAGCACGATTAATTCTTTTTTATGTTTTTGCAGACCCAGTCCATTCCTTCCTGTGAATATTTGGTGAAAATAAAATCAGTGTTCCATGAGTGTGCAAATTGTATTGAATAAAGAAAAAAAAATTAATGCCATTTGTACCTTAATTCCAGTCCCTTCGAGAGCGGAACACTCTTGAATTTGCCATGTACGATCTTTCAATTTCACCAAACCAATGGCTTCAGCCACCTCCGACACTTTCAGTACGTTCTGTAAGTCTTGCTTGTTCGCAAATATCATGATTGGCACATCGTTTAACTTTTCATCAGCAAGCAATTCGGAAAATTCATTCCCAGTCTCAGCTAATCGCTTTCGATCGCTACAGTCAATCACATAAATCAGTGCATCCGTATTTTCAAAATAATTTTTCCAATATGGACGAATTTTACTTTGGCCACCTTTTGTTTTAGGATTGAAACCCAAAGAGAAATGAGAGAAAATTTGTCATATTTTAGTCTTATTTCAGAAATTGCATTCAAATGATATTCATTTACCGATATCCCAGAAATTTATCTTGAAACCATCGGCGGCAACGGATTTTATATTGAATCCAGCCGTTGGTGTGACTTGTGTCACTTCTTCAGATGCCAACTGCTTGAGCAGCGTGGTTTTGCCCGAATTATCCAATCCCAAGAGCAATATTCGAACTTCTTTTTCTGGTGCTGATCGCAATTTTCTCAACAATGATAGCAAACCCTGCAAAACGATACCAAATTCAAATGATTCAAGTGGTCGTGGTCGAACGACATCAAGCCAAATACTTTGTGGTTTAAGTATTTGTATTTAATGGTACGGTGTTACCCGCTGCGTAAATTGTTCGCTGTCATCTTAAAGGCGAACCAATGAATGTGTCAATGTCATGAACGTGTTTACTCTTTTCAAATAATAAACAATACAAAGATTCGACTGTTGTTTCTTTTGAGCACATCAACACCCAAAAGTTACTATAGAAACCAATTCGCAAACATTTATCGATACAAAATTTTACGGTATGCGAACCATTAAATTTATTATTTCAATTGAAAATTCACCGTTCAATTTTGTCATTTCCATTTGTAATTTATTTAGCATTTACCTACTTACCATTCTTTTAAAATACAGTACGTGTATCGATTCTATTGAATCCCAATGAATTTCGCAATTTGAGAAATATAGTTTGATTTTATTTCTATTTTGCTCTTCAGCGCACACAACTATTTTCGACCGCTTTCGCCCTATATTCACAGCAAACTGTCAATCATCAGTAAAACTATCCAATTGGTGTAATTCAGCTCATGACAGCCATTTACCTGTTACCATGACCACGTTGAATATATATTTTGCAGGATTTAACGGTTTTGGACAGTTGAAAAATCTACCCAAAGTCGTCACATCGCTTGAAGGTTGAATTGCCGCTTTCGTTGTAATTTTTTTTAAACATTTTTATCAAATGATTTTTTTTTTTCAGAACTAAAATTGGACTCATTGACAGCGACGAAAAAAACACTTATAAAATGTTTGTGGAATTATTGTGCGTACGCAAACGGTAGTGATGTATATATTTGCGGTTTTTTGAATGGGGAAACTTTTCAGGAAAGACGTTTTCCGTTTGAATATCCAATCCAAGATGTTGCTTGCACGGACCGATTTTGCCTTGTTCTGCTCAGTATTGGCACTGTGTATAAGATCGATTGTCAAACATTTAAAGTGACTGAAATTAATTCGACGATAATACAACGATCATCGCACAGCAATGAGATGAGCACAAGCAAAATATTTGGCAAATTCAGCGCACAACTGGAAAATGATCTGAATGAAAGCAAAGACGAATTTATCACACATATCACGGCCGGACGATCACTTTCCGTTGTTATAACTAATAAAAATAATGTCTACAATATGCCGTTGAAGATTTACACATTTCCAGCGCATGTTAAAATCAAAAAAGTGTGCTGTGGAAATGAGCACTGCCTCATTTTAACCACCAATGGAGATCTGTATGCCTTCGGTAGTTCTTCGTATGTGGAATGTCTCATTTTTTTTTTTTGTAAATGTATTTATGATTGATTTATAACTTGATTTTCTTTCCAATTTTCCTATTAGACGTGGTCAACTCGGTTTGGGTGGCCTGGAATCAGAAGATGAGCCGGTTTTGATCGAAGCATTGGCAGGAATAAAAGTGACTAAAATTTTTCTCATTGAAACTTGTTAAATATTTTTCCCATTTTTTTTTATTGTATTTTTCTCGTCAATTTCAGGTAATCGATGTGGCGACTGGAGGCTGGCATAGTGTAGCTGTATCAGCATTTAACGACTTATATGTCTGGGGATGGAATGTGAATGGTCAGCTTGGTTTACCATTGTTCCAAACATTCGAAGCAATGCAACCGAATGGAGAGAGAAGAGTTGAACGTCAAAAATGTTCGACGGTATTTGCTTCGCCAGTGATTGTTGATTTGCCGAAGGAAAGTTCTGAATCCATCGACAATGACAGCATTTCAGAGAATCAGTACCACCCAGTTGCGGTGAGTGCAGGCACTCGGCACACCATTGTCAAGATTGATGACGGCTCGCTAATGGCAAGCGGCTGGAATAAATACGGCCAACTTGCAAATGACAAACTTGATGCTGACTGTGATCAATTCCATATTATCAACACTAATGTATCAAAGGCTGATGAAGTTATCTGCGGTGATTGGTCGACATTTGTTATTTCAAAGGATTAATAACGAAGATAATGTCACAATCGAAACAAACTAGTCAATAAAAAGGAAATTGGAAATGAAGTGGGATTGAAAGATCTCACAATTTAATATATCATTAGTATTTTATTTTGTATAGTAAATACTGATCCACTCCAAATTCACATTATAAATATATTACAATTAGTGTAGTATTTACCTCTTTGAAGATACATACATTAGACTTTATTTGTTTTTGTTTTTTTTTAGTTGGGATAAATACGGTCTAATACAATTGTTTGCTGTCTCCTCATCATGTGTGTGATTTTCAATCGAAATGAATGCATTCGATTGATGCACTCTTATGTGTCGTTAATCCACTAGCGTCTTCTTTTCTTTTTTTTATTTTCTTTTTTTTTCTCTTGTAAATGCCATTTTAAATATGCATACAGTTTAAGTCTTCATTTGATTAATGATTTGTGGTTCTTTTTGTTGTTGTTATTGTGTAAGTTTGATTGATTTTCAGAAAATGTTATGGTAGCTTTTTGGTGTAATAGTTTTGTTAATGTTTTTTTTTTCTTTCATTTTTAGATTGTGAGTTTGTGTGTGTGTGTGTGTGTGTATATATATATTTTGAATATGCGCATGTTAGTTGGTTTTTTGTTGCTGTCATTTCGAAATTGGCTCGGTAGCGAGATGAATCTACCGACGAAGCGAGCTCATAATAAAAAACCAAATAATATTTATGTTCGATTATTATCAGTTACCGCGTTGATTTTATTTGTATTCTATGCTTGCACAAAGATACGAATTTTTTCTTTATCTGTTACAACAAAGCGGATATATTTAATTTTCATTTTTCTCTCAATATGTGGTTTTTCTATTAATACCATATAAACGAAAATGATACGTTCGAAAATCAAAACGAAACATAATTGTTACCACTGCCAAATGCAAATAAATTCACATCCCATTAATGTCGTTAGTCTCTAGTGAACGCAATATTTTTTTGTTCTTGTTCTTGTTCTTGTTGTTGTTAATTTTCTATCTCATTTACAATTTAATGCACATTTATTTCATGAATGATTTTATGTTTTTTTTTGGTTTCGGTTTGTTTTACTTCATTCTCCCGCGTTTCCAGTTAAATAGCTAAAAAAAAATTCAATATTTCAAAATGGTTGAACCGTCGATTACCTAATTTACTGCAGACACCATGTTCATTCGCTTCCATAATAATAAGATCATCAGATAGCCAAAGAATGTTTGTCCAAAAATCCAATTCAACATTTTAAAAAGTGTATAAAAATATGTTTTTTATGTTTTTTTTTCTTTACTTTTTTCCATCATTTTTAGAATTTTTTTTTTTTTTCATTTTTATTTGACTTTTTTTTTATTCTTTCATTAAATATACATTGGCTAAGAATTTTTGTTTTTGTTTCATCCACTTGAAACAGTTTTGAATTTGCACTTCTGTTGAGTGAATGGGTGAAACTGTGTTTCTTAAATGGAATAACTGCAGTAATCGTATACACTTAACGCGGATGAATGTGTTGTGATTTCTTTTTTTTGGTTTTCAATCGAGATGTTTTTTCTTCATCTCATCATTGTTGTATTTTTTCTATAATTTTCAAATAGTTTTTTACTAATTTGAAATGTGTACGGAATCGTGTCCGGGAATTTGCGTGTATTCTGTGTGGCGGATTGAATATTCTGTCTGGTAGGTAGGTAAATGAGTGTGTTGTATTTGGTTAACGAGTACCTATTTATTAATGTGTATTCTAACCAAATAAAGCTTAACCATGTTAACAAATCGAATTGGATTTGATTCGATTTAGTCAGCGCTGGTCACCATATTTTCTGTGTTTTCCCAAGTTTTCGATTTAGTTTTGTTTTTTTTACATGGTTTCAATCTCCCTTACTTATCTCTCATTCACATACAATTTGATTTACGGTTGCTGTTGTTGTTATTGGTTTCAATTTTTTTCTTCCTCTTTTTACTCTCTTTTTTTATCTTCTGCATTTAGTAAATATTACGATGCAAATACATGATTCTTGATAAATGCCGTGTAAATGTGAGATAATAAGGATATTTACATCAAGACGACAAAAAACAGATACTCGAAAATTGAGTCAAATAAAGTTAAGTTGTTCGAAAAATTCCAAACGGTGTGAAAAAATTCATGCACTTTTATGATTGTTGGACAGTTAAATACATTTGATTATTTTTTATATTTGTAGCTGCTTTAGTGTTATTTTGTTTCCTTTTCATCGCACGTTTATTTTCTTCTTCATTTATTACAATGACAATATATTTTGTTAAATTTTTTCCCTATTTTGTTGAATTTGTTCTCCTTTTTTTTTGTTGACCAGCAGTGCGTGTGGACCATGTGCGATGATATACAAAGATTACAAAAAATTATACTTTAGTCAGTTATTCGATAAATCCATTTCAGCGTTTCCTTTGTTTGTTTGTTTTGTGTGTAATTTCTCTGAGAAAATTAAATGTGTGGAATAAAATTTTGGTCCCAACTCACGGCATTGTTGTTCTGAATATGTGTATCCACATTTATGAGAAGAATAAAGAAAAGAAAATGTTTTCTTGTTGGTACTTGTGTCTGTGTATGTATGTATGTGTGTGTGTGTGTATGTGTGAAAGGAATGTGGATATGCATTTCATATGGGATCAGGTCAAACGGTTGATTATATATCATCTTCTCGTCATTTATATCATTATTTATTTACTTTATTCTTTTCGCTAATTTTTTCATCTCTTATTCATGTTCAAAAATTTAGAATAATTCAAAATTCGATAAATAAAGAATGATAATTTTGGCTTTTTATTTTATTTATTTTTTTTTGTCAAGAACAAAGTCAACGAACAGAAAAAATAGCTTCTGCTTTGAGTTTCTAAATTAGTTGTTATTTTGAACCATTTACGGTGGTATTCATTACCTCATGTGTTTTGTTCCTCCTCTCTCCCTCTCCCTCTACCTCACTCCACTCTTTCTCATTCCTTATAAACTCTCTTCTACAGCTTACAATTACTGCGCTTCTCCATTAATTTTATCTACAACATTTGAACAGTTTGTCAACATTTAATTTTCCTTCTTTTTTTTTCATTTCAAGATAAAAATTTGTATGCATTTTCATTTCACTTTTACAAAAATAAAAACATTTAGACAGAAAATATGTTTTGGAGAAGCAGATGGATTTTTAGGTAAATGTGTAAAAAAATGGCTTAAGAAGTGTTTTGTTTTTTATTCATTTTTATTGGAAATAGTCAAAATGTGTGTATGTGTGTCAATTTCCGAACTGTGTAGAACTTATTTTTTTCCTAAATGATTTTCTTTTCCCTCCAATTTTTTTTTCTTTATTTTTTTTTTCTTTGGCACGACTCACTGTGCCATTCCATTTGATCTCAGAATCATCGGAAAAAATATTCTTGCCGTTTTCATTCCATCGAAATATTGGTCACTCCAATAAAAAGGAGTAAGTAGATCAATAATTTCAATGCAAATCAAATGTAACAACATACGTTTCTATAGCCTACGATGGAATTTCAAAAAAGAAGACAGAAATTTTCTATTCAGTTGAAAATGATTGTGTGTTTTTTGTTTCTCATCGCTGAAAGAAGATAAGAATTTTTGTCCCTATTTTCAACCGGAAGGGATGCAGTTGATTGTGTTTCTTAGTGTAATAGGTGCGAATGAAATGATTGTGTGAATTTTTTTTCGTATTTTAGACGAGTAAGATTTTTGGGTAATTTGAATGTGTCGTTTTGTGTCTATGGAAAATTTCAACTTTATAAAATGTCAACAATAACAAAACACACGAAACGAAATCGGCGTTTTAACGTCATCAGCGTTTCATCGTCGGCAAGCAAGAAAACACAATAGAATAGAAGCGAAATGTAAATCAAAATACAACGCAAGACCAGCTAAGCAAGAATGAAAAATAAAACCAAGATGTGGGCCAATGTTGGCAATAATCAAATTAGCGTACACACAAATAATTGGCAAAATGCTTCTCATTGCGGTCAAATATGTCAGTTTTATACCAAAATCTCTCAGTGGCGATTATCAATTTACTCAGTAAAGAAGACTGTGACTGAGTAGACTGATGGTATGCTTTTAATACGTAGAGTCTACAGCTTTCAGTGCTGAGTCACGTCCTTCTTTTACTAATTTTTAATGTCGAAATTGGTGAATTTTTAATCGCCCCAGGAAAATTCTTGCATCACATTGACATATTGCTCCACAATGAAACACATTTGCCAACCAAACCGTGTGCACAAAAGCAAACATGGGATAAAATCAAAATTCGGATCCACAATTTGTAAAAGAAAAAGTGATGAGCGCAATTTTTTTTTTTTTAGTCGATTTATTTACATAATTTTTATTTCAATTTCAATGATTGATTATCAATAAAACTAAAAGATATAAATGAATTTCCTTGCATTATCCTCTCTTCGCTTGATTTTTTTTTTCGATTAACTAAACACTGTTATTGGATATAAAAAAAAATCATATCAATGAATAATAATAATTAATTAATTTTAACTTTTCAAATCATTTTCTAGCTTTTTTGTTTTTTAAACATAACTATTCAATTGGATTACTAAACATACTTTTTCAAATGATAATCAGTTATTCATTAGATTATGTAATAGTACGTTTGTTTGTTTGTATGTTATTTCATTGAGAGTTTTCCTACACACGAAAACGAACATTTTTCTTCACCATTTTTTACAAAAGAAAAAAATTTAATCAAAGAAGTCACAATGGAAAATGGGCGCATCCATTTTATGCTTTGCAAATGCACATTATTTATTCTCATCGTTTGCATTTGTGTTTTGTTTTCGCTTAATTTTCTGTTTGCTGTTTTTTTGTCCTATTTGTTTCATCTCAATTCAAGAAAAATTAGTCATTCATGTTCCTCATCTCAAATACAAAATAAAAGAAAATTAGATGAATAAAACGTCTTAAAATACCTTAAAAATGAACATAATCGCACTATAACCTAACCATTTGTAAATATTCTTTTGTGTGTGTGTGTGTGTGTATTTTTTTCTGTATAAAAAAATTCAATCATCGTGCGCATCAAATCAATCTAAGAAATGATTTCATATAACA